TCAAACCTAATAAAATAACAAATGTATGTTCACCAAAATCAAAGAATTTTCAATTGTTAATACCACAACTAGAAAACTGCAATACCACGGCATACCAAATCCCATCAAACATCTCCTCAAATGGCCCCCAGTCTTTGTTTCTTGTGTGTTATATTAATGTAGTTTAAATGCAGCTAAATGTATTTCTGATTCTTACATACAATACATAGAAAAAGTCAAGAATTGACCAAAACGTGGCCATCTTGGAAATGGTGCCCATTTTGTCTAACATTACGTTTTTTACTATAACTCAAAAAAGTGAAATGAAACAAATTTAGTTCATATTTAATATTTAGGTTATGTGGAAACAAGACTGATGATTTTTTTGACTTTTTCATGAATATGGCAGCCATCTTGAAAAATGGCGCCTAATTTTTTCTCACATTACATTTTTCCCTATAACTCATAAAGTAATGAAGCGATTTTGTTCATATGTTATATTTAGATACATTGAAATGTGAATTGTGATATTCTTGCCTAATTGAGCAAAATGGTGACCATGTCAAGGTCATTGAATTGGGCAATCACGGGGCCTCCTAAAGATTGCTTGCAATCTTGGTCTCTAGTTATTATTATTTTTCTCTACACGTTTTCTCAATAACTAGAAGACATTGAGTCAAGTCCTGTATACAGTCAATTTAGGTCCAGTATCAAGTTTCTCGGAAATTGGGTCAATTTATTATCCAGGTCAAAGGTCAAGAACTAGGTCAAATCTTGTATTTTCATCATTTTACATATTTTCTCAGTCGTTCTTCAATATTTTTTCTCGGTCTTTTTCATTATGTTCCTTGGAAACAAAGCTAATTCCGTAAGGCAAATCGTTTTTTGATTACTCTTACCGATTTTGAAGTATGGCGTCCAGAAAGTAGGTCACACCAAAACGTGCTCCAAATTCAATGTATGAGTTATGAATTAGGGGTAGAATTTTGTCAGGAATCCGAATCTGCAAACCAAATTTCGATCTGACTTCTGGTTCGGAAGTTATGGCGTTTTGAAAACTCAAAAATCGCTAAATTTTGTGCCCATGTTAATTCAATGGGAAAAAAGATTTTTCTGAAGTGAAAAATACGAAATATAGACTGAGTTCAGCTTAATTTAATGAAAGCCTTCAAAAGAAGGGGACCTCAAAAGCAATCTAGCTTCAGAATTTGGACACCAAAATTCCTAGGTCAAAATCTAGGTCAAATTCAAAGGTTTTCCTTATTTTTGCAATTCTGACACTACACTTCAATTATATTCTTCGAAATTGCTTGAACATGTAGCCAAGAGTGTGCTAATAGCGTTAGCCTTTTGCCGTCAGAAAGTATTTTGACCCACTTTTGAGATATGGTGTCCGTAAAGTAGGTCAAAATGAAAAGTTCTTCAAATTTAACGTATGAGTTATGAATTAGGAGTAGAATTTTGTCAGGAATCCGAATCTGCAAACCGAATTTCGATCCGACTTCCGGTTTGGAAGTTATGGCGTGTCCGAAAAGTAGGTCAAAATAAAAAGTTTCCAAATTTAACGTATGAGTTATGAATTAGGGGTAGAATTTTGTCAGGAATCCCAATCTTTAAATCAAATTTCGATCCGACTTCTGGTTCGGAAGTTATGGCGTTTTGAAATTTCGGAAAATTGATCTGATGGTATCCTGATAGAAAGTCAAGAGTAGAGAAGAAAATATTGAAAAATTCATCCATCCATCCTTCCTATCTGATCCTATCCTTCCTATCTATCCTTCCTTCGTATCCTTTCCTTCCTATCCTCTCCTATCATACCCTTTCTTCCTATTCTGTTCTATCCTATCCTTCTTTCTTATTTTATCCTATCGTTCCTTCCCATTCTATCCTATCCTACCTTCCTATTTTATCCATCCATCTTATTCTGGATGACTCAGCTTATTCTGGATGACTCGGCTTATTTTAGATGACTGGGCTTAAAAAAAGTCTAGATCTGGAGTCTGAAATTGAACTTCGTTCAATTTCCAAAGTCTAGTTATTCTTCCTCCCTCTTTTTCTCCTACTTCCAACTACCTTTCAACTAGGTACTACATAGTCCTACTAGGGACCTGGGCTGAACTTGGCGGGAAAGGAATTTTTATCTAGGTCAAGGTCAAAGGTCAAAATCTAGGTCAAATCTAAGTTTTTTCAAGTTTCTCAAATCCTGACACTACACTTAAATATTTTTGGCTGAATTTTTGCACACAGATAGATATTAGTATTCTATTAGTCTTAGCCTTTGCCGTCTAGAGAAATTTTGCCTAGATTTTGAGATATTGAAGGTCAAAAAAAGGTTTAAAAAGGTCTTTTTTCAACTTGCTTCAAATTGACCAAATTTTTTTTTAAAACTCATCTACAAGTTCTCAGGATTCCAAATCTGACCTTACTTTTGACCTTTGACCTTTGGTTGACCTTCAGTGACCTCCGAAAGGTCAAAAAAGTTGATTTTTCAAATCGATTTTCTGGATTCAAATTTAGGTATATTTATTCACAAAAGATCTTCTGAGGTCTAAAAAAGTAAAATTTGCAAGGTCAAAGGTCAAGGTCATCAAACGAAATCACAAACTGTGTTTTCTAAGTTTCTCAAAATTGGAGACTACAAATCAATTTTTTTTACTGAAAGTCAGAATATATATTCCTCTAAAGGTTCTACACATATTAGCAATTGACTATTTATTAAAATTTTGCTCCAGTTTTGAGATATTAGAACTCAAAAACTGAAAAAAGGTCAAATTTCAAAATTTTTCAAGGTCAAATTTCAACTTGCTCTAAATTGACCAAACTTTTTTTTAAAAAGCATCTACAAGATCTCAGGAACTCAAATCTGACCTTAGTTTTGAACTATGACCTTTAGTTGACCTTCAGTGACCTTCGAAAGGTCAAAAAAGTTAATTTTTTAAATTGATTTTCTGGATTCAAATTTAGGTTTCTTCAATCAGAAAAGATATACTGAGGTCTAAAAAAGTAAAACCTGTAAGGTCAAAGGTCAAGGTCATCAAACAAGATCACAAACTGTGTTTTCTAAGTTTCTCAAAGTTTGTGACTACAAATCAATATTTTTGAATTAAAGTCAGGATATATATTCCTCTAAAGGTTTTACACATAATAACAATTGATTATCTATTAAAATTCTGCACCAGTTTTGAGATATTGGACCTCAAAAACTGAAAAAGGTCTAATGTTGAAATTTTTCAAGGTCAAATTTCACATTGCTTCAAATTGACCAAACTTTTTTTTAAAAATCATCTACAAGATGCCTGGAGTTCATATATGTCCTTGTATTTAAGATTTGACCTTTGGCTGACCTTTAAATGTTCAAAAAAGCCTACGGGGCCTCCGTAAGATTGCTTGCAATCTTCTAGTTATCCCAACAAACGAAGTTCTGTAGGGATATAGTGAAGCCCTCCGTCCGTCAGTCTGTCAGTCTGTCAGTCCGTCAGTCAGTCCATCTGTCTGTCCGGAAGATAACTCGAATACTAGTGGACAGATTTTCTTCATATTTGGTGGAAAGATGTATACTGGTCAATAGTTTTACGCAAAAAGATGGCCGCCAGTTTAAAAATGGCGGGATTTTTTTGCAAAAATCTTATGTTTTTCATTTTAAACTAAAATAATAAATATTATTAATTGAAATTTTGGTAGTATATTAACAACATCTATCTAATTCATATATATCCTGGGTTTTTCACCCTGACCCCCAGGGGCCGTAAATGGGGGATCGGGAAAACAGGAATTTGCGTTAATTTTGAGATGTTTTTGAAGTATAGCTTTATTATACTCAAATGAAAGGCAATTTAGAGGAGATTGTTAATATTGTAGCGTTTTTTTGATTCGGGCCTCAAAAAACTCAAAATGGCCACTTATGCGGGATTTCGCAATTATTTTCTAATCTCCTCAAAGTATGGCTATATTATACTCAAATTGAAGGTATTTCAGAGTAGATCATAATTATGGCATTGTTTTTTCTGATTTGCGCCTCTGAAAATTCAAAATGGCTGACTAGAGCAGAAATTCGCAATTACTTAGAGTAATCTTGAAAGTATGGTTACATGATAGTACAATAATATAAAATATTTATTGAAGGTAAGAGTAGATGGTAAATATTACATTGTGGCTGTACAGATTGATGATTTACTTAAGTATATAGTGTTCGTTGGGATTTGCTACTCCGTGGAGTTGCCATTTTCTAGTTTATCCTCTGTTTGACAGCTGAGCACTAGTGGATAAATATCAGATATTGGTATTATTGCTATTAGCAATAATATCTTTATTTTCAAGACTTTATTGATTTTATTGCTTAAGAATTTTTGGTCTGCAATTTGTTAGAACCAACAGGGCACACTTTAAATTAGCATTAGCAGATAATAAACATCGCTATAAGCGATCATATCGATATTATCAAAATTTTATCGCTTATTTATAAAAGCGATATTCTGCTCCTAGATGAACTTGTGTAAATATAGGGCACTGACACCCAGGGAAGTGTTTACACTGGTTTATTGGTTTAAATAAACAAGTCTTTTGAAACATTTACTATTAAACATAGCTTAGTTTCCTGTTATTTTGAATCATGATAAACTTGTCATCATATACCCTTAAATTTTATATAAGGTTTGGTGATCCAGGAAACCTAATATTCTAGGCATTTTGAAATCTCCCATCTGAGTTCATATTCAATAATATTCAATTAATATGATAAAATGATCAAAACTATATATTTACATTGCAGTGATCTCCAAAGGATTTTTTCTCAACTGGGTGCAAAATTCTCATTTTCACAATTCACACTGAAATTGGTCAAAATATACCCATTTTACATGATTTTCTCATTTTCAAGTGGGTGCAAATGGATTTTCAGGTTGATGCAAGCCTGTTTTTTAAATCTCAGATGGGTGCTGCGCCCACTTGCTTTAATCCTTGGGAGATAACTATATTGTACATTTTTCCATTGTTAAAATGATTGTGTGCTTTGTATGTTTCAGAGCATTGATGAACTTATTGAAGGCAGTGTCCCATCTAGTATTCGGTCAGGGCTGGAGTTAAACATAGATAAACCACTAGGTAGGCAAACCACTAAGTAGGCAATAAGTATTGCTACAATAAAAACTATACAGGGTCATTGGTGGGGGGGGGGGGGTCAATGGGTTTATTGCCATAAAATTCTTTTGAAATCTAGCAGAGAAACTTCAGCTTTTATTAAAAATCTATTTGAAAAAATACTATAAATTAAAAGGAATGACAGAATAGTTAAATTTTGCAACTTAGGTCTAGTGGAAAACTACTCAATTTAGTAAGATTATCATAATTTTAAACCATAGATTAGCAGATATTCATTTGTTATAATCTAGAAGCTGATTATCCCCACCACGTGATCAGTAGGTTATAAAAATATTTTCATGTAATCACTAAATGCTTAGAGTTCATGTAAGGATAAAATACTGAAAAAGACATAAGATATTTATTGTATTTACAGGTTGGGTCAAAAAGCATAAATAGTTTTTATTTGCTGTATTTTTTTCATAATGGATGGATTTCGATAATCAATTACAAGTTGGCTTAGTAATCATATCTATAGGGTGGGGTTTGAATGAGAAAGGTTAACATATGGGTGTAAATGCACTCACAGTTTTAAGGAAAATGATTTTCTCCAAACTTATGATTGTACCAGATGAACCCCTGAGTCCTATAGAACATTGAAAAACAAGTTCCATGATTTTATGGGCTCAATATTACAAAATATTACACTATACTGAAATTCCTTTCCAAAACATCTCATAAATTTTTTATTTATTAAAAAAGATGATGAAAATTGATTGATGAAAATATGGACATTTTTTGGCCCACCCTTCAGATATTGAAACTAGACATTACCTTGGTATTACAGGTTATTTGGTTATTTTTCTGTGTTATAGTTGTTAATTCAGGGATAAATTCAACTTGAATAATTGCTTTGTAGGACTGACTCAGAGCTGTAAATTCTAAATGTGTTTCATGTATTTACAGGAGAACATGAATTACTTGAAAGGGCTAAGGAGCTTGGTAGACAGAATAAGGTGTGGAGGTCTTACATTGGAATGGGCTATTACAATTGCAGAATTCCTACCACAATCCTTCGAAATATGTTTGAAAACCCAGGATGGTGTGTTTTATTTTTAGTATACTTTAAAAACAGCGCACATGCGATATCTCCATCCTGCCCATGTATTTTCTAGAACAATGCCTTAATGTAATTAAAATTTAATCAGTTCACTCTCCTTGAATAAGTTTAACTTGCAGAAGTTCTATCACAAAAATACCATAAGAAAATTGTATTGCATTTTAGAGCTCTATCTCAAGTCAATCAAAGTATGTTAAGATATAAGTGTTCTCAGCCAAAGTGCAAGGTGTCCTCCTCGATGTAATGCCTTGAAGATAACAAGTTTTCCTAATATGGGAGACTGACTCTGATAAGATTTTGATGTTTTCCCAAATATGGAATCCCATTTTATATAAGTGCTATCATGCCATACAAAGTCCACACCCACCCAATGTCACCTGAACAACTGAACTTTATAAACTCAATGTAACAAATATTTTCAAAAAATGTAAAATAAAATCTGGAATTGTAATAAAATTTGAAATTGGTGCCAACTTTTATATCCAATACAACAGGAACAGTAATACACAAGGAGATATAACATGAATTTATTCTGCATATGTCATTCAGTAATTCTCAATGTTTTACGTGACTTGTCAGTAATCACATGCTGCTTGAATGGCAAAAGCCTGTACGAGCACATGGGGCTGCGGGTCAATTGCATGAATGATTTTAACTTGCTGCTTTGGACTATGTTCTTTAGTTGAACTAGGTCACAGTCACATCACATGCAACAAAAAATCATCTGCTTAATTCTAGCTTAATTCTAATTGGAGGATATAGAGATAATTGATGTGTTTTGGTATTCTCATGTATTAAAAATCCTGTTTTTACACCTTTCTGTTACTACATGATGCTGACAGGTGTTACAGCTGATAAGCTTAAATCATCAATTGTATTTCTGATAGCAATATGTGGCTAATTTCTCAAAGAGATATCCATAAATATGTAGAAGATAAGCTAGTACACAAATTTTATTGTCCCGAAGAAAATATATTAATAATATTAGATAACTGTCAACATATGTCATGCAAACAAATTAATTAACTAATTAAATTGACTAATATTAAAATGAAAATAACAGTCAAATATAAGGACCAATTTACTGGATAGCACTCTGTGCTGCAGACAAAATAATATACTTCTTAAAAGTAATCCGTGTTAATATTGATAAATACCAAGCTAGTCTATTGTTACGTAATATCAACAATATAGTTCCAAGGGCTAGAATCTCAATGTGTATGCCTATGGTCACCTATGGTCACTATGGTCACAAAAATGAAATAATCTTTGATATTGTTTCAGGACGACCCCCTATACCCCCTACCAGCCTGAAGTGGCCCAGGGTCGGCTGGAAAGTCTACTGAACTATCAGACTATGGTCTGTGACTTCACTGGTCTTGATATTGCCAATGCTTCACTGCTAGATGAGGGTACTGCAGCTGCAGAAGCTATGGCTCTCGCTTACAGGTATGTTGGGAATATAAACTGCCTGGGAATTCATATTGAGCTCTTGTTTATTGTTGGTCCTGGGCCATATTGTGATGTCACAGTTCGTAAGATGTGGTGAAAATTTTGAGCCTTTACATTGAGGTATTAACCCTGATTTGAGGAAAACATGTGGCTCAAAAGTATAGGTAATACCAGTTATATAAATCCTGATTGAATTGAATGCATTTACCATTAACTCCCATTGGGCATTAGAACCATATTGAGCCACATTAATTATTATATGTTATTGTCATCCAAATAGAAGTCTGCTTAACAGAATCCTTGTAACAGAATATACTTGTAGAATAAAGGATGCTTTGCCCCCTCCCCCTCTCACTACCTAGGCATATTGTTCCTATATACTGTTTATTTTGTATGGTTTAATTGTAGGCATGTCAAGAATAGGAAGTTTTACATGGACACAAGATGTCACCCACAGACCAAATCTGTTGTTAATACCCGAGCTGGGTAAGTTCATTGTGTTTTATGGGTTCTATTTGTCATCATATTATTGTAAGGATTTGGGCTTCAAATGTTTGTACCTTAATGCCATTGTCATGATATTGTGCCATTTTACACTAGGTCCCATTTTCAACACAAATGGTGATATGTGATCATGTATCAAATTATAAATCATAAAATTAGGAATTTCGTAAAAATAATTTTTTCCATGTTGGAAATTGTCTCCAGAATAAAATATGAAAATTTCAATAAGAATGGTTGTTCTTTTGGAAATATAGAGTAAAAACATGATTGCATCATCCAACCTGTCCGGGGTACTATGTTGTTTTGAATATTGATATGTAACAGCAACAGTCTGGCAAGTGCTCATATCCTTACTGACAGTCTTCTGTTTGTATCCAAAGCTCTGCTGCTGTAAGACTAACAGCATGTTTTGAAAGTATGGATGTTTCAGGTCATGTGTTGGACTGATTTGTTGTATGATGTTGAACATGTTAACAATGCCCTTTACATTTGGAGAGAAAATGTTTCACATTTAATTTCTAGTAAATGAACATATTTAACAGGTCTTATATAACTCACTAACAACCATTAATTCAAATCACAAATGGTTTGTAGTGTAGGTTTTAGTGTAATGACCTACAAGAAAGTGAGAGTTCATTTAATGGTCAGCATGTTTTGAGCTACATAAACTGGTGAGAATTCTATTTGTCAAAATAACTCATCTGGTTTAAACCTCAAGTGTTGAACTTGAATTTTGAGTATGTAATGATATTGTATTTTAATTTGGGGTTCCCATATTAGGTTATTAAGTGTCATATTTAAAGTTGTTTACAAGTTTTTATCTCAAGTGCGACATTCTTTCAAAAGATATATGCTATCAAGCTTTTATTAAACCGATATCATCTGATTTTTAAAAATGCTACTACATTGTTGCTTATTTAAACAGTAGGTTTGATAGCTTTGTGATTTATATCAAGCATATAAGGCCATAAGAAGTAGATTCTTTGTTTTGCGTCCCCTTGCTTGGACGATTTTGAGTAAATCATAAAAAACAAACACATCCAAATAGCAATCACAAGGGTCTGAAAGTACTATCGCATTTCGTTCAATCAGAGACAGACGAAATGGCGGATAATATGATATGCGTCAAAATTGACAGTGTTGTTGATTACTTTGGCATACATTGTGTATTTTCTTACTTTTTACCCTTGATCACTGCAAATTGGTATGTTATCCCTTTTTATGCCCATAATACATTTCTCAGCAAACAAGTTTGTGTTTGTATTCCTTGTACCCTTGCACGATTTGGATTTTGCCAGGAAGCAAAACAAAGAATGTACTTCTTATGGCCTAATTGAGATTGGCAGCAAACTGAAATAAATAAAGGCAATAAACAAAAATATGCACTCCATAGAATGAAACAAAAGTTGGTCTCTGAAATAAATTGATCAAAGTTGCACTCTTTCAGATAAATTGACCAAAGTTGCACTATTTGAGATAAATTGACCAAAGTTGCACTCTTTCAGATAAATTGACCAAAGTTGCACTCTTTCAATTAAATTGACCAAAGTTGCACTCTTTCAGATAAATTGATCAAAGTTGCACTCTTTCAGATAAATTGATCAAAGTTGCACTCTTTCAGATAAATTGATCAAAGTTGCACTCTTTCAGATGAATTGACCAAAGTTGCACTCTTTCAGATAAATTGATCAAAGTTGCACTCTTTCAGATAAATTGACCAAAGTTGCACTCTTTCAGATAAATTGACCAAAGTTGCACTCTTTCAGATAAGTTGATCAAAGTTGCACTCTTTCAGATGAATTGACCAAAGTTGCACTCTTTCAGATAAGTTGACCAAAATTATGCTCTATGAGATAATTTGACCAAAGTTGCACTCTTTCAGATAAATTGATCTAAGTTGCACTCTTTCAGATAAATTGACCAAAGTTGCACTCTTTCAGATAAATTGACCAAAGTTGCAAAATTATGCTCTATGAAACAAATTAACGTAAGTTACATTCCCTAAAATATAATACCCCCTAAGAAATTGTCTCAGGTTATTCTCTATGAAATTAACCAAATTTGCACTTCATAAAATAAATTGACCAAAGTTGCACCCCGCAAATAAATCACCAAAGTTGCATCTGAGAAGAAGTGATACTCAAGCACATTGCATTTATCAGCCTAAGATAACTTTGAACAACTCTCTCTCTTGAACTGCACTTAGGTGAAGTAGGCTTGATAAAATATTGAGATCATTGTTAAGATGACAATTGCATTTTAAATAAGGCATTATAGCAAAAATATTTGCTGCTTAAATTTTTAACAGCACAATTTGCCTACTGAAAAAGTTATTTGTAGAACAAGGGATGTTCTGATTGGTTCTCATAAACACACCTAGATCTAATGTCAAACTACCTTTTTAATAAAATCCACTTTCAAGGCCAACGGAGAAATGCAGGAATATGATGCCTTTCTGAGATAAGTAAAGGATATCCTATGATTTTGAGAGATATCATTTTTATCCATGAATTGAAATCCATATCTGGACGAGTGAGCGTAGTGAATGAGTGTAGATATTGATATCAATGAGTGGATTAAAATGATATCACGGAAAAAATCATAGGATGTTCTATTTATCCCATAGTTGAGGTCAAATCATCCCATAGCTCACCTTACAAAGCATTTTAATACTCAGTTTGATTTTGTCATTTGAACTACTAGCCAAAGCATTAATCATTTCCATATTTGTGACGTCATGAAATCACCATGTAAGCATATAACATGTAACCATGTATTTTTTTGTATTTTTTTATTTATTTATTTCTCAATTCACCCCTTATAGGGTATAAGAGTACAAAAGATAAACTTAACTAATACAGTAACAAACATTAAAATAACATTTATATACATGTAAGAACAATTTTTTGCCCAGCCTCGATTAAAAATTTACAGTTTTATGAGTATATTTTTGTTTGAATTCATTAATTTCTCAAACTTCTGTGTGTTTGGTCTTGTGGTATACCATTTAGGAAGGTATCTTTTTCTAATATAACTTAAAGTTTTGCATTCTAAAATGACATGAAATTCATCACCTATTCCTTTACCACATAAATCACAGGCTGGTATCGAAAGATTTGTCCGCTGTGACGGAGCATGCTATTTTTCATAAAAACACTAAGAATGCTTCACGATTTATTTTTTAACTCATATGTTTCGTTATGTCAAAGATAATTACTTACTCCATGCAATGTATATATCATTTGCGTGTAACCTTCACTTCTGTTTGAAGTCCAATAACGCTAGGAGTAAAATCTATTGAAAACGGCGCCAGAGTATCAAACTCTAAAATGTACCATTTCTTTTTTAACTTTTTAATGGCATGATATAGTGACACGATACTATTAACATATGTTTTCAGCATAACTCTGAATGTATTAATGAGATATTAATGCATTGGATCTTTTTAATTTTTTTTATAAAAAATAATATTAATATTTTTTGTCCGCTGTGACGGAGCATTTTCACAGTTCACATTTGCAACTGCTCCGTCACAGCGGACAAAAAAATTAAACATTATTTTTTATAAAAGAATTAAAAAGACCAAATACATCAACATCTCATTTATACCTTCATAGTTATGCTGAAACCATGTGTAAATATTATCGTGCCACTATATCGTGCCATTAAAAAGTTAAACAAGAAATGGTACATTTTGAAGTATGATACTCCGGCGCCATTTTCAATAGCTTTTCTTCCCAGCGTAATTGGACTTCAAACAGAAGTGAAAGTTACCCGCAAATGATACATCCATTGAATGGAGTGAGTAATTTTGTATGGTATAACGAAACATATAAGTTAAAAAATAAATCGTGAAGTATTCTTAGTGTTTTTATGAAAAATAGCATGCTCCGTCACAGCGGACAAATATTTCGATACCAGCCTGTGTAAATCACAAAACCTATTTTCCCTAGGAATATTTTTATAACGTCCTCTTTCAACTGGAAGTTTATTATTACACAATCTGTACATAATTAGAACTTTTCTATATTTATCTGGCATACAGTCTAAATACTGTTCAAATGAAAATTCTGTTTTAAATATTTTATAGTTGTAACTTTTACCCCAGACTGGTCAGAGAGTACCGTTTTCTTAAAGAATTGACAAACAAATGGTTTGAAAATGATTGAAATGAGTTTAGATAAATTGCTAAACAGTTTTAAAATGCGCAGTTTTATCTTCGATTGATTGGTTATGACGTCAGCGCCTTGACCAATCAGACCAATCATCATAGGTATGTTATAATTGCATTTATCACATCTCAAACTAAAATGATGGACTGTGATTGGGCAGATCACTTCACATGATCATTTGATAATTTGGTCTAACACATTGAAAGTCCTGGATGTCCCGAAATACCCGGGTGAACCATGTGATGATGTAAAAGTGCCCAGATGAATCATATGATATCATTATAAAATGGTGTAATACACATTCCGAATTATGACGTCATATAACAATCTTGGCGATGAATTCTTGGAATATGATGCGATCATCTGTGACATCAGACACATATTGCCCAATCAACAACTAAACAAACAAATAATCTAGACCGGCCTCACTGATTGGTTCAAAGTTTCTTCGCATCGTGTGTGATTATCATGTTACCTAAGAAACGACAAAACAAATAAGCAGATAGTTTTGTTCAGTGGCTTTGCTCTTTTGTTTTTGATGTACTGTGAATCAAATGAATGTTTTCATGTGATGAACACATCATTACATTATGGAGAGTGTGATATATATATCACCTCTTGGAAATTTTTTCCTACAGTATGGTGTCATTAATTAAATGTATGTTCACTCCAGAGGCATGTGTTAAAAACCCTGAATCTATCATCTGTCAGCTGTCATCTGAACCTGTTCATGAATAAAACAACAAATATCACCATTACATATGCCAGCTAGAAGTCAATGTCACCATTTAAGCTCTTCCTCCTATCATGCATTGTCTCTTTGTTCAGCTCCCTCCCTGACACAAATTATTTGTTCCTAGATCCGCCCTTGATATGGAGAGTAATTCCTGCACTTGGCTGGTGTGTTATACCCTTTTCAATAGTTTGACTTTTCTTCTTTTAAGAGAACTTCATTTTGTTACCATGCAACATATTATGCAAAGGTCCGTCATAAAGCAAGGTATATTTCACTGTTGGTCAGATGATTGGACCATTTTGTGGGCATTTGTGCTTAGTGCAATCAATCATTGAAATTAATCATGGACAGAAAAGTGTTAATCTTTCTTGATTATTTCATTCTAGTGGTTTGCTTTTCATGAATCCCTCCCCAGAAGCATTTTTTACATCTCTTGGGTATTACTAATAGACACCACTGGCGGATCCAGAACTTGCGCGGAAAAACATTTGGGGCCCTTAAATCCAAAATTGAGCCCAAATTTTGAAAATTTAAGGCTAATTTTTGATATTTGGTATAAAAAGGCCAAGTAATGCCCAAAAAGGCCCACTAATTGAGGCCCTCCCAAGGGAGAGGGTGGACTCCATGCACCCCCCCCCCCCTGGATCCGCCAGCAATAAACTAGGAAACAGCAAAGTCCTAGTTAGCCCTTGTTGGTATTATGTTGAACAAAAACAACATACATCATCATTGTAATATGTTTCAACGCAAGCCACAGTGTTACAAAATGTAGCTGAACTGTTGAACCTGTTTCACTGTAAGTTGTGATAAATTAAGCAGACTGAACAGAACTTTTGTAGCGTGAAGTTTGCTCTCAAATGATATGGTAAACAGAATGAGCATCAAGGTCATTACTGCAGTATACATCACCACAACCTAGCTGGCCTCGATTTTTGATCAGCTGTTTTTATTATGAAAGTGTTAACATGCACTCTGTTATATGGTGCTTGTGTAAAATATGCGCTTCACCCCTCAATTACAGAAAATAATTTTAATATGGTTTTATGTTGTAAAATTTTTTATTTTTTGTGTTGAATACCACCATCATAGTTGAGTGGACCTTCCACCTTCTGTTTAATGCTAAAGTTAAACCCCTTAACATCACCTTCCTAACACTTCTTTGGGCCCCTTCTTTGTTGTATGAATTACATTTTTTTATCTGAACTTAATATGTATATTGTGTATTCAAAAAGAGACGTTGACTCATGTTTACAGCACTTGCTATCCTTTTAACACAAACAAAAATGTTTCATTCCAGTTCGCTATATATTATTCATGTCACTTATACATGTAAAGCATTTATGTGCGCAATTTCATAGATCCTTCATGTTATTTCACATCCTGAAACTCAAAACAGAAAATATTATCTAAACAGAAATCTGTTAGCTTGATGGTTTGAAGGTCATGTCCTGAAATGAACTAAACATCAATCTAATTAAACTAAATTGTTTTTAACCCACTGGCGGATCTAGGGGGGGGGGCCAAAAAGGCCAAAGTGGGCCTTTTGGTCATTATTTAAGGCCTTATTTTGAAGAAAATAGGCCTCAACATTTTTTAATTTGGGCTCACTTTTGGGTTTTAGGGGCCCAGAGTTTTTTCTCTGACCTCCCCCTTGTTGGTTCCCAGATCCGCCCCTGTAACCTGTCAGGACTCATAATAAATACATTTTTATTTTGTAGGCATGTTAGCTTGCTACCTTCTGTTTTTTTAGCTTCTTTACCAGAACCTGGATTACATATTACATTATGTTTGTTTTGTGTTGGAGTATGCATGTTTTGTATATACATATGTGTTGTATAAGATCTGTATCGTGACATATCACAATATTTAGGTTTTATAACATATTATGTATACATGACTATTTCATTGCATATTGCGTTATATCATATTGCATTTCCTATGTTTTCATCTGGGTGCAAACCTTCACCAGGGCTCAAATAGGGCACTCAAAAGGGCTCAACAGGGCACACTGCCCAGTAAAAAGTGGCCGAGGAGATCACTGCTATGTCCCATGGGTGCAAAGATTTTTTATTGACTTCTACATGATCTTATTTTATGTCCAGTACATTGGTGGATGGCATTGTTGAAAGCACTGATTTCACATGTTTAAATTACAGTCACTCTTAATATATATAATATCATATATTGCATTGTCTTGCAGTGTCATGGGCATAGAGGTGATAGAAGAAAAGTATGAGAACATGGACTTTAGTAATCGTGACTTCTGTGGGGTCTTATTCCAGTACCCAGACACTAATGGTGATATCCATGACTTCACTGCCCTAGCTCAAACTGCACGTGATAATGGAGTAAGTACTGGAAACATATGCAAAGCAGGGGCGGATCTGGGAACCAACAAGGGGGGGGGGCACATTCTTGGTCTGAGAAAAAATATTTTGGGCCCCTGAAACCCAATAGTGGACCATTTTCTTTAAAAGTTGGCCCAAAATTTAAAAGTAAGGCATTAGAAGGCCCAGTAATGACCAAAAAGGCCAACTTTTTGTGACCTCAAGGCCTTTTTTGGCCCCAATTTTTTTCTGGGTGGTGGTGGTGGGCCGCTGTTTCTCCTAAACTGCTCTTACGAAGTTTAATTATTTCATTTAGTATATATCTGAATGAAGGAATAAATATTTTTGGTTGAAGGTTATTGGGTTTCTAGCTCAAAGGGTTTAAACCTAGAGCAGTTTTAATATTGTTTGAATAGATGTGACATTTTATTTTGTGGTAATAAAAGATTTGGATTCAGAAGTCATTATTTGATAGCATTTTAAATCAATCTTTATCTTACTATTTCACTTCATGTAATCAGCAATGGTCACGAGAATCTTACCAATATAAACATCGAGCTGTTGGACTGGTTCCAAATCCAGTATATGAAGTCATTTGTTTTTTTGGTTTATTCTTGATTATTTTTGGAAGTTCTAAGTGTGTATCTGTATTCTCTTTCATTTTATTGTTCTCGGAAGTTCATCATCCAAATGCAAGTCTACATACCCATCCACATCATTACTCCAGATTGTAGAGCCCTTTGTTTTGAGATTGTAAAAAACAGAATATTTGAAAAACTAATCTACAAGTGAGACATCTATAAACTGAGATAATGTTTATATCACATAATGTAAGTTATATTTATATACAGGCCCTTGTCATTGCTGCTACAGACCTACTGGCATTGACAATACTCAAGCCTCCTGGGGAGTTTGGTTGTGATATGGCTGTAGGGACCAGCCAGAGGTTGGGGGTACCATTAGGGTATGGTGGCCCACATGCTGCATTCTTTGCTGTGAAAGACAGGTTCAAGCGTCTTATACCAGGTCGCATGGTAGGAGTCACCAGGTAGGGCATCTGCAGTTTATCATAGCAAAATTCACAAATTCACCAGGCAGCATTTCCCTATTATATTATGGATTTATTCAGAATATTTTCTGTGGAATACCAGTTGTATCAGCTTCATGCAATACAGCTTATTTGAAGCTTTGAAATACAAATATGTATTCATAACTGAGCAGTTAAACTTCATGGTAAATGTGACACATCACATTTTGTATCTCAGGAAGACTTTTTCAAAATTTCTGCTTTTTTGTTAGAGATGCCCGGGGCAATGAGGCACTTAGACTAGCTCTACAGACTAGAGAACAACATATCAGACGTGACAGAGCCACTAGTAATATCTGCACAGCTCAGGCACTCCTGGCAAACATTGCTGCCATGTATTGTGTTTATCACGGACCACATGGTTTGAAATATATTGGAACGAGAGTCCATCATGCTGCATTGATGCTGGCAGCTGGTATGTATGTTATACAAGTATATAAACATATCACTTTCTCAAAATGGGTCTCTGTGGTACCCATTCCTGGCTAGGCTAGAACTAGGTCTTTACAAATTATCTTTCTAAATTATAATAGATATTAAAATTATTTATACATATAACCTTTTCATGAGCCCATTTTCATCTATACTCTTTGATTTGAAGAAATTCTCTGATCCAGAATATATCCAATCACAATATGTAGTTAGAAAATCATGACACAAGATTTTCTCCTTATGATTAAATAACATTAATTAAACATTTAAACACCGATATTAAAAATGTAGTAAAATTGATTGATATGAGATTGTTGAGATCTTGTCATCTTAAATAAATGGTCATTCAGGGTAACACATATATTGCTATTGTAGGAGTTGAGGACTGTGGCCATGCAGTACAGAACAATCTATTCTATGACACAATCAAAGTGCTCCCTAAAGAAGGAGTAGATGTTGAATCAAGGGCTAAACTTAAAGAAATAAATCTGAGATATTTTGAGGATGGAACAGTAAGTATAGACCTATGTACATACAATACATGTTTGCATTTGTCACAAACAGCTCTTGTTTGCATTTGTTAAACAAACAACTGAAATCTAATATTCAGACAACATACTGTACATACTGTAAATGTATATTAAATGAGTATTTGAATCGTGTTTTAATATTGTACAGTGAAATGTGTGAGAAAAGAGATGTACAATTGTTATTGCCTTGTTTCAGATAGGTGTTTCAGTGGATGAGACCACTGAGGAAGCAGATCTGAATGACTTACTCTGGGTGTTTGGCTCAAAGAGATCAGTGGTGAGTCAAATTATATGACTATAAGATTTGAATTTGTAATTGGTATTAATAGCTATTTTTAGCCTCTACCTTCAGCAAAAGTGGGGACTTATTGTTCTTATTTATGATTCTGTTGTTTCAGAGGGATATTGCTGATTCTATGGGAGAAACTCTTAATGGAGATATATCTAATTCACCATTTTACAGAACATCACAATATCTTACAAATCAAGTATTTAACACGTAAGTACTATGTAGAAAATGTTAGATCTTACCAGTCAAGTATGTAACATCTAAGTACTATGTAGAAAACCCTATATCTTACCAGTCAAGTACATTAACATTTATTAGGCCAAAAATATCCAAGTTTTAATCTTTTGCAAAAACATTTCAGAAATGATTGGAAAATACATTTATCTTACTTGTACATAACTATATTTTTCCATTTCGTATAATCCATAAAATTCACTATGTCAGGTACCAGTCAGAGACAAACATTGTGCGTTATATGAAGCTTCTGGAAAACAAAGATGTCGGCTTGGTTCACTCTATGATTCCCCTTGGATCATGTACTATGAAACTCAACTCTACTACAGAGATGATGGTAATTATACTCATTTGATGTATGATATAAGTGTTTATAATATTTACTGTAAATATATGAAAGAAATGTCTTCAGTTTTAAACTAGGAAAATACCTATTTCAAGAGTTCAATAACAAGAGTATCTCATTTTGTGCATTAAGCCATTGAATTTTTTCATTATTCTACCTATTTCAGCCATGCTCCTTCCCAGAGTTCACAGATATTCATCCATTTGCTCCCCCAGAACAGGCTAAGGGGTACGCTACCATGCTGCAAGAACTGGAGGATGACTTATGTGAAGTCACAGGATATGACAAAATTTCACTACAGCCCAACAGGTAAAAACATATGCATGCATTGTATTTTTACGGCATCTTATCGACTAAAAATATTTGAAAGTGATTTCATTTTGAGGGAAAAAGTCCAATTTCTTTATAATGCATAGTTTAGATGCTTATTCAGTATTCATATACTGGTATGCTGTTCTTATTCAAAGAAGTATATGACATTTTTGGAATTTGTTCTGGTTTTGTTCCTCATATGCCCATATCTCATGTGTTACAGTGGGGCCCAGGGGGAATATGCGGGTCTTAGAACTATCGCTGCATACTTAGACTCCATTGGTGAAGTCCAAAGATCAGTGAGTATTCACTTCAATATTGAATTTGAAGTCCCGAAAAATCAAAAGAATATCCAGAGTGACAGATATAACAAATGCAGAATTTCTATAACCAAAATGAATATCAAACATTTTTTTGTGTAAAAAATAGAAATATAGCAAAAGAAGGCAAAAAATGAAAAAGGCTGTGGTTTTCAAGAGGATTATTTAATAATGATTTCACTATCGAAGCAAATGTATGTTTACACTTCAACTGCTAGCCTTGCCCAAGTCGGTCTCTTTTACTTATCTTGATTTCTATTCAAGATCAGATAAGTAAAAAAAATAACGACTTGGGCAAGGCTATTCAACTGCTGGAATGGTACAAATTAATGTTTCAAAAATAGGCCGATACATGAACTATTTCTTGACACCTAAATTGTATACCGTTAGTCAATTGGGAAATGCATCAAGCTATAGAAAGTATGGATTGAATTCAAGAGGCAATATATATGACTTATATTCTTTTAACCTCTTCCAGGTGTGTCTTATCCCTGAGTCTGCTCATGGCACCAACCCTGCTAGTGCACAGATGGCTGGGATGAAGATACAACCAATCAAGGTCACCAAAGAAGGGGCAGTTGACATGAAACACCTCAGTGATATGGTGAGGCGTGCAATGGATTAGTTGGTTTATATTCAATTCAATTCAATTTATTCATTCAAAATTACATCATACAACATTTCATCAATAACATAAAAAGACCTTTTGATAACTATTTATTTATTGTGTTTTTCTGTATAACAAATATTACGAGGTTATATCCATAAATTCTCTAAAATATCTCATTTACTTTTATTTACTCAACTCTTTGTACAATTTCTGTACATTATGTATATGTAGGCCCATGTTTGACTAAAAGCCAGTCCATTGTCATGTTCTTAATCCATTTCTTTTCATTGATGTTTAAGGCTGAGAAGTATTCAGAGACATTGGCAGCACTTATGATCACATACCCCTCTACTCATGGTGTGTTTGACGAGGATATCATTGAGATATGTGACCTGATACACCATCATGGAGGCCAGGTGTACCTTGATGGTGCAAACATGAACGCACAGGTAGGGACAGATACGGCTAGTATGTCAATCAGTTCACATTCAGAGTTCTCCCAAATGACAAATCCACTGGCATTGTCAAACAGACGATCAATACCAACGTGAGACACTAATAGGAATTTTCATTTCTAGGAAAACCAATTTTTTAACTCAGCCAGTCATTGACTATACACGCAAAATTGGCCTTTTCACATGAAAATAGCAGACTACGGGTTGTATTCAGTAAAATTGTCCAGACTTGGAAGGGCTTAATATGTCTCTTTGTATTTTCTTCAAAGAACAATTATACATGTTGCTTGCATCTTCGCACGCTCCGGTTTTCACTGCATTCACCGACGACGAGAGCCGAGTGAACGAAGATGTGGTGCTTGGATATACAACAAAAATAACTGTTCATTCATTTGTTTATTTTAGGTTGGCATCTGCAGACCAGGTCATTTTGGTTCTGATGTCAGTCATTTGAATCTCCATAAAACTTTCTGTATTCCTCATGGTGGAGGTGGACCAGGAATGGGCCCCATCGGAGTGTAAGTAATATTAAAATGTTTATCGCATATTGTTGTACAGGTATGTGATATTAAAATGAAAAGATCACATCAAAGTCAAAAAATTGAATAAATACAATGTGCGTTGGATTTAGTTTCTGAAGATCTAAATGATTTAATTTGCATTTTGATTACAGTAAAGAACATCTTGCCCCCTTCCTTCCAACTCACCCAATTCTAAAGCCTGGAGCTGACTCGCAGTCATTCGGATGTGTCAGTGCTGCCCCCTATGGTTCAAGTGCAATATTACCCATATCCTGGGCCTATATAAAGATGATGGGTGCTAAAGGTTTACGTCATTCATCAGAGATTGCTATTCTTAATGCAAACTATATGAGCAAAAGACTAGAAGGGTACTACAAAACACTTTACCTGAACAAAAATGGTGAGCTTAAGTGTTGGTATTATCAACATAATAGAGCTAAAATGTATATAACAGATGTTTAAATTGAATACTACGCATAAATCTGGTTAATGTATTACGGATTTTAGATATGTTGAGCTAAAAACGTAGTGTCAAACCTTTCTAAGCTTTACTTGAAGTTTGGTAATTATTTAGTAAATTTTTATTCTTTTTCTATATTGAAAATCCTTATGATCAGTTTGTTTAACTTTGTTCAGATGAACACCCAAGGAACATTTTGCAATAGCATGAATACAAAATTAAACAAAGATATGATTTCAGGCTTCTGTGCTCATGAATTTATAATTGACTGTCGACCGTATAAGAAGACAGCAAAGATAGAAGTTGCTGACATTGCAAAGAGGTTGCAAGATTTTGGTAAGTTTCTAGAATAGGGTATATAAACAGATTACTGATACGGTACAGTGCATTTAGAAATAGCGCCCATTGGGACGAATGAGATAAGAGATTAAAATATTGTACCTCATATTTTTGTGCTTTAATCAATTTATCATTTACATGGACACAGCTTGTATGTAATACATTGATGTATACAAACACATTTTGTACATGCTCAGTACCAATAAAATATTAATTCATGTTGATATAATCAACTACTTCTCAAATGCTTATATTAAACGTTCTGTCAAAATCATCTACTTTTTACTTTATTCTGATAGGTTTCCATGCGCCAACTATGTCGTGGCCAGTAAGTGGTACACTTATGGTAGAACCCACTGAATCCGAGGATAAACGGGAACTTGACAGGTTCTGTGATGCTCTCATAAGTAAGTATATAGTTCGTACAGGTTGAAGGCAGAATAAGGCAAAGATATAGGGGGTGGCAACATTTTGCAATTGACAAATCAATGTATTTTTCACCATCTCAAATACATCATCTCTTAGAAACACCAGTGATAACTTAAATAATGGTAAAGTTATTAAGATTTGAAGTGCAAAAAATTGTAAATTCTCAAAAATAATAATAAATATTGATCATGTAAAGATGGAATAAAGTATGAAACTTCGGACATTGTGAGACAATAGATATGAAATGAGTCAAATTGTTGTAAAATGGAAACAATTTTGGGGGAAATGTTGCTGCTAGATCTTCGATTTTCTTTTTGAGGGACTTCAAAAACAATAAGAGTACAGGACTGATCTTTTTCTAAAAAATCATGAAAAATTGCAAACTCCTTAAGACAGGCATAAAAGATTTGATCAGTGAAAATGACATTTACTTATTCTTTTACAGAATCCAGCCAGTCCCTGCATATAGAGTAACCTATGATGTATATTTTTTTATGTTGCAGCTATACGTAAAGAGATTCAGGACATTGAAGAAGGTCGCATGGATATTAAAGTCAATCCATTAAAGGTGAGCCAGTGCAGAATCACTCTATTTAGTTTTAGATACAGAGCAGAGTGTTAATTTGTATATCTCATTTTTTCTGAATTCAACCTCAGTCAGATAATTTAACGTGCCCAGCTCTGTAGCATTGGCCGATACATGTGCTGTCTGTCGTAATCACATCTCTAGAAAACACCATTTCATACCATAGTACAATCTGTGACAATTATCAAACCCATGCACACAGTTCTACTGAAAGAAAAAAATGGGTGAAATGTACCGTAATAATACCTGTAGACTCTTGAACCAAGATACCGGTGTAAAAGAAATTATGGTCCCCTGGGAATTATGGTCCCGTTTCCTTGCAGCCCTTACTGGCCCTGACTGTGTATAAATAAGGAAAATAATTGTAATTAGGTCACCATATAAATCAATAGAGAGTAGGACCAAAATTTGATAGGACCACCTACCCTTTTACACCGGTAGTACCTATCAAGTGATTTGTTTAATTGTTGTAAATGTTCAGCATTTCCATCAGTCCTTCTGTCTTCGAGAAACCCTGTGAACATCATTATAGCATCTTATTTAAGAATAGTATGATCCATTTTGAAAGTGGTGACATTGTGATAGCAACCATTTTGTATTGATGGTAAGTGTCTGTAACCCATCAGTTGATAACATTTTGTCATGCTAATGACTTGTCAATTTGCACATGTAACCATGGTAACTGTTGTTTTAGATGGCGCCACATCCCCAGTCAGTGATTGCTACAGATAGCTGGGACAGACCATACTCCAGGGAGCAAGGAGCCTATCCTGCAGTAAGTGAAATTCAGAACAGTCGATTGCATGAAGTATAATAGAAAATCTCCAAACTTAGATATTATGAATTTTAACCCCAAAATATCCAAGCCTTACATGGCATGCCTCTATCAATATATTTAGAAACTAGGCTTTGAGAAAATGATGTATTAACTTCTTGACTTCCCAGAGTGATGAGATTTATCCTCAGCTAAGAAATGACCTTGAAACCTAGAGTGATGAGATAATCGGTCACAAAAATGTTCACTAAAATTGCTTTTATTTGATTTACACAAAGAAAGTTTTTAAAATGTGTAGAAATGATCTCTGCTGACTCATTCCACTAAATTGAGCATCACCTTTTGTATATGTCTGTAGTACAATGTCAAAAGCTGGCAAAAAATGAAATTTCTCTTGTTTCAAACCAATTTTAGAATCTGGAATTCAAGAGGTTAATAATTAAAAAAGTTAGAAACTCTTTCTTCTCCTCTTTGTTATGAGCTTATGGACTTTAATGATAAAAGTGTGACACCCATCATCCATTTTGAACTCTACAATTTTTTGAGTCCCAAAGAGTGCAACATTACTTCAGCTGAAAATGACATACGGTACATATACCGAGACCAAGCCCCTAGACTGTAATACATACTTCAGAAGTACAGGAGTAGATTTTATGCTAACATGTCACGAAATTTCCTCATGCCTCTGTCTTATTCTGTTACCTTAAATTATATCTTTACCTTTCAGCCATTTGTTCGACCAGAGACCAAATTCTGGCCTACTGTAGGGAGAATAGATGATATTTACGGTGATCAGAACTTAGTTTGCTCTTGCCCTCCTATGGAGGCATACCAATCACCCTATCTCAGTGACGATGAGGTCCCCTCAGCATCTCGCATACAAGTTTGATGTTGTTCATAAATGGATTCAGAATGGAATAAGTGGAGGGATTATTTTTATATGGAGGACTTTGTACATACTTCTACATGGACAATATATAGTGTGGGTACCACACAGTTGGGTATCTATGGTATTGTATAAATAAGAATTTTGCTGATGAGCACAAAACATGGAAATACTCTGTGTCTGATTCTTTTAGTTGGTACTTTGACTTTATAAAAAACAGGGTTTTCAACGAAAAAGTACTATATTATATAGTACTACAGTATAGTGACATATTTGAGATCATTATTTTACAGATTGAGAAATATAATCAATCATGTGATGGGGTTTCTATTACTCTTATAACCTGTAAATAGACTAAATATTGTGTACATAATATGAGATGTTATTTGTGCATAATGTTACAGCACTAAAACTGTATATTCATGATATTTATGGAGCATTCAAAATGTAACTGTTAAGTATATGTCTACCTGAAATCTGAGTCAGATGGTTTAATCTGAAATTCGGTGATGAATTGATAACACTAAATTGTGATGGGAGCTTTTTAACAGGACTTGAATTCTTTCAAGGATTCAAAATTAAATTGAATTTTGTTGAAAATCTAAGAATTTTGTAAGGATATGTTGAACAGTTGTTACTCTAATTTGTTATTCTTGTTGATATAGTGCTATACCAAAAGACGAATCTTTTGCTGTTTTCAGAGACTTAATGATCGGAAATGTTTGATATATAGTTCTCAACTTTCTGTTTATATTTATTGAACTACCGATCATATCTAAATAGAATTCTTTCCGGCTATGGGCATCTTTAATGATATGATTGATTACTTTTACTTTTGGTGATCAGAGAGATTCAATGAGAGTTAGTAGGTGCAAATCATTAGTTCAGGAGTGGTCCAAAAAACGTCCTTATAGTTTATTTTGGTTTAACTTTTCGCACAATGCATGGATTTCAATGATATTTTAGAGTGATTTTAGTTATACCCCGTGAAAGCATTGGAGTACATTTAGACCAAAAACCCCAAATCGGATGGATTTGTTGGTTCATCAAGAAAAATGGGACTGTTGGGCCAAATTGTGTGAAAAATGAAAGGGTCAAATATTTATAAATATAGTACCTCACTGCTTTTTCCTCGAAAGTAAATGCCTTACTAAAAAGGTCAAATAAAACATATGGACATTTTGGCACACCCTGTATATACGATATGTAGTATATATTTTGGAAAATATAATATACATTTGTACTCTATACTCTGAAATCAAAAAGATTTTAATTATATAGAAAATTAACATCCACATTTATATTTCTATCCAAAAAGATTTGTATACATGAACATATGCTAGCTCTTCTATGCAAATGGAGCTCTTTTTAAATTGAGCTTACAATAAAATTTGATAATACTGATTGCATATTATTATAATTACACCATATATCATTTTAAAGTGCAGTGTATACAATTCCAGTTGTAATCACATGTAAAATTTAGAATTCACGATGGCATGTAACTTGCATTCTTATTTGGTAGAAACCTATTTTTTCTGAAAATACTAAACCTTGAAAAAATGCTTGCTTATTAACCAACATGATGTGTTTTCAAAGTTGAATTTTACTGCGTGTCAATTTTAAAAGGGTACAAATAAATTGTACCCTTTCTTTTGGTGATACAACTTATTGTATAACATTAATATTTTTGCATAATTTACAATCAGAAATATATAGCAATAGTATAGTCTGACCCTTAACTCATTGAATGAGTAATATACTGTTTATGTACATAAACAAGGGTCGTTCGAAACATATATACATATATTTATCAACGTTTTTCCTATAGGTATAAATACATGTGTAGTCTTATCTGTAGATAATGGAAAAACTGTAATAAAAATCTATAAAAATATAACATATTTAAATGTGTGGTGTTACTAATTACCTAAGGATTGACTCCCATAAATTATTCTCCTACTCTGATACTATTCAATCATACATGTATAATTAATTATCTATATCCAATCTTATCTGCATTACATGTTTATCTATAGTATTATATATATCTTTTATTGACTCTTTTTAGATGTCATATCATGACATATTCGTCACTAAGGTAGAGCAGTTCTTCCCATTGTCTTTATCCTGGCTAGAACCATAGACAATTCTAGCCAGCGCCAGCCTTTTATCGAGTTAGCAGCACTCTAGCAATCGCAGGTATAGGTCAGCAGTCATAGGTATTGAATTAGACCATTCAAATTTCAATATATATTATACTATATGTCTAATTTCACATTCCGATTAAATCAAATTTTCAGGAAGCAAACAAAAATTGAAGTGCCTAGTGTATATATACTTGTAATGATTTCAAATGACCATAGAAACTTTTTTAATTGTTCATCATAAACTTGACAGCAGAGCCAGGCATAAAAAATGCTTCCATGCTCAAACTGATTTAATACAATTCATTGTTTATGAAAATCACTGCTAAAGCTAACAAGCAGTGGCAATTTTTTGAAAAATCCCAAAGTCCAGTCATTTGAGCTAACATGATACCTGATTAATCGATAATGCAGTGACTATAAAAACATTAACAAATGGACTCTTCAATAGCCAGCTATTAAGGTCTCGTTTCATTGTAGACTATCAACATGAATCATGCTTCTCATTCATTTCGCTTTGAAACAGACACCATCACTCCATCCTTCGGAACAAATGTCCCCCCTTCTCTTATTTGTAATGGAATTTGAAGTTCATCTGTTTTGTGAATAGTGTATTTCTTCAGAAGTCTGGTTAGGGCAAATTTAGCTTCCATTAATGCAAACCTCATCCCTACACAGTTACGGGGCCCATGACCAAATGGCATCCAGGCTATGGGGTCTCTCTTTGCTTTATTTTCGGGCAGGAATCTGAAATATAGTAGGGTAAGGTTTCAAGGAAGGGCAAGGAAGGAAGGTAAGGATGTTGCAAATAATGGCTTCTTAAATTATAATTTCAGAATTGATGTGCCATAATTCTCGGTAGTAGAGAGGCTGGATAAAAAATGTAAAAACCTGAAAACCTTGAGATATTACGTTAGTAAATGTGGATGGATCATGGTACATACCTGTCAGGACTAAAGATGGCAGGGTCTTCAGGTCCCCAGTATTTCTTGTCCATGTGTAGACCAACAGAGTCTGCCATTACCATGACTCCCTCAGGAATGTCGACTCCCTTTACTGTGCACGCTTTAGTACATCTTCTTGCAATGATCCTATGAATACATAGATCGGACACTGCACGAATTGAATAAAAATCTGACTTGAGTTGAAACTGAAGAAAATCATCCCATGATGTCAAGAATATTACCTCACTTGAATCACTGTTAGGGATATTGAAAGAAGATACGTTTAGAATGAGTAAATTCTAATTGAGGATCATTTTTAACTGAACCACATATCCTCTTTCCTGATGAAAATAAATTAGTCAAAAGTTTTATTTCTATTGACTATATTATTCATCAAATCCTTAAGCTTAATACTGTATATCTAAAAATTATACCGGACGTTAATTATGCAGAATGCAGAATTGAAACCCAAATCTGTTTTTAAATTTGCCTAGATAATAATTTATCTAGATACATATCAAATGATTAGATAATGAGTGGGAATGTACATGTATACAGTAAAAACATGTCTGTACATATACTTACGGAGGAGCTATACTGTGTAGTCTCAAAACCTCACTAAACACCATATCTAAGTAAGGCAGCTTCTGAACAGAGTTGTAAGTAGGACACTAAAAAAACAAATCAATTACAAAAACATTCAGTTTTCATAAAATAAAGACATTAACAATTGTTAGAATATATTAATGATGAAAGTAACTTAGATAATGACTTGACATAAAATCTGATATGTTATTTGGGGAGCATTGGAAATAATATACATGTACTGGGAAAATAAACTAATAGTATATCTATCCCAGAAAATTTCAAATGAAGAGAAAGACAACATTTAAAGTCTTGTGAATCAAACTCTTCCTTATATTGAAAAAAAATACATGTACACTGAAAACAGAATATTTGTACAAATATGCAACCATACCATGTCATCATCATCTGGAAAATATTCATCAATTTCTACTTGGAGTTTTTGTTGGACATCAGGGTTCAATGCTAGTCGGTATGATGTATAGGCTAGAGCAGTACTTGTTGTTTCGTAACCCGCCAATAAGAATATCATCAGATTTGCTTCCATCTCCTTTAAAAATAAATGACAACTAGAAAACAGCAACACCAGGGCATAGCAAATCCCATTTATTCAAATGGCTCCTCGTAGGCAAGATGTCAAAAGAAAATACTTAATGCTTCAATGTATTTACATATAAAATATCAACAATATTGTTCCACTACTTTCTGACTATAGCAAAAGCCATAAAACAACACATAACAATGGCTGCCATTTTTAAAAAAGCTGCTCATTAAACACACTGACATAAGACAGTGTAATTATTCACAAATAAAATCTCAACAAAATCACTCCACTACTTTTAGAAAAATTCTTCTTTGCCATCAATGCTTTGGATATTCCAGTGAAGTTTAATTTTCCATTTTTTCTTTAAAAAACAAAGTCCCAAAAACTGCTACAGTCAATTTAATAAACATAAGTATGAGCCAGCACATAGAAAATACCTCATTTGTCATTCCTTTCTTTCTTAAACTGGAAGATGTTTCTTTGTCACCGGATGATGTTCCAGTTGATTGGTCAGCTGTGTCAGAGTCATCAGAGGTCATTGTGAATGAGGCATCATTAGCATGTTCAGTAGCACTCAGCATAAGATTAATGAAGTCAACTCTGTCAAGCTAAAATTATAATATTGAATGAGATGAGTACAATTGGTAGACTGGCATGGTTGTACATATTTTAAGAACATCCAACTTAACACATTGCACTTCACTTGACTATATCAGAAAGGACAATGATAGCCCAACATAGTACAAACACCAATAAAAAGAGATTTTTGTATGAAACACCCAGACATTTGATCTCAGAATCCTACTTTGACTCGGACTTCAGTAAACATGAGGTTTGGGCAAAGTAGGTTCAATTCTTATACCAGGCATAACAACAGATCTTCTCTCCGAGTCAAAGTAGGATTCCGAGATCAAATGTTAGGGTGTTATGATTAAATGTAAATGAGTGTTTAATTAATTTTTAGTTGTGAAATCTCCCCAATCACATTCTCACTCATGAATGTGGACTGGGGATGAAGCTTAAAAACTAAAGACTACATGTATTGCACCTTTTGTGATCTCCTCATCTGAATAATATGCCGTATGTGTTCCCGCAGATAAATGAATGGATTGTTGAAGATTTCCCCAAGCTTTCTACCCAATCTAAACCATAGAGGCCTCAATTCAGGCAAAAGGACTGAAAGCATGAAACATAGCAATTAAAAGTAGGATATGTTTATTAAATTTCATGAGGCATATGTGACCACTGTAATCATTATGTACCCTATACTTGTAACTACACATCAGTAAAGAATAGGAAGAAAAGCCTCTTTCTTGCAAAGCAGAATGCAGCTTAGAAATCCAATTAGAACTCCTAATCATTAGTAAACAGACTACTCTTGTTGACAGGGAAACACACGCAGGAATGAAAGTAGCTATCTCAATGTCTCAAAATGCATTGAACTGGTGGTGCATTTAAATAGTGCATACAAATACATACATACATGCTGCTATTTGGAGTGCATTCCTCTGTGAAACTCTCAGAAACAGTTCCCTTGCTTTCAGTAAGACAGGGTGTTTAGTATCAACTTGGGCATCAAGATCCGTCCCAAAGGCGCATGCACAAATCACCTCCATAGTAAGGCCTTGGTATACACTAGCAAAGAAACAATTAATAAAAACTTGTTGAGGCTGGGCCTTTCAAATGAAATAAAAAAAAGACAAATAAGGACCCCATTTGACTAAGGGTTAAAAGCCTATACTCTACTTAAATATGCTCAATTGTGAACTATTGTGTCCTAATTTTATGATTAGTATCCATAAGCCAAGCTAGGATCTTAAAATAGATGAGGCATATTTGAATAGGCGAGGGAAAATTAAATAGGCAAAAAATTGAGTTTATAATACTAACATTAGACATCATCTTCAGTTATAAATAAATAAGTACACCAAAATATTGAATAAAATACCTCAAAAACATCAAGTAATTTACCTGTAAATATCAAATGTTGTTCCTGCATTTGCTTTCTCTTCTAAAACATTGAGAAGTTTGCCAACGCTGTTGTTTATCAAAGGAGACATCTGGAAATATGGTAGATTATGTATAAATCATGTATAAATTAATTTGCACAAAGGACAACTTGACAAAATACTACACACTTAAAAATACCTTGAAAGAACAAATAAATGAATATTACTTCCCTAAAGTTTTTACACTTTCAAAAAACATTAATCCAATTAAGATTGCATGGAATAAACCAACCTGTTATTTCAAATTATTGAAATGTGCTTCAATTTTTTCATTACCTTTGTTTTATTTAGTTAAATTACTATTGTTCTCTATTTTTCAGTAAAATCTGCATACTCCAACAACTAGCTAATCTGAACAGTGAACACCTCTCAATAACACTTTTTCTCAGTGCCAATTTTGTTCCATCTCCCATTGACTCACATTAAGAACACTTATGGCCAACCCCAGTGGTGTTCAGATTAGACAGACTACTACTCACCCCTATTAAGAGTTCCAAAAGCACCTTGTATAGAAAACTCACATACTCACCTCCTTCATTCTGACCCCACTGAAAAAGGGACTTGATAAAGCCCTGATTCTCTTCCAATCTTGGCCCTCTGATTGTATTATATCAGGATTATGCTTGGGGCCACGACCCATGGGAAATATCTGTAATTATTACAATTTCTATTTTTTCACTTTTTTCACTTGTATTTTTACTTCTACAACTAATTAAATGTTGAATGAATGGAAATCATTGCAGAAGTATTTGTGCAAAATATATCAGATAAAATTAAATATATCGCACAACAAAAAATAAAAAAGATAATATGTGCAATATTTGACTTGAAAAAAATAAATTATTTCTTACCCTCCTGCCACTGAAATTGCTGAACAAGTCTTTGACAAAAACTTGCTTGATCATCTCAGGATCTGTAATTACTAAGATTGGTTGAGGCCCTTCATAGTATCTAAAATAGAGAAAACAGTATACTGTATATCCATGTCAGTTTCTATATTTGGGTAGTCACCCATGTTTTGATCAGTTTTATTTTAGAATGTTTTTGGGTCTTGTTTTTCTGTTTTGTTGTCCTCATGTTTTTTAAATAAGCACACTCATACATACCCATACATTCCCCCATATTCATTTCTCCACTTTTCCCAGCACTTCAGCAGACCATATTTGTACATGTCATAGAAATTGCCAATAAGGAATGCAGGGGCAGGTCCATTTATACCCATCCTCTTAAACAGGTTATACCGGTTCTTTCTGTGCCTAAAGAAGAAGCAGATTAGTCATTAATATGAATGACAGGTATGGATTCAATAAAGTGGTAAACACTTTCAGACTAGGTAAATTGTATACAATCACTGTAATTCAAAATGTCTGTTGATTGAAAACTACTGATTGCTGAACTAAGCACATGATCATAAATGAGTTTTCAATTGAATTTCTGCCAACAGGGGGAACAAATTAAAAAAAACAAGCAAGATCATTGTAAATACAGTAAAACCTTTACTGTATTTACTGAAAACTTTTGTAAGCAAAACACTTTAACCAGTAGAACACCTTTGGGTCATTTTGGGTTGCTCATTGATTAATCCCAACAATGCTGAAGTCTACAATATGGATACATCAGTCAATTTTTACAGTTTGAATAATCTTTCACTTGAGTGTTTTATAATCTATAATTCTATGAGTGAATGACATACAGATTATACTTTAAAAGATTGTCATATCTTATATATAATGAACCTAGGAAGACCCAAAATTGAGCCCTAGAGTACCCCAGATGTAATTATCAGATTTACAAATATTGTCAGTATATCAATTCTTTGAATATTTTCAACTAACTCTGAGCACATCCTCAAAATTCCTTGATGTTATATGTAAACATAACATGTGAGAAATGCTCTACAAGGCTAATATACATTTAATATGCCATAAGTCTATTGATTATACAAGTTATATATCAGTATGTCATAAAAATATTTTAGGGTTGTTAAGATGAGAACTACATCTGTTAACCTATTTAGAGTACTGAATACTTACAAGACCAACACTGTGAGAAGGATTGCTAGGAGGGTCAATATCCAGGTCAACATGGTTGCTTTGTTCACTCCCAACTCAGCAGTATTAGAGTTTACCTGGAATTTACATTACATTACAGTACATCAAGATAGTCTGATGTAATTGCAAATGTAAGTACAATTTCAACTTGACTTCAACACTTTGAAAACTTAAAACCGGTGCATTTTCAGACATGACCATAGAAATAATGGACGTGTACCAGGATAATACTAATGATATTTAGAATGTTAATCCAAAAAACATTTGTGATGACCTGAGGACACCCCAGGGGGATGACAAACTAATGAGCATAGTATAACAAGCCAGATACAGACATGAAAGAAAGCGGATTAAGAAATTTAACATCATTTTTTGAAGAAAATAAAAAAATTAGACCATATATATCTAGGTCTCTATACTTCCATAGTTTTGAATGATGAAACATGTTATATAAAGTAATCATATTCTAACATTAAGAAAAAAGGAAAGTGCACATTTAGAGTATGATGTACTACGATTTTCTTGGTTACAGTGACACGGGCAGTGACACATCTGAGTAATGAAATAAATTGTTACATCTGTAAGAAAAATAGCTTCCCTATAGGGGACAAATCTTCCGATCCCTATATGTGGGCTCAATGGAGCAAATGAAAAATGTGGACACAGAGCAGACTCAAAATCAAACACTCGAAATGGTATAGATTTTGATTCTCATATCTGATGAAAACATCATTTGTTCAGATACGAGACTCGATATACAGTGGGGGACAAAAATAAAACTCAACGTTCACAAGTTGTCACAATGAGCTAATTTCCAAGTTTCGTGTCTCAAACTCTCCCAAGCGGTAGAAAAATAATTCCCGTTCACTAAAGTAGCACAATTAATGAATCCAAAGCTTCATACCTGCAAATAATGGATAAATCCCTACCAAATCGAATGAATGTTTTCATGAATCGCCATGTTTGTTATCCAAGGACGGTTGACTCCCAGAATGCAACATCAGTTACCGTATTTACTCATGACAGGTTTCAAAATGGCGGATCAGCATTTTGAAAGCTGGCACGTGTCATGTTGCATTCTGGGAGCCAATCCTCCGTTCCGGCGCAATCGGGCGACAAAATCACCTCAACATTTGAAGAGTCGGCATAACATGTGATTATCCACTTCAACTTTTGAAGTTCTTATTTGTCATTAGGGACACACATTCCACTATATTTGGACTTACTCAGACGGAGAAAATAGAGCACTGAAACTACTGAGGTAAGAATTTATTACATGTGCAACAGCATTTAATTTTCATAGCTTTTGCAATTCTTTATGATCCCCACTGTAGACTCTACATGTACAAAATGGCATTCATTCAGCATTCTTACAATTTTGATATTTTACAATATATATTTCAAGAACTCAACTGCACAGTTAGTACTTTATGACTTGCTTAGACGAGTTAAGGCTGTTGTCAGCTTTTGAGTGTTATCGCTTTAGGGGATAGGACTAGGACTCCTACAGTAATAGGAGGAAGACGGGAACCCGGAAGTAAAACAATCCATAACATTAGGAACAAATACAATTTGCCTGACTTCATGGTTATTAAACGATAATCTACAAGTTCTGCATGTTACAGCACATTTATACTTACGGTTTTATAACAAAAACTTCCCAATAGTATTTTCTGTAGAACAATAGAAGAGGGAAATTAAGAGAGCACTAGATTTAGACTTTTTGTTTTGAAAAGGCTGTCATGACTCGCCCCAATTCAATTACAATGTAGGATTTACACACCACTACAGTTATTCTAAAACTATATCTGTTTAATAATTAATACAATTTTGAGAATTATTCATCGCGGCATATGTAATGTTTGTGGTTTCATCTGAGAGAAAAGGCTAACGTGGTCCTCCAAGGTGTAGATCTATATTCTTGTTATGGCGTGTCGTGTATTTCTTCAGTCCGTAAATTTAAGCATGAAAGTTTTAAATTTCTATATTTTTATTTTTCCCAAAACAAGGCGTTTTCCTATGTTAAAAAATGAAAAGAATTAAATCGGACCAGTTGAATGGATGCTTCAGTGATTATGTGAAGAGACGTGTCTATTCTGTAAGTACACCTTCATGGAATACACTCTTGAAAATGTCAGTAATTCTTTAGTTCATGACACTTGACTGTCTCTCTGACTGTCACTTACTGAACACAGCTGGCTCAAAAGCCAGCTGACGAACCGTTAAAATATACCGTCTTGTGAAGTGGTTTTCTCCAACTTCCAGCAGGCGCGCTGGAATAAGAAAACGGTATTTAAGAAGATAATTGAATGTAACTTTTCATGACGCGTGGTGACAATAAGTCCTACTTGTTGCGTAATTGCAGTTAAGTGGAGAAATTCCAGAACTGGCGCGCACCATTTTTTAACTTTTTGCGCATGCGTACACATGCGCATTGTACTTTTTATGCGCATGGGTATTACTGCTGAAAGATCATGTGACTATTCATATTTAGCTAACGCGAGTTATTTTGTAGCAAATTTTTACTTTCGAAAGTCACGAGATCTTGCGAGACCTAAAATGGCTGGAATCTAAATTCAAAAGTTTTGTTGTCTTAAGGCGACGCTATATTAAATAAAAAGTACAAAAAATTACTGCCATATTTTTTTGATAAAGACACATGTTTTTAAAATCTGTTTACCTTGTATATGAATTGTGTATCTTGACTAATGAAACATGTCAAAGTTAACATCACACATAAACACATTTTTCCAAACTATGAATTGGAGGTGCATGGATCCCCAAAGCTAGCATGAAGAGTGCGAAGTGAGGCTAATTTTTGAAAGTTTCAAGGAGTAGTCTTGCAACAGTCACACATTTGCAAGAGTCTAAAATTTCCACAAATCATCTTACCTTACCAAGGAACAACGAAGGAGCACGAAAATGTGTACTTCTTGCATTGTTAGAGTATAATAAAGCTCAAACCATTGTGAATTCTAAATATTTCATGTCCACCATTTTGTTTCCTGGAACTATTTTTTAGTCCAGAGTTATCTTCATTCATGTTTCCATTGTTTATCATTCATAAAGCCTCTATCATGTATCTATCATGATAATTACACTGTAATAGATAAAACATACAAGTGATAATCCATGCCACTTGGTGTAGTCACAAAACTTGCATGAGGATTAATCAGGAAGTCTAGAAGTAGTTCCGGCAAACAAAATGTGGACATGAAATATTTGGAATTTACAATGGTTTGAGGTTTATTATACTCTAACAATGCAAGAAGTGCACATTTTCATGCTCCTTCGTTGTTCCTGGGTAAGGTAAGATGATTTGTGGAAATTTTAGACTTTTGCAAATGTGTGACTGTTGCAAGGCTACTCCTTGAAACTTTCAAAAATTAGCCTCACTTCGCACTCTTCATGCTAGCTTTTGGGATCCATGCACCTCCAATTCATAGTTTGGAAAAATGCGTTTATGTGTGATGTTAACTTTGACATGTTTCATTAGTCAAGATACACAATTCATATACAAGGTAAACAGATTTTAAAAACATGTGTCTTTATCAAAAAAATATGGCAGTCATTTTTTGTACTTATTATTTAATATAGCGTCGCCTTAAATAGAACATTGATTTACTACAACAACAGACTGTTGAAGGAACAAAATAAGGGTATGCAACTATGTGTAATAACATGAGACATTCAAAATTAGCAATGCCATGCTTCCCTTTTATGGTGATATTTCAAAAAGTATTGGATACATGTACATGTTTTTGTATTATTTTGAATAAAAATCAATTTTCAATATGATTAAAGCATAAAATATATTCAATCTCATGTAAAAGTAAACAAAAAAGACCAATAAGAATAAGAGGTATCAAGATGTTCTCTTCGAGTATTGCATTGTGGGTAATTATTCAAGAACACATTCCAATTAAAAATTTAATTTGTGGGAGAATGTTCACTTTCTGTATTGTCATAATTACGATGAATTCCATTTTTTATTAAATTTTCAATATGTATGGAGATAATCATGTTTTTATTTTTGAGTTATTTCTTTAAATCATCCATAAAACGGACAAAATAAGATTTTCTTGGAATGTGTACATTCTCCAATTTTGAAAACCCAAAGGCAATGCCTATGTATGAAATGTGGGGAGTTGCCTACCCTTCTAGTTGAAAGCCCATAGAATTATGTATTGATTCAAATATATAGCGTATTATAAAGGCTACTCAGCACAGCGTTTAATCAAAATGGGCCCGATTTATTCTCTTCAAGTACACATGCATCCAACTTCCCAGAGCTGACTTCTCTCAGCTCGGTAGAGTAAACTGTCACTGACAGTGATTGATACTGATCATAGTGATAGCGCTACAAACAATCACCCTTAGATTTCCTTGTCAAATTTCTTTCTTTTATTTTAAACTCTGCGAAACATGACAGTGAGGACCTTATCCTCAGAAATAAGATAAAATTGAAAAGATTTCCATTTGTCAATTTTTAGTATTGCACAAACAAGCAAAATTCCTATTCCTATGTTCATCCATGGACTTCTAATCACGTTCAACAACTCATCATATTATGTATTATCTGTCATCCCTTAGTCTTTAAATTACTGTCATTCCCGTCTCATGTACCAGTTATTTTATCTCTGGTACTTTTCATCTCAATTAAGGGGTTATAATATCAGTCTATGGTACCTAGTAGTAGCTCGATAGATACCAGAGATTCTATAAACATGTATTCAATAATTTCATTATATTTTCAAGGATGAACCAGCACAGTCAAAGAAATCTAAAGAAGGTCAAAATACCATGAGTAAGATGACATTAAGGAGGAGTACCCAGAAGGATACTGGAGTTGGGGAAGTCTTGAGCTTTTCCAGCATATCTGGGGATACTACTTCCTTTGATCTACAGTATACAAAGTAAGACTGACTCGATGTCACCTTAAAAGATATGTCATGAACAATAAGTCCAAGAAAAAGTGCTATATGCAGGGGTTTCATTAGCAGCAGGCAACAGGCGATTTTCACCATTTGTTTTCACAAAGTTGCCTGTTGTTTTTTATAGACCTTCAACTTATCCATGTTAATTTTATGATTTCCATTAATTTTGCCTGTTGTTTTCATTTATTTAGCCTGTTGAGAGAAATTTTAGTGAAATCACTGAAGATGTTTGTCTGGTGAATGGGTGAATATGCCTGATCAGTATTTTTATGATGCCACACTGACTGGAAATTTATTATCATGAATGCATATTGATTTTTTTATTCAGGATTAAGAAATTCATTCTTGAATCACCAGAACCTATGCAGAGTGATCTAAAAGAAATCCTCTACCCATTGTTTGTCCATGTATACCTAGAGCTGCTATGCAATGGGCACAAGACACCAGGTAATGGCAAAATAACTGGTTGAACAATTGCATGTATTTAAGCCTATTTTAAAAGTCTCTGTGTGTCAAAGATGTTAACCTGGGATGTCGCATTCTTAGCCATGAACATTTATAAGTCAATTGTTGTCACCATAGAAATAATTACATCATACCAGTAGTTAAAGTAGAAGTCTTATGAACTCTCATCTAAGAGGGCGGTAATTGTCAATTTCGATAGTTTTAGTCTTCATTGAATTAAACTGCTTTAGTTGACGTTTTGCTTTGATATTTGAACCCAATCAATCTTATATGACATGAGAACTATGGAGTATGATAATTTGCTCCTATATCGTGCTTGGTTGCCACAATTCAACAATATCTTCCACCTCTTAAGGGAAGGTGGTAATGTATGAGATGATAACGGTCATGTTAGTTTTCAATACGCAGTAACTGGACACCTTAGCCATCCATTATAAACTCTCATAACATTACTACATCACCGCATATCTTATCATCTGTAAAACCAAAATTACAGTTACCTTCCCTTAAAGGTAGATTATGCTTAAGGTTTCTGCCCCGGACAATCAACGATGGCCCATTATAATGGCCTTATTTTGTTCATATTTTGTACACATATACCCAATGTGGGTAGAAGTTCTGCTCGAAAACCGATTTTCAAAATGGCTGCTCATTTAAAAATGGCGGCCGTTTTAGTGCCGATTTTACAGTTACTTAGGTACTGCATATAAAACTGTAAAAGCAATATGTTTTAAATGTAAAAAGGTTATATAGGACATTGATTAAGCTAGAAATGTAAATACAGAAGAAATACATGGCAGCCATCTTGAAAAATGGCTGCCTTTGCAAGTCATCTTACGATTTTTGCTGTAACTTGAAAAGTAGTTGAGCGATTTTGTTTATATTTGGTATGTGAATACTTTAAGCATGGCACAATGTCTAATGACATTTTTGGTAGTAGGTGGCCATTTTGAAAAATGGCCGCCATTTTTACGTGTGTTATTTAACATTATTTACTGAAAGTCAAAAAGTAGTGGAGCGATTTTGTTCATATTTGGTTTGTGAATACTTTAAGCATGGTGCAATGACATTTTGGATTTTTACGTGTGTTATTTTAAATTTTTTACAATAACTCAAAAAATAGTAGAGCAATTTTGTTTATATTTTATATGTGAATACTATAAGCATGACACACTGTCTAATGACACTTTGGGTAGTAATCGGTCATTTTGAAAAATGGCAAGCATTTACAATGTATGTGTGTGCCATTTTTTTTAAATTTTATATGTGCCTACTAAAGCATATTACTTCTTCTGATGACAATTTGGCTAGTGAGCAACCATTTTGAAAATGATGGCCTTTCTTATGGGTGTTATTTTATGATATTTGCTATATATTTTGTTAGTAAAAATGCCAGCCATTTCTGTTCGATGGGATTCGCTACGCTTTGGGGTTGCCGTTGTTCTGGTATGATTTCTGAGATACCTTAGATAAATTTTGGGACTAATTTATGGGTATAGTATTGCTTATATATTGAGAAAATTAACAGATCAACCAACTGTCAGAATTGAACACTATTGAGTTTGATTGTGGCCTTTGAGGGAAATAACCCTTTCATATGACATGAGCACACGATCGTCATCAAACTCGGCACGTGCCTTGAGCTAGGCAACCAATCCGATTCAAACCTGGTTGTCAGTTTCTTTTAAAATCTCCAGAATTGCCATTTACGGAGTTCGTTTTTTCATGTAACCATACTGATAGATAAAAACGACCAATCAGATAAGACATGTATTTCGCTTATTTATTCAAGTTTCAGATAATTGATTTTGACTAAAATAATGCGACCGGACAGTACAATCACAAAATTAGCACATAAAGCACATAAAGGTGAATATGTGGTACGGTTTAATATGCAAAAAAGTCCAGGGGGGTCTTCATTGTGCTTTCCTATCATCACATCCCTCTTTAAGCGATGAAAGATATCATTGAACTGTTGTGCCTATGAATGGTATTTGAACAAATGATCATACTCCAGAGTTTCCATGTCATATAAGCCTGATGTATTTCACATATCAAAGCATTACGTCAACTATAAAGTGATTTAATTCAACGAAAACCAAAAATATAGAAATCGACACTAACAGTCCGCCATCTTAGAAGCGAAGATTATCCGTTATCTTTGCTTGATACTAACCAAAGAGAATGCTTATGGAAATGCGACCCATAATAAGATCAGCAATTCCAAGTGAACGTGAATCTTGAAACTAAAGTGATTGTATATTTATTCAATTTGATTCATAGGGAAGATGATTTTATCAATTTAAATTTCAGCACATAAGTTCTACAGCAGACACCACCTTTACTTCAAGGAACAGAATGAATATTCATCTGTATTGGAAGCCCTCTCTAACATGTTTAACAAGGAAGATGTCATTGCAGACAAGGATATCAATAGCATGAGGTGAGTCAACCAAATTCTAAAAGGCATGATTCAAAAGATTTGTCTTTTTGTTTGGAAATTCAGAATTTATTAAGATTCAAACATGAAACCTCACCAACATTTTTCGAATATTCATCATGGCCTGCCATTACTACGGCCTGCCGTTATCACACATTACTCATATTACCAGGTGCAGGTATATTTATAATAAAAACAGGTTCAAGCTAGCCAGAGGCAGTCAGAAGGAGGTACTTTTATGTTTCTGCTTTAAAAGTATCAACATCTTCCACCATAAGTCTCATGCAGTATGTTTCCATGCTTTATTGTTGTGGTTAGTCATTTCACTTCTTACAATCCAGTCATTTTATTACTCTGATTTAGACACAAACAAGTTCTGTATGTATTCATTTGAATCATTTTTATTTCTATCTATTTTGTACAGTTCAAAGTATTAATCAAATATCTAAATGTTTTACAGGTTTGCAGGATACTTGAGGATTTGTATTAATAATTAGTTTAATTTATAGTTTGTTGAGTTTAAATGTTTCTACAACTGGTTGTGCATTTTCCTTCTCAAAATTCTGGAAGTCATTGTTCTCATGCCCCATATCATACTTTGTTCCAGATTGTTCACTAGTCCTGGAAATAGACAAATACTAATGTTGAAGAAACCATAGATGCTTTATCACTGCATTTGGCTAGCTCAGAAGAAGCTTTAATTTCATCATCTATATTCATTTCTATCTAGCGCTTTTATTATTTCTTTCACAGTTTTATATCATTTAAATGAATACCCGCAGCTGAAGCATTTATGATCTTGTCCAAACTGTTCCCCATCTTCTATTGTCTCAGGTAGGGGCTTTCCTTTGGTTTCTGGTAGGAAGAGTGCCAGGAGACCAGATACCAGAGACACTATACCTAGTAGAATCAGAGGCAACACCCTGCTTACATCACTCTGCAAATAGGGCAATCAAAAATTTTTTATTTCTGGAGTCTGGTGTTGACTTGGTCATTGACGATAATAACAATTCATTATCCAGAATGCCAGTAAATGTTTTGTACAAATGATTGAAGTTCTACCTTGGTGCCTTCAAAGTTGAAAAACATGGATTTTTCTCAATACTTTTTGATCATACATGTGTACATTATTGAACAAACTCAATATATCATTACCAGTAATCCCACATAAGCTGATATAATACCAGCTATTCTGGCAGCCATAGAGTTGAAGCCCACTCCCGATGCTCTCAGTGGGGTAGGGTAGACTTCAGCAGAGTAGATCCAAGCCATATCGAATGATGCCGCAATAGCAAGCTTACCAGCCATTGACAACACAACAATGATTACATTCTTATCTGGAAAATGTGATCAATACTTTCAAAGTTGAAGCCAGAGACATTGACAATTTCTATTGAGAGAATTAGTCTATAATTTCTTTACCTAAGGGTACAGCTATGGTTGCTATGAGACAAACACCTCCAAAGAGCATACACATAGAAAATGGCAATCTTCTTCCTATGTACATGAAGCTAGTTATCAATACCACCTGACAAAAGAGCATACATGGATTATCCATTCATCATAGAATTTTACTTCCAATTGTATAAATGCAGTTAGAATTAAATGGTTTTTGGACAGGTTTGGTCAGGAGCTGGAGATACAGACCACCAAATTTCCCCATGAATTTTTCTGTTGGTCTCATTGTTTAAGGTAATATTGTGATTGATTATGAAGTTCCACTATAACTAGTTTTTTAAACCTTGGCCACAATCTCCACTGCTCCAGATATGAAGAAGTTAACATAGGGGTTCCCTCCGAGGTTGGATGTATTCAAAGACAGGCCATAGTAGACCAGACTGTTAGAAAACCTACAAACACAAATATATTCTCCGTATGAATCTTGGCCATGGATCAGCACATTTTATAATGCTGAAGAATTAAGGATTTTTCCCAAAATGACTAGATTGCCCAAAATATCTGTTTTGCCAAAAGTGGGAATTGTGCCCGAAGCCAGTTTTGACTGAAAATTCAGTAATTTTGTATATTTGGAAAATAGGTCCCCAAAAGCTTGGGTATGTGTCTGTGATATTTTATGTGGTTTCTTACCACACATAAGAAAGAATCAGAGTTCTTTTTCTTAGATTAGGAGTCTTGAAGAGTGCTATGAAGTTGCCCTTTGCTTCCTGTCCCTTCTCTAAATCTATGCTGAACTTTTCTGGGAGTTTATCACATGCATTGTTCACATGGGCTATTGCTTTGATGACTCCTTTTGCATCCTTTTCTTTACCATTCTGTCTCAACCATCGAGGTGACTCTGGATAGAGCCTAAATACAACAATAACTAGAACTATATAACAATAATATCACAATGGCTTGTCATATATCACAATGATTTGCCATATATCACAATGGATTACCATATAGTACAATGATTTGCCATATATCACAATGATTTGCCATATGTCACAATGGCTTACCATATGCCACAATGGCTTACCATATATCACAATGGCTTACCATATATTACTATGGCTTACCATATGTCACAATGGATTACCATATGTCACAATGGATTGCCATATTTGTTGGCTTACCATATGCCACAATGGCTTACCATATATCACAATGGCTTACCATATATTACAATGGCTTACCATATGTCACAATGGATTACCATATGTCACAATGGATTGCCATATATCACAATGGCTTACCATATGCCACAATGGCTTACCATATATCAAAATGGCTTACCATATATTACAGTGGCTTACCATATGCCACGATGGCTTACCATATATCACAATGGCTTACCATATGCCACAATGGCTTACCACATGTCACAATGGATTACCATATATCACAATGGATTACCATATATCACAATGGCTTACCATATATCACAATGGCTTACCATATATTACAATGGCTTACCATATGTCACAATGGATTGCCATATATCACAATGGCTTACCATATGCCACAATGGCTTACCATATGTCACAATGGATTACCATATATCACAATGGATTACCATATATTACAATGGCTTACCATATGTCACAATGGATTACCATATATCACAATGGCTTACCATATATCACAATGGCTTACCATATATTATAATGGCTTACCATATGCCACAATGGCTTACCATATGTCACAATGGATTACCATATATCACAATGGCTTACCATATATCACAATGATTTGCCATATATCACAATGGCTTACCATATATTACAATGGCTTGCCATATATCACAATGGCTTACCATATATCACAATAGCTTACCATCTTGTTAGATATAAAGATAGTTCACCATATATATACTATGTATATGTATGCATAAGAATAACTAATCAGGTATCATAATTACTATATGTATAATTCATTCATCATCATCAAGTTCAATGTGGTTTCCTGTTTTACTCAATTCTGCTGTTATACTAGTGTGATATATCCTATATTTTTAGATATGCAATATTTACACTTTGTGTACTAAATGTATAATAATATTAAAAATAATTTGATATCTGTTGGCAAAAGGAATAACTGGAGGATATCGCCACAATATACTCCAGGAAACCAATATGCAGAGGATATTTTGACGATATACTCCACTTGTTGATTTCCCGCCAAATCGAACTATTTGACAACTTGGATAAAGATTTTAACAATAACTCACCATACATAACCTAGGAAAACAACACTAGGTATAGAGATTAAGAGTTGTAGTCTTCGCCACTCTCTGACAGCATACGCCAGGCCTGCCAAAGACACCATCCCAAGTGTCCATCCTGTCAATGATATTGTCCCAGCAGCTACCCTGTACTTTGGACCAATCAGCTCCATTACTAAGTTCAAGAAAAAAGTAATGGTCAGTCAACTATATTACTGAGTTCAAGGAAGAAATTAAATGGTCTATTAACTCCATTACCGAGTTCAAGCAAAAAGTAACAGCCAGTAAGCTCCATTACTGAGTTTAAGGAAAAATATAATGGTCTATTAGCTCCATTACTGGGTTCAAGCAAAAACATAATAGCTAATCAGCTTTCTTACTGAGTTTAAGTAAAAATTAATGGCATATCGGCTCTATTACTTAGTTTAAGCAAAAAGTAATGGCCAATCAGCTCCATTACTGAGTTTGAAGAAAAAATAATGATGGCATGAATGATTGCTGACTCAGTGTTAAGCTGCTGGCAGAAGCACTGACTTATAAGTGACCTGTCAATTACTCAACAATTTAGTTTTTATTTGTTGGCTTTAGATCCTTTTGAGTCACCATGGGACTATTCATTGTAATTGAGAAATATCTGGAGGAAGATGTCAGGTTGTGTTGATTGCATTTTTATGATTTAGAAGAGAAAAACTTCATCAACATATAACAAAATCCCATGCTGTTGCTAATAAAACCAAATTAGGTCCCTTATTAGAATCTCTTATTAAAATGTAAAGTAAGATCTTACAAATGACGTAGCTTGTCTGTGTACTTCCTGTGATGAAGCATGCTGTAAGGAAGCGGAAGACGGTGTATGATATGATCTCTGGCAAGAATGCTGTGCTTATTGACGTTACTATGGTACCCAGCAATGTCGCAATATAGATTTTCTTTCTGCCAAATCTAAAAAATACAAGATGAGCCAAAAAAGGTTACCCAAACAAATGTTAATAACCCAGTCATTCAGCGTGGGTTTATGGTCATACTGGGCACAATTAAACCTTGTTAAATGTTTTATTGGTTTATCCCCAATGATCAAGATTTTATGGCCATTTTACAAAATCTGCTGTAAAATACTGGCATCCTTAAATGTTTTGGCCAAGTTGTTCACTACACGAGCACAGACATCTTGTGTAATAGCTCTCATTTTTTTCTCTCATTTTAATGTTTCAAGGGTTGTTAGTGTAGACATTTGCTCAGTGATAAAAATCTGGGGGGATCTATGTCTGATGAGTGTGGCACATCGTCATGTGTGTGTGTAGTTGGTGTAGTGTGTATAATAATCGCATATGAGCTACAAGGCTATCTGTACCTATGGTGTAGCAGCATAGTATGTGCAGCAAGCACATATGAGCTCCTAGGCTACCTCTAACCATAGTGTAGCAGCATAGTATGTGTATTGAGCTTTATAGTAAGCTCCGAGTGTATGCATGCTCCTAGATCACCTTTACCCATAGTGTAGCAGCGTAGTATAGGTAGATAACATATGCACGCTCCTTTAGCACCTATACTCCCAGTGTAGCAGCATAGTATGCGTAATAAGTGTAGTAACTGTAGTATGAGTAGCAAATGCATAATTATGAGCTCCTATGTAACCTCTACCAAAAGTGAACTCAAATGGATGGATATTCTGTATCATACTTGCAGCAAAATGTTGTTTCTCAAAAAAATCATGGGATGTCATCGACTAATTTGATTAACCTTGTGGAGCAGATCGACGGTCGTTTTAAGAAATTTCAATATTTTCACACAATTTATTTTTACTGAAAATCTGCTAATTTGCAGAGAAATTGAACCAGTACATGCAATGACAATTTCAATCATCTGAAATCTTTAATGATCTAATATGAAGTTACTAAAAAAAGGCACAGACGTTTTACACTCAGAATGATCATTTTTCCATTTTAACTTCTTAACATATTTTGAAGAAGGCTACTCAAAACAAGGTTTAAAGCAGTTACGCTATGCTGAATGTATATAGTTGTTGCGTGTGAACTGTGAAGCATTGTCCAATACATGTAATTATAAAGTTGACTCAAATGAAAAATGAGCTAGTAGACATTACCCTCATCCGATTGAACTTTAGAAAAATGATAATTATTATCCTAGATAATCTAAATACAGATCTAAATACCTGTTGTTACCAGCCTGCAAAAATATTTTGTCATCTTTTATCAATAATATGTGTGACCTAATTAAAAATATTTTGAAGTTTGGATTTTCAGAATTGAATTCATTTTTTAACAAAATACTCAATTGGCCAGGCGGGGCTATTTGAAAGATACATGTAATGTGTACATTGAGCATTTAGTCAGAAAATTTCACCCGGTGCTTTCAGGTTTGCCTCCAAACATAACATAAGACTGGCATTTTGGGCATGTTTTGTAAATGGCCATGAAATCGTAACCATTTGGAATAGATCAATGAAACTTGTTTGAAAGAAAGAACATTGAACAAGGTTTAATTTTCCCAAAGGAGGAGGAAAAGTATCAAAACAGATTTCAGACAGTCATATGTTGGATTTTGGCTATTTTCTGAGGATTTAAACAGGTGCATATGTTAGGCCAATGCATTACCCCCAGGAAAAGCACTCATAGAGATGATAAAATAATTTTGACTTGGAGACAAGGAAGATACAAACAACCCATTGCACCCACATTTTTTCTGAAATGTTTTCCTGATTTTCAACCCCTTCCACCCCTGCTTTTTTATTTAAATTTTTCTTTCTTCAGGGTGTCTAAAGATATTCATTATGGGCTGAAAGCAATGGATCGCACGAGTTTTCCCTATGGGAAAATAACATGGGAAATATTGTTTTCCACTTTATCTTAAACGAATCAATTATTCCTTTTAAGGGGTTAACTGTGTGCCAAAACACAACATATTGATGCAAGAAAAATTAAAAAAGCAGGGGTGGAAGGGGTAGAAGGGGTTGAAAATCAGGAAAACATTTCAGAAAAAACATGTGGGTAGGTTGTTTGCATCTTCCCTGTCTTAAAGTCGAAATTATTTTATCATCTCTAGGAGTGCTTTTCCTGAAGGTAATGCATTAGTGTAGGACATGCTACTGTTTAAATCCTCAGAGAGTAGCCAAAATTCAACATATGACTGTCCGAAATCTGTTGCGATACTTTCCCTCCTCCTTTGTCCTCAGACCCATATTGGATGACTATTGGATGATATTGATGATGAGTTATTATGATTTATATGGGTTACCTTTTTTGGCTCACCCTGTTATATGTATATTGCATTTATAGCATCCTCACATGCATCCGCATGCATTTGCAATTAAAGTAAATCACCACCATTGGTGGTGATTTACTTTAATTGTCCATTTACCTAGGCCTCAGGTTATTCTTGATATAATGTATGAGATCATTTAATTGTAAAGTACATACTTTAGAATAATTGAGAATAATGTCGAGGGTATTGTAGGAGTAATTCATGCATACTTCTATCCCTTGGAATAGAGATATTGTGGGTTACTGACTGCTGAAAGTGTTTCCTTCAATTTCCTTTAGAACGTCAATGTAACGAGATGGATGAAATCTCTGGATATGAGTTTTTTGTTTTCTCAATTTAAACTTACATATAGGCCTAACTTATGTTGCTAATTATCATTTGGCACAAAACAATATAGTTTAGCTTTTAGAAATGCTCTTGGTTTGGAATTTAATTTTTAAATAAAGCTGTAATTCCTGCATTTAGACCATCGCTTTTGTTACATTGACGTAAGTTGTCAAAGTAACCTACATTGGTAATATAACGGACATTCGTCAATGTAACAAAAGTGAGGGGCTAAATATATGAATTGCAACTTCATTTGCAAAACAAATTCCAAATCAAAGATTTATACAGTAATTTAGGTACAATATATAAAACTGTAATAGCGATATGTTTTAGATGTAAAAAAGTCATATAGAACATTAATAAAGCTGGAAATGTAGATATTTAAGAAATACATGGCAGCCATCTTGAAAAATGGCGGCCTTTACACGCTATTTTATGGTTGTTGCTGTAACTTGAAAAGAAGTGGATCAATATTGTTTATATTTGATATGTGAATATTCATAAGCATGACGCACTGTTTTATGATACTTTGGCGAGAAGACGGCCATTTTAAAATGGCCGTTATTTTTACATGTGTCATTTTACTTTTTTTATTATAACTCAAAAAGTAATGGAGCGATTTTGTTCATATTTGAATGTGAATACTCATAAGCATGGCACACTCTCTCATGAAACTTTAGCTAGTAGGCAGCCATTTTGAAAAATTGCCGCCATTTACATGTGAGTGTGTGCAAATTTATTAAAATTTTAAATGTGCCTTCTTAGAAGCATATTACACTTTCTTATGACAATTTGGCTTATGAGCAACCATATTGAAAATGTTGGCCATTTTTGTGTGATAATGATAATGAATTTTCAAGATGGCCACTTAATTTCAAAATGGCTGGCATTTTTTTTATAGAAAACCATAATCTTTGATGATAATATACCAGTAGACTGATTTTGTTCAAATTTTATATACTAATGCCTAGAGATAAAGGAGCTCTCCTCGAGATAGCAGCTGAAATAGCCACTTTTTGTAAAAACATAATCTCCAATAAATTAAATACCAGTGGACAGATTTGGTCCAAATCTCATATACTTATACCTAGGGACAAGGGAGCTCTGTTCAAGAAGAGATTTTCTAGATAGCCACTATTTATCAAACCATGTTTTGTTCGGTGGGATTTGCTACTCCATGGAGTTTCTGATTTCTTGTTTGAGTTTTTTTTATTGTATGTCAAAATAGGGCCATTCAAAGGCCCGCTCAATAGGGAAAATCTATACTAAATTAGTTTAAACATGTTGGGGATTTGCCAAATGGAATTCTGTGTTTCATTTTATTTATTCACAGCATGAGTACTAAACTAGTACTTCTCTAGTGAATGAGGATTTCAATCACGGCCTATGAGCGCATTAATGCATTCTACAATTCAGCATAGATAGAGATCTAATAATCTTGATAGTTTAAATTGAACCCTTCAACATGTTCAAAGACTGTATCTTGCCCCAAATACGTAGGTACGAGGTTTTTTATACAAAGCCCATTAATATTTTAAACTTCACTTTCATGTATACTTCTATCATGGCCATGCATAATATGAAATATTATGATTCCATTGTTTCTCAGGTATAATCAAGTCAGAAAGGCATTCAGTAAAACAAACATTACTGCCCCCTCCCACCATCAAATGAACAAAATAGAGAAGCCTTGTCATACAAATGTCATGGAAAGTGACACAAATACTATAGTATATTATTTTTACTATTGAAGTCTATTCTAAATGAATCAAAAATATGATGTTTAAAAGAAAGTTGGCATTATTTTTGGGTGATAACTTCAAAGACATTATGTTAACATAACCATCGAGGTCAAACATCCTAATTAAATACTATCCGGCATGTCTCTAAGGACACTAGAGTTGTTATTATGGATGTCATTTAGATTGAAAATATAAATACGTACTCTGTAATTGACAAAGCCAAACTTGGTTGAAAAACTATTGTTTAATTCTTTATTTTACTCATTGGTTGGTTATGAAAAGATTAACTTTTCAACTTTGTAACCAGCATACCTCCAAAGGCAAGCCAGATTCTCGCCTTTCTAATTGTCACTCAGACTGGGATACATAGAGGCATTCTTTTGAGCCTGCTTTGCTCAATTGTATGTGAAGAGAAACAAGTGTCATGCACACGTGTCTTATTGAGTGGTTCAAAGTATTTTCTTTCTCACTTATCAAGTTACTTCTCTCATGGACATGACGAAAATTCACGTTTCTCGCAAACACATTCTTCAAAGCTCGTCTAAAGCCTTTCATTCTTAAAACATAGGTGACAGGATTTACACAGGCTTGGAGCAAGATGAGAATAAAGCAACAATGATGTAAAGTCATATACACCAACATGTTACCAGAGTCCTTCTTGAAAGGTATTATTGCTGTCAATGTTAGACTAGGTACCCATGTAAGAAAATATGGACCTAGTACCATTATCCCTGTTTTTACAATTTTCAAATGGCAATTCCTCTTGTAGCAGTTATGGTGTACTTGGCATGTTTTCTTTGTCTGGGATTTCTTGAACATGGATGAATCATTCTTCTTGCTTTCCAGGTTGTTCTGATTGTCCTTGAATCTCAATTTTTCTAGAACTAGTTGTTTCTGTTGGCGGCTCGCTGTAATGAATATTTGACTATAGCAAAATGTGGTAATTACCACTGAGATCAAAATGCATGTGATGACTAAGAATGTGTATGGCAATGGGTGGATTGTAACTTTCGAACAATGGAAAGAATCGTTCATATCATCTGTGTAAGTATTCCATCCCATGGCTGGCGAAAATGATAGGCCTCCAGCAAGGATGAGCATAACCCCGACAATAATCAAACACCTCTTTGTTGTGATCTCTGTCCGCAAATATGGGTGCAAGACCCGAATGTACTTCTCTAAGGCAATGCAACTAAGGCTCAAACCAGATATGATTGCAGTAAACGAAATGATCTCACTTCCAATCAAACACAATGTTAGGTTCTTATTTATGTCGGACTCAATGAAATATGACATTGATTTCAACGGAAAAGTTACAAAAGCAGTCCCGAGATCAGCCACAGCAAGCATAACTGTAAAGGCAATGTTGATACCTCTATTATGGCAAATTTGTGGATTTTTCCTGACCGCAATGAGCATCACAATGTTTCCGAAGCAAACAAATGGAACAATTCCCAAGCATATCCAAAAGAATGGATTTACAATGTTCATGTTTGTAAATTAGATATTCTGTAACCCAGGTGATATCATGTGATCCTTTGTGATATCATGTGATCCTTTGTTATGCCAGGTGTTCCTTTAATTAAGTATTCCGAGTCCTGGTGTCGTTTTAATCTGGCATAATTTTTATCAGCTATTCCTTATTCGATATAGATTTTAGATTATATTTAATGTCACTAACTTTTAATTATTCTGCTTATCAGGTATACCATTGGACTGCTTGAAGTGTTCTTTATAGATGTTTCCATGGATTATCTCAAAGTTTAAAATAATCACAAAATCCACTCAGTACTATAGTCCAAGTAAAAGTGATTTTTAACAAAATCATCTGAAAGAACAGTGATCGTCTAATGATGAGAATATATATATGGTAAAGGTATGTTAAGCCACGTGATATTGTATCTCATGGTAGAGTATGTACAATGTAAATGACTCAACATGTGCAATATTATTTTAATAAACAACAAATAAAGTAATTATCAGCAGATGCTTTTCTACTTTAGTGAAATATTATGCAGACAGATCAAGCATAAGAGTACCTCATTACTGCATCATTTTGATAATTATAGAATAACATGCTACCTTATTGAAATTCTGTCTGTCCCGAGGAATGATGAAGATTCAGAAGCTTCATTTAAAATTATAAAGAACAAGATGGGAACAAATATGTAAGCATAAGCACAAGTGTCAAAGGGAAAGAACCAAAAGTTGTGTATACCAGTCATAAGAAAAACAAACCCAATATATCCCAAAACCATGATCTAATGTGAAAGGAAACAATGTGTAATACCCCCTTCCCCCACCATTCAAGAACCAATATCACAATCCAAGATCAGAACACCAAGGGACATTTCATTCATACTGAAGTCATAACCAGGGAGTAGAAATTCGTCCAGTATTTTCATCTGGCACAAACCGAGATACTGGAGGCAGACCTCCATTTTATCCCACTGAACGAAGTTCGACGGGGATATAGAAAAGCAGTCCATCCGTATGGTCGTGTGTCCGGGCACTGACTGAAATACCAGTTTATGGATTTCATTCAAATTTTATAGGCTTATGCCTTATGGGTGTAGGACCTCTGCTCAAGAAAGAATTTTCGTCAAAAGGAAAATAATATGTGTTTTGTCTCACCTTTTGACGAAAATGTGTACTTTTTTAACATATGATCCCCGTTACCATAGCAACCAGTCAATCAACTTTAATGAAACTTGTCCTAATGGTAGGACATGATAAGTAGATGATTACCTGTAAATATCAAGATGATTGGTTGTATATTCTAGGAATTATATATGGCTTTCCTAATACCCCCCTTAAAATTACACCAGGGGGGTATAAATCTGCATATTTCCAAAAAGCTGAAAAACTAGACACCATTGTTTCAGAATCAATGTAGTTGTTTGCATCTACCCTGTCTCAAAGGCGAAATTATTTTATCATCTCTAGAAGTGATTTTCCTGGAGGTAATGCATTCGCCTAACATATGCACCTGTTTAAATCCCCAGAAAATGGCCAAAATCAAACATATGACTGTCCAAAATCTGTTGCGCTAATTTCCCTCCTCCTTTGCCATTTTTCAAAACCACTTTTACACCACGCTCATCCAGTAACACTGCTACACTATTGTAGAGATAGTCTTGGAGCTCATATGTGCTTGCTACCAGTGACCTAGCCAGGAAGAAAAAAAGCGATTAGGCGAAAAATATTTCCAAACCTTGCCTAGCTTGCCTGGCAGTAGAAGAACATGATGGTAACCCTTATGTTATGAGACTGTTCACAATTGAATCAAAAGTTGATGATTTAGATTAATAATCAATATAAAAGTTATATAATGAATTTATAACTCGTCATTGTTAGAGGAATATTCATCAAAGGATGTTAAAAAAGTGACAAGGCATCTGCCTCATCCTGGCTATGCTAGAGGCTACACTTACTACCCATACTACGCTGCTATACTCAAAGTTATTATAAGGTAATCATTGTGTCATAATTACCATCTAGGCTGATGATAGTGTAATTATCATCGTTAAATTTTATGAAAAACTAAAATTGCAAGAAATTCGAAGAATATTAGTACTTTCATTGTAAAAAATTACTTTTAGCATATTAAATCCCTTTTTATCACACCATCGGTGGGATATTGTCGTCATAGTCATCGTGAAGGTGATCGTGATTGTCCCGCTTTTTTGTTATTGCCATTTCAGGAAAACTGCTCATCAGATTTTCTCCAAATTGGCACACATGATAGAACATATCAAGTTCTAGAGCTGATTAACTTTTGGGTGGCCATCTTTATTTTTGACAGCCATTTTGAAGGTTTTTTGGAAAGTCTTGTCATCACCATTTCAGGAAAACCGCTCATTGGATTTTATCCAAAGGAGCACGTAGGTTATCGCAAACAATTTCACAATGTTATATCTTGGATTATGACTATTTTCTGACAATGAAGACAGGTTTATCTTTTAGATCAATTCATTATCTCAAAGAAAATTATATACAGTAATAATAAAGTCAAACAAACTCAGAGATATTTAACTAGCAATCAACCCATCAACACACTTTTTCAAAGATGTTGACTCCATTTTCACCAAAAATGCAATCATTTTTTACAGTGTTTAATACATTACTAATTGTTCTTGAAAGAAAAACTTAATTGCTTTAAGATAAGTGTTCCCCATGTTATTTCTCCATTGAAAAATCTCATGCTTCCACGGTATTCAAAACAGCAAACGTTTTTAGAACACTGATTAAGGAAATTTTTGAAGTTACCTATCAGCAACAAAGCCGAAGAATACTGCCCCAAATAGACGACCAGCAAAAAATATAGATTGAAGTGTTGATTTCATCCATTTACGTCCACATACAAGGTCCCACTTGAAATAAAAGAATGTATTCATTTTTTTCCACCCTTTGGGGGCTATATCATTGTTTACTACTGGAGACATTCTCACAAGAAATCTTTAATAGAATATGCAATCAAATTCAATATGGAATAAACTAAGCTAACAACAGAATATTATTTGTATCATGTTCAAAACAAAATGAAATTAGCACATTACAGAGGCCCTACAGAATAATATTATCAAGCTGATCACAGATTGTATCCATCTTGGATTAGGGTTATTGGGGGTCTTAAATAATGTATGGCTTTTTTATTAGACCTCTTTTACACTATATTTTGGGGAGTCTTCTATAAAATTCCTTGTCTCAATAGAATTCTGTCTACTGTATTGTTGTCTTACCTCTGTGGCAATAGATGAAACATAGAGTTCCTTACTATACACCCAAGTGTCACAGTCCCTTGTCATTGTGTTGTCCCAGTTGATTGCATCCAGGTAGTTGTCTCCTGTTATACCTGTATAGTTCCTATCGTAAATCCTACAGCTACTGTAGACAGTCTCCCCATCCTTCACTTCAGTTGGGGTAGTCAGATTCATACGAACAGCATAGGGCAGGCCAAGACTGTCAATTTCAGGGACTGAACACCAATGTTGTGGTTCACCTCCAATAAATGTAGGATTCAGATTTTGCCATGCACTTATGTATCCAAATAAATGGCTCCCCAAAATGAGGATTTTTTGGTAAAGCCCAAAAGGCCCTACCAAGATTAGTAACTCATCAAATAACATGCTATTCAAGTAAGTTAGAATATACAGCAGTAGTTCTATTGTTGGTTACTGTATAGAATTGATTATTTGTTTACTTTGATAATCTACCACATGATAATCAAATGGATGATGATAATTTATAAGGTTGATAACATTTTATTACACAGATATATGACTTGCTAGGTCAAGAGAAACATGAGATTTGCTTACTAGAATGTTAGAGTAGTGATTGTCAGCATTTGACATTATGACATGTCATTTGCTGTAATAAACCATAGTTTCAGTGTTTAACTTTTGACCACACTCTATAGAAATTTTAAGGGTTAAGAAAGTCAAATTAAACATAAAGTTAAGCTCTAGAAAGGCCAGTTTTTGTGCTTATATGTACAAAAGTATAAATGCCAAAATAAAAAATTCTAAAGAGCATTACAAAACACAACAAGAAAAAGAGAAGTACATAGGAGCAAAACCAGTTATAAGGAAAACCAAACTCTCAATATCCCAAAGTAGCACACAAAGGAATGATTTTTATTACCCTCCTTATATAACCACACCATCACAATTAAATTGCCCATAAATCTACTCATATAATAGAAAGTTTTCAAATTAGATAAATCTAAAAGATGTAGATATAGTATGCAAATTATGTTCATTATTCTAGAGAGAACAAGTATCCCCTGCAAGTCCCCATGGCTACTATAGAGTACCTGCTGAGGTACATCAAAAATGGTGATAACTTGTTATTTCATTATTCCAGAGAGAACAAGTATTGCCTGCAAGTCCCCATGGCTACTATAGAGTACCTGCTGAGGTACATCAAAAATGGTGATAACATGTTATTTCATTATTCCAGATAGAACAAGTATTGCCTGCAGGTCCCCATGGCTACTATAGAGTACCTGCTGAGGTACATTAAAAATGGTGATAACATGTTATTTCATTATTCCAGTGAGAACAAGTATTGCCTGCAGGTCCCCAGGGCTACTATAGAGTATCTGCTGAGGTACATCAAAAATGGTGATAACATGTTATTTCATTATTCCAGAGAGAACAAGTATTGCCTGCAAGTCCCCATGGCTACTATAGAGTACCTGCTGAGGTACATTAAAATGGTGATAACATGTTATTTCATTATTCCAGAGAGAACAAGTATTGCCTGCAAGTCCCCATGGCTACTATAGAGTATCTGCTGAGGTACATCAAAAATGGCGATAACATGTTATTTCATTATTCCAGAGAGAACAAGTATTGCCTGCAAGTCCCCATGGCTACTATAGAGTACCTGCTGAGGTACATCAAAAATGGTGATAACATGTTATTTCATTATTCCAGAGAGAACTCAATATTCCAGAGAGGACAAGTATTGCCTGCAAGTCCCCATTGCTACTATAGAGTACCTGCTGAGGCACATCAAAAATGGTTATAACATGTTATTTCATTATTCCAGAGAGAACTCAATATTCCAGAGAGGACAAGTATTGCCTGCAAGTCCCCATGGCTACTATAGAGTACCTGCTGAGATACATCAAAAATGGTGATAACATGTTATTACATTATTCCAGAGAGAACAAGTATTGCCTGGAAGTCCCCATGGCTACTATAGCGTACCTGCTGAGGTACATCAAAAATGGTGATAACATGTTATTTCATTATTCCAGAGAGAACAAGTATTGCCTGCAAGTCCCCATGGCTACTACTGTATAGAGTATCTGCTGAGGTACATCAAAAATGGTGATAACATGTTATTTCATTATTCCAGAGAGAACTCAATATTCCAGAGAGGACAAGTATTGCCTGCAAGTCCCCATGGCTACTATACAGGGTGTCAAATGGCGTTGTGCCCCCCCCCCCTCCACAGCATAAACTTAGAAAGGTACCTACACATCATGTATGTCATTGGAAAGAGCATTTAATTCTGGATAAAATAAACCCTAGATGACCTAGGTCAGATATTGCTACATAGGGTCACATGCATTAGAAATGTACTGGTGTAGTGCTCTATTTCATTCTTGATTTTTGAGAAGTGGCTGACTGTAAAGTGTAGTGCCTTTAATATTTTATTTATTTAGACTAAAGCTAGTTCACAGTTGAAATAAAGATGACAAAACAACCTTTTGATGATGATAATCAGCAATATAGAGACAGAATAAGGTGTATTGCATATAGAGAAGCCAGAGATGAGGGTGCTAGTTTCATTACGAAGTATTAAAATCTCTTGAGAAAAACACAGCCCTTTCCATTCCCTTTTAGCTTCATATCCGGCTAGATTGGCAGCGGTTTAGGCTGCCCAAGGGGGTCATACTCACTTTTAAAAGTAAGTTAAAATATATCTTATTTTCCATCATGCATCTTCATCTTTTCACATGTTAACAACAATTAAATGCTCTTTCCAATGGTATATGGTATGTGTGTGTATCTTTCCTAGTTTATGCCGTGGAGGGGGGGGGCACAACGCCATTTGACACCCTGTAGAGTACCTGCTGAGGTACATCAAAAATGGTGAGAACATGTTATTTCATTATTCCAGAGAGAACAAGTATTGCCTGCAAGTCCCCAGGGCTACTATAGGGTACCTGCTGAGGTACATCAAAAATGGTGATAACATGTTATTTCATTATTCCAGAGAGAACAAGTATTGCCTGCAAGTCCCCATGGCTACTATAGAGTACCTGCTGAGGTACATCAAAAATGGTGATAACTTGTTATTTCATTATTCCAGAGAGAACAAGTATTGCCTGCAGGTCCCAATGGCTACTATAGAGTATCTGCTGAGGTACATCAAAAATGGTGATAACATGTTATTTCATTATTCCAGAGAGAACAAGTATTGCCTGCAGGTCCCCATGGCTACTATAGAGTATCTGCTGAGGTACATCAAAAATGGTGATAACATGTTATTTCATTATTCCAGAGAGAACAAGTATTGCCTGCAGGTCCCCATGGCTACTATAGAGTATCTGCTGAGGTACATCAAAAATGGTGATAACATGTTACTGCTGCAACTCTTCAACAAACACATACATCTCGGTGGTATGTACACTTTCAGAAATTTAACATTTGATTTAGAAACCTCATTTTTAAAATGATTGTAACCATGTGCCTAGCTTCTACAAATAAGCATATATGTAAAAGATGCAGATGTTAAAGATGCAGTGATGTAAAATATGATTTATTCATTATGAAACTAATATTATCAAATAAATGTATTTATTGTACCATTTGCACTGTTGATCTGTCGTTCAGCAAGACTTCATATTTTATACAAAATGGTGAGCATGCACCTCAAAATTAGAGATTTTAGTCATGCTCTGGATAGTGCCCATTCCCACAGTTGGTTGCACATTTTATTCCAGCCAATCTTAAATCATCTATGAATCTTGATCTAAAAGCTGACAAGGAAGGTAAAGGAGGTACTCTCCCATCACCACCTGAGAATAAAGTAATCCATAATGAGGAAATGTTGAGTGCATTGAAGAAGAGCATAAAGACAATCAGGGATGGACCACCATGCTTAACATCTATATGCTTATATTCATTTCTGAATGCATACCAGGGGTAAGGGTTTATAGTATTTCATTTTGATATCTTCTACTGATATTTGCACTTAAAAATCAGTTTTGTCAAGGTCAGGTATCTGTTTTCAGGTTTCGTTAAACCTTTGTTTCAAATATTTTGCCACCAGTACAGTAATTCTTCTTTTCTAATCAGTAACTGTTATATCTCTCCTCTCTTTCCAGGATGTGTTCATCATGCATATCCAACAACAATAAGTACCTGTGTGCTGGATTCGAGGATGCTGCTATCCGTATGTGGAGTCTCACTCCAGACCCCATACCCTCCCAGGCTGTCACTGACAATGTGGCTACAGTACACCTGTCAGGGGACTACATTGAAGACATCATAGATAGAAATAGGTAGAATTGAAAAGATAATGATAGTGAAGAGGAAAACCATTTTAAGATAATGAAGATAAACCTATTGCAGTCATATATCAGTGAAAGATGGGGTTTTGAAAGAATTCTTTATTTTAAATAGTTTGTCAACAAAAATTTTAACAGAAGACATGTGCGTGAAAAAATATATTAGCAATTTTTGCATAAAATAAAATCATAGACAAAATGACTATTAAAGTAAATATTGTAAAAAATGAAATATATCGATCGAGTATATTTCTTGCGTGCTCTTGGAAATGGCATAGTTAATTCTCAAATGTACATGTCACCAAAAGTTAAGTGAGATGTTATTTTTGCTCAGCGCTATTCAAGCAAATAATGTTTCTTTTCTGTTACATTGATACGAGAGATTTCTCATAGTACCACCTATCCAGAAGACTGAAAAATGTTTATGAAGAAAAAAAACCATGGTAAATCTCTCAATTGATTTATTTCCTTTAAATAGACCTCCAGAGCTAGGTGAACAGAAAGTAATGAGAGGTCATGCAGGTACGGTGTATAAAGTCACCTTCACACCCGACTCCAATTATATTCTCTCTGCTGGGGAGGATACTACAGGTAAATGTTAAAACAAACCTTTGCAAGAAGTTAAATCTATCATTCTGAAATACTTGATTTTCTTGTCTGCACATTGAAATTTTCAGATCTTTCTTGGAATGATAATTAAAAGTGATTTAAGACATTCTGGCTTAATTTTAAGGCAAACATTTGTGAATTTTTGGTATTCTTTTGTTATTCCAGTTCGACTGTGGGACTTAAGTACACATACTAACACAGTTGCTTATAAGGGGCACACTTTTCCAGTGTGGGATGTTGATGCAAGGTAAAATACATGACTTACACAAACACTGATACACTAGTCTTAACTGAGTCAGAAAGTGATTTTATTGACCTTTTTAAAAGTATTAAATTCTCGAATTATTGTAATTTATTATTATCCCACTGAAGTTACGCTCGAGATATGAGAAGCTTTTCATCTGTCTGTTCGTTCATTTATTCTTTGTCCGTCTGTCTAACTGAAATACTGGTTGACAGATTTTGCTAAAATTTTAGAAGGTGATGCCTTATGGGGATATGACCTCTGCTGAAAAGGGAATTTTCAATATGACTTTCAAATTCAAAATGGCCACCAGTTTTCATGAAAAGTAGAATCTTTGAAAACTCAAATAAGTCAATGGATTTGGTTCAAATTTTATATACTAATGCTGCAGGGACATTTATTTATTACCGGTTTATCTGTTATGGCCTAGTCACATAGCCCGGCCGATGAGGTTACGATGAGCCAGCGATGCAATTTTCACCGAACTCGGCCGGACATCCGTGGCGTTTGTTGCTTAAAACCGCATCGGTGGTAGCTCGGTGAAATTTTAACTTCGGAGTTAAATTTCACCGGGCTCTCACCGAGCTCCCTCATCATGTCATCGCAGCCCCATCGTAACCACATCGGAAAAAAACGTCGGCCGGTGCACGGCCGAGTATCAGCCGGTGTCCCGTGCATCTGAGACAACCAGAGGACGAGGTTTTTTAACGGACAGAGGCCGAGCTCCGACCGAGCTCCGGCCGATGTGGTACAGAGCATCGGCCGGTCACTGTTCAAAGCCCGTTAACAACCCGGCCGGCGATCGCACGGTGTCCTGTTACCTGCTCGGGTACCGGCCGTATTCCTTCCGATGTCCGGCTGACCTCCGGCCGGTAGTTGCTGCATCGGCAGAAAAAAACTACCATTTTGAGACAGACTCCGTACGGTCACCGGTCGGTGTTCGGTCGGTCGCCTGAAGATGTCCGGACGGAGCCCGTTCACGTCACCGAGCTCTGCTTCCGATGAGGAGAGCTCGGTGGCACCAAAAAAATCCACCGAGCTCTACCGATGCCGGACATCGGCCGGGCTATGTGACTAGGCCATTAGCTCCTCATCTTTTAAGTGGATGTTCACAACCATCCGCATCATTATTGAATTGATCCTAATCAATTTTATCCTCCTCATCATTATACTATTGTCATATTCATCCTCAGCATATTGAGAATGACGTATGCACTTTTGCAGGTCTTTAATGGACGACATTATTACACCTGATAAGGTGCTTTGTATTACACCTAGTCCATTGGACGTTGAAGTTGTTAAAGCCTGAATCAAGCTCTGGAGGCTAAGTTTCGGAAAATATTTTCGAACATGGTGAATTTACTCTATTTGCCACCAATATTCAATACCTGGCTTACCAGGTTTGAATGAAAGTGCACACTTTTGTAGCGTTTGAGGGGATTCAAACATAGACCATTATTATAGTCACCGGTATCAAGACGTTTCACCCCCTGGACATTTCACCCCTAGACTGTTCACCCCTTAGACGTTTCATCCCCTGGACATTTCACCCCCTAGACGGTTCACCCCCTAGATGTTTCACCCCCTGGACTTTTCACCCCCTGGATGTTTCACCCCCTAGACATTTCACCCCTAGACTTTTTATCCCTTAGACGTTTCACCCCTAGACGTTTCACCCCCTAGACATTTCACCCCCTAGACATCTCACCCCCTAGACATTTCACCCCCATATACAGTCTGTGTATTGTACAATGTGATGGGTTGGGTTATTAGTGAATTTTGATTGAATTTACATGAGTACATGTATACTTATTTCTTTTCCAAGTAACATTGACTGGAAAAGGTCATAGTGTATAAAATCACTACAATATTGGTACAAATAAGTTTTAAAAAAAGTTTGCACTTTGCACTGATTAAAGATGCTAGTCTCTAATTGCCTAGATAATCCCTTCCCTTGTTATCAATTGCATTATTAAAAAGCAACAAACTGATTCATTATTATTTTTTTAGATTTAGAAAATTAATCCAATTGTTTTTCTTCTTGTAGGTATATGAGGTAACATGTTTTTGATGTGTGCACAATTTATAATGATATAAAAGCATTAGTTTTATGGGAAACAATCAGATATGGAATTAATTAGATGTGAAATTAACTAATTGTATAAGATTTTCAGTTGCAAATGGACCTCACTTCAAAACCCTGAAAACTGAATATGAAAAAACAAGTGAATAGATTAGATGCGAGTAGAAATAATCTTGATTTATGCCATTAAATATTCAAAATTCAGTGATGTCATATTTGAAATCTAAATGTAAAAGTACATCTAGAAATTTGGATTGAAAATTGCTTATCAACTTTGAAAATTTAATTTTTTTGAAAATGTGACTTCTAGTTCGGGTTGATTCCCCATAGACACCATGTTACAAAATCACAAAAAGTGAAATATCTCTTCTTGTATTGGACAGATAACATTTTCTTTTACTGCATATATTTTAATCTGCATAACTATTAGATGTATAAGTGTTATATGAAAATTGAACCACTTAAACAGATGTAATTTAAGCTAAAGGGAACTTTCTACTATACCCGACATGTTTTCTGACCCGAACGAGCCACCTGGTGGTGAAACTAGTAACTACCTAGTCGGGTTAATTCTAGTGACTTACAGTACTTGTTATTTGATTGCTATTTGGAACACTTGGTAATTAAATTCTGATTTTAATTAATTATGCCCACGCTAAACCCTATTACATAAAATCATATAACCTGAATTCACTTAAGTTACTGAGCAAAATGTGTCAATTGGAAATATGTACTATAATATATGCCATTTACACTAAGGGTATTCACTTCTAACAAACAGAAATACTTGAATGAAATATGTAGGAGTAAAAAATTGAGGCTAAAATGTCTAGGGGGTGAAACGTCTAAGGGATGAAATGTCTAGGGGATGAAATGTCTAAGGGGTGAAACCTCTAGGGGGTGAAGTGTCCAGGGGGTATAATGACTAAGGGATGAAATGTCTAGGGGTGAAACATCCAGAGGGAGAAATGTCCAGGGGCTGAAATGTCCAGGGGGTGAAACGTCTAAGGGGTGAACAGTCTTGGGGTGAAACGTCCAGGGGGTGAAATGTCTAGAAAGCTAGTCACCTTCGAATGAATGACACCATTCAAATTAATATGGCAATACGATTACTGGACAAATACCAAACTTATTTTGTGTTCCTGCCTGATTCAAATCAACTTGTTGATTCAGATGGTAGCAATAATATCCTATTAAGGAAATTTTGCCATATGTTGAAAAGCAAAACTGTCTGTGCATTCCATCGCATACCATCTGGCGTGTACTGTAACGAGGTAGAATACCTTATTATGAGGCAATTTACATGGATGGCTTTAATAAGGCTAATAACTTGTTGCAAATGTGCCACACACTGAGAGTCATCATTTAAACCCAACTCTTAAACTCAATCAATCTTTCTTATTGACTCTTTGAAAAAAAGGAAATACAGGGTGGGCCAAAAAAAACAATACCCAACTTTAAATCAGAATGGAAATAGCTATGTTCAATATGATACATTGATTTATATATCATTTTAAAGGTTATCCATTTTCGACAAATTTGGTATATAACACTATGTCATGAAATCAATATTAAAGTTTTATTATGCTTATTTGGGAGGCCATGTCGGTATTTAAGTTATCCAGATTTTAGGGAGAAAATAGTAAATCTGAGGAACAATGTTAATTTTTTATTTATAGAATATCATTTTGTTAGCTGAATATATGCTTGTATATTTGCATATTGTGTGACTAAACTTATTGTTTATGAATTTTAGTGTTGTTTATTATCAATAAGTACTCAAAGGGGTTAGACATTAAACATATTGTGAGGAGGATTTTATTTTCCAATAAGACATTGCCTCGTAACATAGATCTCAGGAGACATTGGCATTTTTTTGCAAACAAGGTGTCAATTTGATTGATCTCGATGCTTGGCCACCCAACAGCCCCAATACTAATGTGTTTGATTACCATTTAAATAAATAAAGTGTAAAATATTATCAAACAACACTGAAATTCATAAACAATAAATTTAGTCACACAATGATGCAAATATCAATAACCAAGCATGTATTCACCTAACAAAAGAATGATATGCTATAAATAAAAAATTAACATAATTCCGCAGATTTACTATTTTTCCCCTTAAATCTGGAGACCTTAAATAGCAACCCGACCTCCCAAATAAGTATAATAAAACTTTACTATTGATTTCATGAAATGGTGTTATATACCAAATTGTTGACAATGTACCATATTGAATGTAACTATTTTTATCCTGATTTGAAGTTGGGTATTGGTTTTTTTTGGCCCACCCTGTATATATCATTTTGACGGATTGGCTCATTATCAGATCATTAATATTATAGAGTATAGTACATATAAATACCTTATTATCAGACAATTAAACTGATGTTTTTGAGAATCTGCCGGAAATTTAAAACCTTTCGCAATCTCGGGGTTTCACCCCAATATACCTCTTAATACCTATGTGCCACACCCAAGACCGCCTTTTTTCCATGTCAATTTCCTCTCAAGCTTGAAAGTTTCCATGTTTAATTCCTATCAGACATATAAAAGTACATTTCATTCCTATATAAAAGTACATTTCATTCCTCTCAACTTCATAAATATGTCTATGTTAAATTACTCTGGTGTTTGCTAGGACTAAGTTTTCCCAAAATATTGGTAAAATTGGCTAAACTGACAACTGATTTAACAAACTCAATTACCATTTTTGTAGAAAAACTGACTTTTGACCTAAAAAAGGGTGCTCTCTTCAACAATTTTTTCCATGTTTTCCCTGGGTTTCACAAGTTTCCATGGTTTATGCCCAAAGTCAAAATTGGCCATGCTGCACATACCTACCAAAATTAATTTGAGTGAACCCCTGGGATTGCAATAACAGTATACTGTAATCAAGTCGCTTATCAGTTTTGTCCTGGAAAGAACACTTATCATGGAGAAGTATTTTGAGTCATAACTTACACGTAATATAACTCATAATTTCTCACAAGATTTAAAAACTGTCAATTTTGAATGTAATCTTTGACACCACCATTGGTACTATTTATTTACCCATCAAACGAAGTTTATAGGGATATAGTAATGCTGTCCATTGGGTTGTTCTTGTGTCCGGGCGATAACTCAAGAACTGGTTGAGGATTTGGTTCAAATTTTATAGGCTTGTGCCTTATGAGTGTAGAACTTCTTGTTGAGAAGGAATTTTCAATATGGCTGCTCAATTCAAATTGACCATCATTATTCATAAAAATGTGATCTTTGATGTGATCTTTGTGAGTAGGGCTTTTATTTCAAATTCTGCAATGTGTTTATTAGTTCATGGCATTGAATAAATGTAGATCTGATATTTTATGCTAATGTAAATATTACATTGCGCGCAGAGTCTAGTTATAAACTACCCTCTGCCTAGTATAGGCTATATTACAGTTTAGCAACCCCGTCTCGAAGATTGGTGCCTGTGACAGCTCAGTAATAAATAATTTCAAATCTACCATGCTGACCCTTTCTCAACCAATCAGCAAAGTGGAAGGAACGTGTGCGAAATACATGCTCATTAACTATGCGAGATGTCATAGGAAATGACCATATATATAGTCATCCGTATTTCAATGACAAACTCTGATTGGCTCAGTGAGATCATAGATTTATTGTAACCTGAAAGAGTGAAGACGAAGCTCTCTTTTAAGAAGTGAATTTGAACTAATGCAAAGGGTATGTAAATATAGTCTTGTTTTATTTTACCTAATTGCAGTCCTCAGGGCACTTTGTTTGTAAGTGGATCCCATGACAGAACTGCCAAACTGTGGAGCACAGACAGAATCTACCCCATTCGGACATATGCTGGACATTCCCTGGATGTAGATGTAAGAATAAACATTTATAGTGCAGCACCCTCTTTCATTGTATAATAGTTTTAAGTTATATGTATTAATGTACATGGTCATACGATACAATGTGAGACTTTAGAAGATTATGCAGCCTTTACTATGCATGTTGACCAACCAAGTCCTTGTGTAAAATAAATTAAATTGTTATATTACAATTTACCACTGATATGTAATTCAGGATTGTAACAAATTAATTTTCTGTTGATATAGAGGTTAAATCCCCAAAGTTGCTTATTTGTTTAAAAATGTGTTTCTATCTATTTTGAATGTCATCAGAATACCCCATACCATATGTGGAATATATATAATATAATATATATATCAATAATTCTAATGATTAAAATTTCATGTTGAAAATATTGAATCGAATTGATTGCCTCCCTTTAATTAAAATTGAAAACTTACATAATGCCATCTCTCCAAATGACAAATTCCCTTATGAATTAATTGAACTCTTTCAGTGTGTGAAATTCCACCCTAACAATAACTATATAGCTACTGGGTCATGTGATAAATCTGTGAGGATGTGGAGCGTACAAGATGCTAAGGCTGTGCGGCTGTTCCAGGGCCACAGGGGGACTGTCTTCACTGTAGCCTTTTCACCCAATGGAAGATATCTTGCATCAGCAGGTAGCTAACTACAAGGGATCATTTTTAGAAGGTTTAATGCCTCGTGTGAATTGTGTAGACATGAATTGTCTAGGGGTATGATATCCAGGGGTGAGATGTCTGGGAGTAAAAAAATCTATGAATGATCTATCATCTAGTGATGACATACCTTGGTGTAAATATATTTACATTTAGAAATCAAACCATTGTAAAAATCTCCAAGGGTGCTAAGCCATTGAAATAAAATATTAACTTCAACACCCAATCGGTTAAGCAATATTGTTTTAATGAAAGCAGTATTGTTTTAGACTGAAGGAGAAATGTTCAGGATATTTCATTAATGAGCATCAATTTTGATTTTAAACAATGATTTAAATGAGAAATAGGAGATTGCCTCTCCACAATATCTATTAGTGTGATGTATGTGGGAATAATGCTGATTTCTTCCAGGCGAAGATAGGAGAGTTAAAGTTTGGGACCTGGGAAGTGGCAAGCTGATGAAAGATTTAAGAGGACATTCTGATACAGTCTATGCCTTGTGTTTCAACAATGAGAGCACTTTGCTGTCATCAGGTATCTCTAATTTCAAAATTCCTTGTTTTTCCTTAAAAACGTAATGTGTAGATTTTCTTCAAAATTCTCTACATTAGGAGTTAACATGTGGGGTGGATACCTTTCAATGTTGAGACAATAAATGACAGAAGTCAACCTTGGCTTTTTCATGCATTTATTGCCACAGGTTTCATGATTGTTGATTTGATCTGCTATTGCTTACAGGGGGACATGATGGAGTCCTCAGAGTATGGGATGTACAGAAAACAGTAGAGCACTCAGGAAACCAGTAAGTTTAAATTTATAATACTTTATATCGAATAATAAGATTTTGCCTCCTTTAATTTTTTTTAAACATTTTGCAAGAAATGGTGTGATTTGGAACATGTCATTAGCCTTTCTGTAGTAACCATAGTAAGATGAATGGCCCATTTTTGCGCTAATAAGAAGATAAATGAATTCAATGCATTTTGTGTCTCACACAAAATATTTTTAAAAAGAAATAATGTACAATGTGAATGTATTGTTTTTCCAGAAGTGAAGGTCACAGTCCAGAGTTGCTGGCTTCTTATCCTGTAAAATCGACTACCATAAACTATGTGCAATACTTGCCTAACAGTCTCCTCTTGGCAGTTGGTAATCTATCATGACATATGCAACAGTCTCTTCCTGGTAAAGAGTAATCTAGAATGACACATTCAACAGTGTCTTCCTAGTGTGAATAGCCTAGAATGACACATACAACAATGTCTTTCTTGAAGTGGATGATCGAGAATGACACATACAACAGTCTCTTCCTGGAAGTGGATAGTCTCAAATGACTTATGCAACAGTATTTTCATGGAACATTCCCGGATGTTGATAGTCAAGAATTACACACACAACAGTTTATATCTGAGAGGGACAATCTCAAATGACATAAACAAAAGTCTCTTCCTGTGCATAATGCAGAAGTATTCATAAAACAGTTCTTGGGAGTGCATAATCTAGAATGGCACATTCCACTCCATTAGGACGAGTGGTATGAGTGGATAGTGTAGAATTTTTCATACATTTATGGGTTCATAGTTTATGTAATTTAAAGTATGAGAGGAAGATTCAGATTCTCAGTTGAAAAAGTGGGTTAGAACAGCTGGACATTTTCTCTTCTGTGACACTTTTTCCGAATTAATCTATAAAAGTAGAAATTGCTGGAAATTGATGATTTCTATCATAAATATGCCAAAATATTTATATGTACAAACATCACTAAAATGAAATTTAAACAGAGTGCTCCAAAATTACTGAGACTGTTGGGATCTAGATAATGCCATATTTAGAACTCAAAATTGATTGATGACCTGATGTGTTTACATCTCAGGAATTGCCAAATGTACCCCTGAATACAGTTACTATGGCAACTATATCTTAAGGACATGGGCAATTATTTTTCAAGAGACTTATCGCAAGTAAAGTGAATTTCAATTTAATGAATAAGTCTCTAAATTACAGCCCAATCTCATTGATTATGAGACTTACAGTACATTATGTATTTGTTGAAACTATTGATACTGTTTTGCAGTATATTGAGTCAATAAAGACCAATAGATTATTTAACATTGTTCAATACACAGGTATTACTATTACCTGCAACCTATACATTATTTTGATACATACATGTATTCATAATAGTTTTTTGTAATGAATGTGGAAAATAAAAAATTCAAATCTAAAATAAATTGTACAGTTTATTGCTTTTCATGTATAAGGAACTTATATTAGTAATGAAGTGTGAATATCAATAGATTGTTTCAAAAACATCATATACTCTCATATCATATAGTGGATAGTGTATATATTTTTTATTTTAAAACATGACAAATATTTATGATTCTTCTCATATTCAAGTGGGTACAAATGGATGCAAATTGGTTTTAAAATGGGTGCAAATTGGTTTTGAAGTGGGTACAAATGGGTGCAAAACTAAATTGGTTTTGAATTTGAAGTGGGTACAAATAGGTGCAAAACTGCAAATTGGTTTTGAAGTGGGTGCAAATGAGTTTTCAGGAAAGTGTAAACCTCTTTAAAATTTCAAGTGGGTCTGTTACCTCAGGTTTTGGCTAAATATTCTGGGATGAATTAGCAGGATTCTCTTTGAGAAGTGGAAAATCATCAGATGTTCAACCTTTAAAAAAATATTAGCCCTTTATCTGATCTTTAATCTACTGTCATGACTGTAGAACTCGAAATAACAAAGATTGATCTTCTTATTTTGACCTGACAGTGACCTTCATAGTTCTTTTAGGGACATTAAAATTGCGAAATGTGACCTTGAATAGTACTATTCTGTGACCTTTAAACCTTCAAACATACCTGTACTGAACAGAGTAATCTGATCTGATCTGAATTGAACCACAGACTTCTATTCAGTCCATTTTCATTTCTCAAATATATTTCCCACCATTTTTTTTTAAAAAGCTAACATTTTTTAACCATCTAATATTCCACCATACATTTCAAAAAAGATTATCTTTTTAACAACAATGCAAAAATTTAACAAAGGACACACTATTTCAATAATAAAATGCCATGTCTGATGTGCCACTTCAATGTTATAGCATATCAAAAAATATTTTGCAACCTTGGTGATGTCATCATGACTCAGGCAAAAAGATTTTCAATTTTTTTCTATGTCAATCTTTTCTTATATGCTAAACTTCAAAAATAAACCAATGTTGATTGTCTAACCAGGTTAAAAGGAACAATATATTGTTTTAGATATTATTGTACCATTGGTTTCTTTGAGAACTAAAATTTTGAAATGTATTTTTCTCTGAACCATTTTCATTCATTGATGAGTTCATTTCTTGCTTATTTATGAACCGATTTTCTTAATTTTTCGGTACAAAGGATGAATTTTATGCATTGGTATGAATTATCGCTTATTAAAAGATAGATATGTGTGACCTCTGAAAGTTAGTTTTACATAAATTCACGATTTTCAAACAAAAAGACCTTCAAAACCACTTTTTGAAATTAAAAAAAAAGTTTGATAACATTGGGTAAGCTTACAATATAAGCCAAAGTGGTTTAAACTTTATATGGGGGCTTAAACTGATCCAGCTGGTTTGGAATTAAATTCATATTTGAGGATGAGGCATTTTTATGATCTTTATGTATAGCTTGGGTATAAACATTTGCAGAATAGGAAAGAAAGCATCTAGGTTACCTATGTCAAAGGCTGCTGACTGATTCTCACAGACATGAATAATCAGTTCAGCCTTTGAAATAGGTAACATTTAGGGGTTAAAATTATCATTGAAAGCCCATGAAATTATGAAGAAACTTTTTTAGCAATTTTGAGAGCTTGCTTATGAGAAAAATCTGCATTGATCATTTCTATGGTGAAACACTTGAATTCTAATGTTAAAGTAACATCTATGAAGTTCGTAATTGAATAAATCCATGTTAATTCAAATCTCCCGCCAACATTCATAGATTGACCTCGTATTTTGATTGGCTAATCGGAAATAGCTAAGAATGACCTAGATTTGTAAAAACGGAAATATTTTATTACTTTCTAGCTTTTGCCCTAATTTATAGCTTCAAACGATCCGTGTCATTGGGATCAAGTTCCTAGGATGGCAGGGGAACAAACAACAGAGACGGTGACCGTGGTCCGGCCACTCAAGGTAAGATCATATCCACTGAATCACGACTTGGGTGTAACTTTCTAACTTTGTAAATTATTTTTGAACCGGAAGTCGGATCCATCTTTTTTAAGTCTGGTTCTCTACCTTCAAACCCTGTATATGGTTGATTCTGTTGTATAAAATGTTGTAAAAATTTGGAAAAGTAGTTTGAAATAACTGAAAACTTATATTCCGTCGAATCAACAACACTTTGATTCTCCTATTATCACCCATATTGATTTACCTGTAAATTTATTACAGGTGTTGTTGATTTGTATTATAAAGTGTACCTTGGTCTTACTCCCCAGCTGGAGAGCTATAGAACCGAAAACAACCAAGTCGACAATCTATTAGAACCTACCCTTGAATACATTTTAATATAAATAATTAGTTTACACCCCAAATATTGAAATACATGTAGAGTCTAGTGCACTGTCTCGCATCTGACATTGCTATGAGATATTACTTCCTTCCAACGTTTTGTATGTATCCTAGCCTTGCATCAGTAGTTAATGCCATTCGTTTATGATTGTATTCTCACTTGCTTGCTCTATGATAAACATACCTGGTGCATCTCCAAGAGTGTTAGTTCACATTTCCATCTACATCGGTTACTGTTATGGTTTTAGTGCATAGTTTCACAAATATTTTTTCCCCATTTTACTGCAACCAACCAACCTGCCACCTTTATATGACAATTCAAAAATTTTCCTATAAACGAATAAAGCTCAAAATTATAGATGTTTTTTAACAATGTCGGACCAGTTGGTATGAATTTCCGACAAAATAATGCAATATCTCACTTGTAAAATTGCTCACTTCATTTTCAATACAATTTTTATTCTCACAAACAATTTTTGAATAATGTTGAATTTTAATAATAATTGTGAGTAAAAAAATTCTATTGTTCACATAGGCCAAATGTCATAAATCTCTAATTAAGTTTCTTGGCTACAGTAAAATTTTAAATGTTTGGAACTACTTTAAATTTAAAAATTAAGCAATCAAATGACTATATTGCAACAGTATATAAAAAATAGAAACATATGTACTTGTCCTAACTTTTGTATATTTCAGATAGTTATGTATAATGTGCAGCAAAGCTGTTGCCCTTTGTAATTTAGGGAGTTTCAGCCATGTTAATTTTTTCGAAAATAACACGGCAGAGAAGCATCAAAATATAAGAGGCCACAAATATGAAGTTGAAATATACAAAAGTTATGACTTGTATAAATGTTAGTATTTTTACATATACTGTTGCAATATAGTCATTTGATTGCTTATTTTTTAAATTCAAAGCAGTTCCAAACATTTAAAATTTTACTGTAGGGATTTTGATTTTGAATATAGACGAGATCCGAGTAGAAATAATCTTGATTTACAACAATAAATATTCAAAATTCAGTCAAAGTGATGTCATATTTGAAATCTACGTGTAAAAGTACATCTAGAAATATGGTTTCGGAACTTGTTTATCAAAATTAAAAAATTTGGGAGATTCCCCATGGACCCCATGTTATAAAATCACAAAAAGTGAAATAACTTCTTGTACTTGTAAGTATTTGCCAGATAATATTTTCTTTTACTGGACATATTTTAATTTGCATAACCAGGAGATATAAGGGTAATATGAAAATTGAACCACTTTAAAAACTGATGAATATTTAAGTTAGAGGGAACTTTCTACTATACCTACCATGCTGTCTGACCGGAATGGGCCACCCAGTGGTGAAGCTGGTTACTACCTACTCACATCTGAGTCATTATGTCAATCTACAATGTGTGGTGTAGATATCCACATAAAATTCTTATATTTTGAGTTCCAATCTGAGTGCTCACATTGTTGTTTTTCAACTTACCGTAATTAAGATAATCTGCTGCAAAAAGGCAATGAAACAATACTAAAATTAATTTTATAATTTGATTTATTTAGTTTTTATATCATGCTTAGCAATCATTTCTTATGCTGCATACTCAATCGGGAATATGATAAAGCGAAGATGAGTATTAAACTTTTTGAATTGAAATAATGTCTTTTGTGAGGGATGGGGGGGGGGGGGTGACTGGGACACAAGGCTGAAAGCCCAAATTCAGCCTTTATGTCAAGGCAATTGGTTTAAGGTCTTAAGTCTGTGGTTATGAGTATCATTTGACGTGTCGCAAAAAGGTGGCGCATTTGTTTTTTAGGGGTATCGCGTGAATGTAACTTTGATTCCCCGGATTATAAAATAATATTCTAATTAAAGTTGTATATCATTTTAAAGCTGTTTCGATGAAGTTTTTAGATCAACTACAGTCCGTTCACAATTCTTGCGCGTTCTTTTTTAAAAAAGAGTTTTTTACCAAAACATCTGGCAAATATTCCCTGTTGACACGTTACATTTTGAATTATTTTTCGTCTTTAAAACGCTCATAACTCAAACAATATATGACTTTTATACTTATTTTTCGTCTTGATAAAGGTAGATAGAAGTTTTATTTTAAAGGATGAATTTTAGTAAGCGTCCCATATTGTGACGTCATAGAGTTTGAAAAATAGAATCTGTTGACAGCGACCTTTTCTGCTCATTTTTTTGTTCCTTCAACTTTTCAGGTGTACATTAAACAAAAAATACGAGATCAATTTTTTATAAATCATACATGATTATTTTGCTCCTAAACTCTAGTTTATTAATAAATAGTTGATTTTGTTCGCAAAAGTATGTGTTTTCTGTTGTATGTGGAAAAGTGGAGGACGAAAGGTTTTCAAAATTCATCTAAATAGGGCTAATTTACGCCATTCGCCTATTTTGAAGCACAGCAACACGTATATTTATTTCACCTAAAATATCAATTGATTCGTGTTTTATGATGCTCCTAGCCCATTAACAATATATATATGATATCAGAGTTATTCGTCTAAAATGTTTTGAGATAGAGAGGTAAATGTGGAGGACGAAAGGATTTTCATTTGTGTACATTTTTTCAAAAACGTCACATTCTACCATGTTAAAAGCGAGGATCGTCTGGATTACGCCACAAAATGTGTAACAATGCGTGCGCGAGCTTTTTGCGATACATCTTTATGATTGGAAGTGTGATAGTGTTGATTTTATTTTACTTCATTTATTTAGATATAAACTATTCATAACAATGTCAGTCTAATACTGTATAAAATTAGCTGCATCCAGTAAAATAACCTAATTAATGTGGATCCACTTAATTTGGCTATCATGTTGTATACCATTTTCCCTTATGAAAAGTTACATGAGATTGCAAAGTTCCAAAATCAAGGGGTGTCCCTGAAAAAAGGTACAATGTATTTGAGTATGCGGGTATGGGGTAATTTATAAGCATTTGTGTAAGCATTTTAGGACCCAGTCTGGTGATCTGTCTATTTTGTCTGTTACCCATTTTTAGTGATAAAGGTGGTACCATGGTTCCTGGCCTCCATGGGACATGTGGACTGATCTCTGCCATGATGACAAATGCTAGAAATGTACAATACAGAAACTAAATGTGTCCTTTAAATTGCGTTCAAAATGACCAGAGATTCCCCTGAGCTTTCTAGGAGGAACAAAAAGATATATAACATGATAGGGTGGCAATGCTACATATATGATTTTGGAGGGGGTGTATACATATGAAACTATTTTTTAAAAAGCACTTATTCAAGTTATATAGAGAAACAGCACTATCACCGGGAATTAATAAAAATGTGGCTAAAATGACAAAGTATTATCATGCAGTTATTACAAATAATTGCTTACTCCCATAAATATTTGGTTTAAAAATTAGTGCAATTTTTTTAAGGTTTCAAGTTTAAGACAGTGGCAATGATTATCCTTAATTAAATAGTGGCTGTGTAAGTGTATGTAGTTATTTGATTATGGCAAAAACTCCTTTGTAATAAAATTTAGAGAGACCCAATAAATGTATGAATGAAATAAATGTAATAATGTTTTATGTGTGGGTTGTCACTCTGGGAATATATAAAATTATAGCCATTTACTTAGAGGCGTTTATCCTTAGCTTTACTGTAGCGGAAAAAGCGAAACTCATCAATATTCTCACCATAGAAGGCATCAACAGCAGCTATACATACACTTAGGGGAAATAAGTACGACTCTCAGCGAAGAAAGTGGATTTATTATGTCTGCCTGCATAAGTGAAGATCGCTCACTGGTCAAACATCGGTGATAGCAATATAACTACAAAGAAATTACAAGAAAAATACAGGGATAATTACAGTACTGTTTTAGCATTGTATTGGATTATGTTGTGAATGGATATTTATGATGGGAAGTAGGGAAAGATCCACCAAAGAGTATGTCTACTTAGGTCCTTTACGGAGATGTCAGGAGGGAGGCATGGTATGGATTTTTACTGATGAACACATGTTGCATGCATTTTATAAATCATGGAAAATCACTTTCTGTTTGAGCATTCTGGATACAAAGTATAACAAGAAAACCCAAATCAATCACAATTTTATCTCACAGATGTGCATGATATGCAAACTACAAGGTTATTAATTCATTACAATAGCATCAATCATAATTTCTACTTAATCAGATGTAATAAATGATCTCTTTGTGCATGCAATCTCTGGGCAACTAGGTATTCAATGAAGCATATGGCTTGCTATAATTGTTTAATGTCATAATGCAGCATTTCACATATTCTCTCTAATAAATGGATATGAATTCTGGAACTCAACAGATTTTTCTGTTTTACAAAGAGAAAGGAACTAACAGAAGGCCATGATTGCTAATGATGATGAACAAGATATTTCAATGACTAAAGAAATATACTGGTTGTACATAATTATATTTTATTTTGAAAAATATATTAAAACATACTCATTTCTCTTATTATTGCTTATCAGGTATTATCATTTTTGTTCTATTTTGCATGTTGGGATTCCAATATCTAAACTTTTGAAAACGACATCAACTGGTCTATACCTCAATCATAATTGGTCTTAAGCAAACGACTAAATTCATTTGAATCAGATTTTGGAATACAATAAAGTTGGTCAATAATATTAATTAATACAATAAATGTGGTCAATAGAAATAGTAATATTCATTTAGAAAGCATTTATAATTCTTCAAAGTCCAGAAGCTAGCGAATGTTGAACCATCAAAATCCAAACACTTATCCGAATGCTTCAAGTCGCATACCTATGGCATTCAGTTTAGACAGGTCCCTATGGCATTGGATTAGACAGGTTTTACTCTAAATTAATGTAAAGGACTTAATTCAAAATGCTAAAGTAAAACCTACACTTGGTGCAGATATGAGCCATATTGCAGAATTAAACATTGTTTTATATGAGATATTGTATAAACAAGGCCATGATGTATATTCATTTATATTCATGTAATATGTGTAGATGATACCTAATAAAAAGGAAATCATGTAAATAGTTGCATGTCTACTTCATTGGTTCAGCACCATGCACTAATCCATAATGAGTATTTTCTGTATACTCAGTCTGAATAGGATGTATATTTTTTACTGTACAGTGCATTATAAATGAATTAATAAGTCCTCCCTGATTGACATTAAGCATGAAGGATGAAGACCAGTTGCATTGATACATTAATTGGTATTGAACTCTGCTCAATTGCATTAATAAAAAACATTGTTTAAAGCATCTCTCAGATGATGCTAGAATATTGAATTTTTCTTGTGTTAACGAGGTGCCAGATATTGTAAAAACCTTTTAAACAGTCTACAATATAATTCAAGAAGGGAGCAAATGTATTTATCTATTACAAAAATTGTTCTATATTTTATATCTGTACAATTATTAACAACTAACTTCTTTAACATTGGGAATTTAACATTCAGAGTATAAGAAAATAAGGATTTTTTTAGATGCTCATCTGCTTTTGCCTGTCGAAGCTTTCACTTTGCCTCCATTTGTTTTGTTCCATCCTCCGCACCATCTGAAAAAGCCAAAAGCAACTGCATGTACTGTGCAACAAAAAATTAGATATTGTATTAACTCACTGAAGTATTAGCACATTTCAAAGAGCAATTTAACTGGTGAGAAGCACATTGTTGTATAATTATTCTCCCAAAGGAGACTCAGTCCTATGCCATCCTCTCAGTATTTACATTTTCTCCCTTATCTCCTTTTACAAGTACAAGCCCCCACTCCCTCCTTTTCATTCTTCCATCTTATTTTCCATCGAACATCATCCTCTTACCCGGTCCCCATGTATCCCCACCTAGTTATGTCACCACTTTTATATTATCACCACAATTATATTGTTATGGTCTCAGTTTTTTTCAAAATCATCTACAAGTTTTCAGAAATTCAAATCTGACTTAAGATTGAACTAATAATATTGAGAGCAACTAGGTGGTGACATTTTGTCATGTTAATGCCTTGTTATTAATTACTAAGGTATGCTTTTCTTGTTCTCCAGGTGATGGCCCTTGTCTGTGGGATCATCTCCATCCTTCTCATCATCATCAGCATTGCCAGCACAGAATGGTTGACAGCTGACGGCAATTACCGTCAAGGGCTGTGGCAAGATTGTCAAGATGGAAGAGAACCAGTTTGCCAAAATAATCCAGCAAAAGGTAATTACGAGGGTTGATCCAAAAGTTCTCCACCGTTTTATCTAAAAAAATTATTTCTTGGTGGATTTTGTTCATACTTGGTCATTGGTCATTTTAACTGCATAGAGATTAGAGTTGCACAGCATCATTGCATGTCCTAGATTTCTAGATGGCGTATTGACATTTAAATCATTTATAAGATTATTCGTCTAAAATGTTTTGTGATAGTATCTTGTTTCACTCTGCTCCCTCAGGGGTGGACATAGTAAGGACTTAGCTTGTGAAGATTTTTATATGTAAGTCCATAGTGAATATGATATTTCAAAACTCATTGTTTTGTGAGGCCTTCATTTCTATGTGATTTGGACAAACAAATCATTAATACCTTGTGATTTATCTGCAAAATAACATATCTATGAGAAAAACACTTCTGTAAATATTAGTTTAATAATTTTATCAGGCTCTGCTCTTTTCACAGGGCAAATCAATCATTACATATGGGAGCTATGGGCATTCCCATAAAGAAAGTACATTATTTAATGGTGTAAAGGAAATGCATAAAGTACAATGTGATGATTTATGAATCGTAATTTAGAATATTTCTCTCAAATTAGGCACTGCTTTTAAGTAATTTAAAGTGGTCTATGTTTGCTGTACTGAGAGATTAACATGTTTTTTTTATTAACATGTTTTTTATGTCACCACCACAACTGGTGATATATTGTTATGGTCTCCAATTTTCATAATTATCTGTATAGAATAACATCAGACATGTTTTTGATTATAAATTGTACCTATTATTGATTCCACTCACAAAACTCTCTAATATCAACATTGTCTCTCCCAGGGCTGGATCAATAGATTCCAGGATGTTGATGAGCTTAGTGGCTATTTAATGTCAAAATGTTTTATGCATCAAAACAAAAGAAGCTAAATTAGGAATGTTTTATTTCTTTACCATGGCTCTGGAGACTGTTCATCTTTTTAGAATCTTAGATCAGGAGACCTTCAAGATCTGCATAACCTTTTTCGAACTTATTTTGGGCATAACGAGAGAAATAAAAATATTCTAATTGGCATGAGATGAATAAAAGTTCCTTGTGTACTGAACTTATATATTTGAAAATATATAATTGGAGTTTGACAATGCCAAGTTTCAGAAATTAATATTTTGTTCAGGGTGAAAGATTGGGTCAACAAAAATATACATGTAATTGTTATGTCACCACCACAAGTGGTGACATATTGTTATAGTCTCTGACTTTTTTCTGGATAAAATTCGGAGGTTGGCATTCAGTGTCTTTAACAAATGGCAGGTGGTGGCATTTTGCATGTTTAGTGCCCTGTTTACTTTCCAATAGCATTGTGAATTTGACAAAAAGTCCAATAAAAGATATATACATTGTACATCAATATTCATAAAGTAAAACCATCTAAGTAAAAATCATCTTATTTTTACTTAATTATCAGATGGATTAGGAGGTAGGACCAATCTCCATGAATTACTAGTATTATGTGGTTATTTTTGCATTTACATATACCAGCTTCAGCTACATGTATCTTTTTATTTCATTTTACTTGTATACTCATTGTTGAGATATATTTTATATTATTATATCACTGTCATGTTTCTCACTCTCTGATTGGTCTATGTTCTATACATGACTAAAAAATTTTCACACCAATACTCAAAGGAGGTTGTGTGACTTCCATTGAATATCAAATGATATTCATCAGTCACGACTTAGTCCAGTATAATTTTAATTCTAGATATCCCCTGGAGTATATTGATAGTATTCAATTAGACATCAATAATTTGTTATTCCATTAATGTGAGTGAATAATAAAACAAATATCTAATTCTATTTTCGGTGAATACCTGTGACACTTTCACAAGATGATATTCCACTAGCCTCTCGGGCTTTGTGAAATATCACTCGTGAAAGATGCACAGGTATTCACTTCAATAAAATTAAACTTTTATTTAATATCATCGCAGACTTAAATGGATATACTGAAAGCCTATCTCAGCTTCAGAAATGCATGCTATCATCACATTTTTGGCATGGCTTGAATAATACCATAAAATGGTGAAATTCAGCAAACTTGTGATTTTGACAAACTTTTTAAAAGTAGAGATTTTTTCAATTTTAGTATTTAGTTTTCAACAGTGGTATGTAAACCAGCTTTTTAGGCAGTGGGAGTTTCTTGTTCATTTCTAAAGTCAGTGATATCACATTTTCTGAATTTCCTTGACATTGAATATCTGTCAAAAACCTGTGAAAAATATTTACCTGTTGACTGTTAAACCTAATACAAAAGTGTTATTTCATGTAAAATATTTTTTTGCATGTTAAAATCTTTAATCTTAGTCTTGCATCAAGCCCCTGTATTCCCTAAGGTCTATCTTTATACAATTGTTAAGTGGTTTCTGTATGTTTTTTCACTCATGAACTTTGTGTTACAATAATACCAAATGTCTTATATTAGTTGAAAGTTGAATCAGTTTCATAGCAGGTAAACAGTGAAGCTACTTGTACGTGTAATCCAACTTTAAAATGAGAGTTCTCTCTATTCTTTATGTCACCACCACACAAAGTGGCATATTGTTAGAGTCCCAGACAGTGCACAGCATCTGTATCAAATGGCAGCTGGTGATATTTTGCATTTTAATGCTTTCCTTATGTGAATATTAAAGCAATTTGCTAGTTGTATGTGGATTCATGTAGCATATTTTTATTTTTTAATTTATTTGATTCTACAATTGAACCACATTATTCTCGATAGTGCTATTTTAAGGTTCAAGTATAAATTCATATGTTTATAAAAAATGTCTTTATCTGCCCATATTATGTTTGAGTTGATGAGTGTATTATATTAGCCCATTTTTCTGAAAAGTGTTTTGTTGCATCCAATTTTAGACAAATTAATATGAACTGTGGGTAATACTTTGTTGATGAAAAACTTAATAACATGCAATTTTGAATGTTTTTTCTGGAGTTATCATGTATTGGCCTCTTACCAGATCTACTGAAATTAACCAATGCAAGGATGCTTTCCCAAAAATTAAAGAATTTAAACCCATGTCTTCATACTTTATTTTTGAAACAGAAAATACATGGGCAGTTAAGGAATTGTTGTGATCAATCTTAGTAAAGGACTTATATACTACTTGCAACATTCTTTGTCATTATTTTTTACTGTGTAGAAGGGTAGGGAATTGTGCAGCCTATATTTTTCATTATGGATTTTAATTGGTGATGTCCAGCCTCTGAGCTGATGCCAGTATTAGCTGCTGTGTCAGGGATGTAATTCCACTGTTCCCCATCCTTGTGTTATTTAACGAGAGCAATGTAATGTTAGTTAGTGCCATATACCATATAACCATGCAAGAATGGTAATTTACACTTTTTTCAGGAAACCCGGCCGGGCTACTATTTCAGTTACGTGATTGTAAATTGCATCAAATTAACATTGTACATTTTCCTTGTTTCTAGCATGGATCCAAGCATGTGCTGCTCTGTGTATCATCACTCTGATCTTTGCCACTGGCGCCACAATCCTCACAGTCTTTGGGCTGCTTTCAAAGAACTCTGTATGGAAATTCAGGTTCTATAGGATCGCTATGATTATCATGTTCTTCTGTGGTAAGTCATATTCATATATATTATGTATATTGTCATGTACATGTATTATATATATTGTCATATTTGTTGTATCTGTATATATTGTTAACCAGAAGTAACAGAAACCATATTTCCTATAGTTCATGTACATTCAGATCTGCATACCCTATATTCAGATACATCTAGATAAATGCATGTTCATTATTGAATTTCTGTAATGTGAAATGGTATAATAGAAGTTTACATGTACCATAAATATTACCACATCAGCATTTTACTTCTCAAGCTATTCTTTGTTACGAGAAAGTCTTCGGGCTTATTACTTATAAGCTCAGCACAACAACCCTGCAAAATTTTAAATTGCTACCACAACATTATGGTTTCTTAAGATTAAGGGAAACCCATTTTTAAAGCTGAAAATAGGTTCAAATGTATGATGCCGTCATCCATTTTCATCACAGAGGTCATTAATTTTATAGTTGTTGTTTGAATAAATCATGATGAAAAATTCTGTAATTGGACAAAACAGCTAATCTCACATGGAATTGCCAGTATCACATCATAAACAATTCCATTGATTTAGAAAGGTCAACATGTGTGGATTGATTGATATTAAGTAAAACTCAAGAGACAAAGTAATGGTTGAAGATCATCATTTACTGTCATCAATTTTCAAAGAATATTTCGAAAAGGTTGAACTGACACTTTTCATTGATGCAAATTAAGTGAATCTGTATTGATTCAACATCACATATCTGCTTTATGTATGGCATCCTTTAGTAGACAAATTATGTGTAGCAATTTGTGTCTGATATCAAGCCAGGTATTGGGGATCTATTCAATCTTTGCACATGCCCAAGGAATCCATCATCTTGGTATTGAGATTTGCCTCAACATGTACAGATACTGAGATATTTATTCTTTTAATGAGATTTTGTGCACTATATGGCAAGTGTTGGTAAAATGATATTCAGAAACTAGATTTCTCCCATTTGTTGTGTTAGTTTAGTTCATATCATATTCGTTTTATTTTCAGTGTTGTGCCAAGTGATATCCCTTATTGTGTTCCCTGCTATGTTCATGCAAGAAATCCAGTCATTGGGAAAGAGCCAGTGGATGTTTGGCTGGTCCTACGGTGTCGGCTGGGGTGCAGCAATTTTCCTATTCGGAGGTGCAATCTTACTGCTAATGGATAAAGAGAGTGAGGAAATTTACTATCGCGAGAAAACATATTATGACAACCAGACTGATGCATGAAGCATTATGGGTAATGGACGTATCTCAAAATGATGATCTTGTGACTGAATCAAAACGCACTGTTTGAATGAGGATTATTTTTGCAAAGATTTGCAACAGATGCCAGCTATGATGATTAGGACAATAATGGTATAAATCTGCTACAAGGTGGTTTTAAATGGAGAAAGAATTAAAATACAAATTATTATTTAACTGCTATTTTGAAATTATTGAGTCATTTGCCTTAAAAACTGCAAGTTTTAGTTAAATATTATATAAGATCCAATATTTTAAAGTCCCTATATAGTACATGTACTTAGATCATGTATTTTGTGCATATTTACGCATATCAGCATTTTGTGGAGGTAGATGGCTTTCTGCTTTAGCATTAATGTATTTAATCAAATAATTATGTACATGTGTAGAATTTTAATTATATTTATATTGCACTGTATATATTTACATTGCACTGTAGATGCCTTTGAAGCACATTGGTAAAACTGTACATAGTTGTATTATAGGATATACATGTACTGAAGCTAATCTTTCCGACATTATTTTGTTTTTCAAAAACACACTTTTCTGCTTTTTCTGAAGGTATCTTTGTATTTTAAAGGAAGGGAAGGGTAACCCAAAGTGAAGTTAATTTGAAATTTCTGGTAAACATACAATAACAAAAATGTTTTGATATTGTTGATGTAGTCTTCATACATTTCTCTAGTCAAATTGTACAGTAAACAGTACAGAATTCTAAAGATAATTTCTGATAACTGTTCATCAAAAGACGTGTCATCATTGTAAAACAATGATATGAACCATGACTAGAACTTGCCAACATATATCATAGGACAGGTATATATTGTATACATGTACTGTACACGCATCTTCCTTAGCTCATATTCAAGTGAGACACTCATGTTTGAAGATGCAATCTTTAACAGTAGGCGGAATGAAAAGTGCATCAGTTTCCTTTGTTGCCACTAAATTCTCTTGAAACATTTGTTTAGTTAGCCAATCATGAAAGAGGACCAAACTTGATAAAAGCTAAAAATTAAATTAAGGTAGGTCCTGTAGAATAAGTTATCTATTAAATGAACAAAGGTCATCCTAATAATAACTAGAAGCTTTTAGAAATACTGAATATTAGATACGCTGTATAATAGCACAATTAATCTATACTTATATATTGTACACTTATATTACGCTTTTTGTACTTCGCTATATATTATATACACTTAGCATTATAACATTCACAAGGGAATCAATTTTTAGAGCATTTTGCATTATTCCCTCAATATTTCACATATCATTGATCTTTAAAAACACTGTGAGTTTTATGTAGGATTTGGTACATGTATAAAGGGCATAATGACTTGACTGTAGGTGGACTTGAGTGTTCTTTAGTAGACTTTGGAGTGTAACTTATGTTATTAAGAGTATCCAATTTTTAAAAATATGTTCAATTCACTTTTTCAAGTGTGCAAGGTGTAAATGTTGCATTCCTCTGTGACCTTTCAATATTCTTACCACTCACTCTACAGTGGTTTATTTTGTCAATCATGTAAAGAAATCCATTCGGGAGAATCGCACGTTTACCTTTGGTGTCTGCCATCATGTTCACCAAATGGTTTGTTACCTTATAGTTTCAATGAACAAAATACCAATTGTTGTTTATATGACTTTATTGTATTTTATGTTATATCACGAAATAATGACTTACATTAGAGTACAATTGTACTCTTATCCATGACTCAGACACAATGTGCCCATTTCGAAACTTAAATATTGTTGTTAATTAACAAAATTGTGTACAAATTGTAAATTAATGTCATATGATTACCATATATTGTAATAATAATAATTATAAACATAATTGTTACTGTATCCACAGTTATTTTATACAAAAATAAAAAATATACAATTGAACATACCATAAAAGGCTGGTTTGTTGGATGAGTCTTATCTATAAGGAAAATAAACTTACTCAAAATGGGCTTATAATAAGGCAATTTATACAAAAACACTGTTGAACAACACTGGCACAGAACTTATTATGGAAGCGCAAAATCAAGCAAACAAAACTGCAGTTCACCATTCTTTACTGTATAGCCCTGTATACAAGCCAGAAACCACATACAAATCTGTATATTTAATCATCACAGGCACTAAGCTATCACTTGATGAAATGCTTGATATTTCTGACTTGATGCAGAACTATATAGGCTTTTCCTGTGATATAAAATAGCACCGTCTTATGCTACTACCTCAATTGTATTTCTAGCATTATTATCAGTAAAACAAGATTACACTGTAAGAACACACTGTTGAACCGAATACTGTACACTGCTTGGAAAACCATGCATCATTGTGAAACAGGATCCTTAACTTTCCTTCAGAAATCTGAGATAATCACCTTGGTTCTGTCAAGTAAACTCCGGATTGATTAAATAAATTAATTGTAAAGTCTGATTGTTAATCGCATACAGAAATACAGATTCAAAACACTACCCTGACCCGTTTTCAATCTTGATATAACATTTTTCCCACTTATAGGGTATTTATAGCATTTCTAGAAGCACCAACAAACCAGCAGTGAATCTGAACTGTAACTGAGTTTAATGAAACTACAAGATTGGTTGTTAAGTGCATATTGTTTCAGGTTACAGTGTTAACCACAAGAAAACACAGTTCACCTCATTTAGAAACATGTCACTGGTGCATTACTAGTATATCTAGTTGGCCATGCTGAAGTTGTTTACCAAAATATCAAGACATTTTGACACAATCTCCAGTTTTATTAATTGGTCATCAAAACAGAAAATGATGTGAATTGCCAGGAAACACCAGCCACTTGGTAGAAATAAGAAATAGAAAATGAAGTTTTGTTTATTTAAAATGACAAATTGTATTGAAATTAGTGGAATTAACTAGAAACCAGACCCATACATTAAATTGAATTGTACATCTGTAATTGGGATTTCATGGGTCAGAGTGGGGTCAATGAATAACAGAACTGACAATTACCATAGTGGTCAAGACAGATGAACATAAAAATCCAATCCTAAAAATTAATTCACTGCTCTTCCACTTCAAAATTTATGCATTTATTGACACTTTTAAACTAATTTCCCTAAAATAGGAAACACTGAGGAAATAATTAATTTGACTAACCACATGATGACTAACATATCTTGAAAATATCTCAGTGAGCTTACAATGAGGCCTTTTACCCAGACATAAGGGAATTCCAGATTTCTCTCTGGACATACATGACAATTAAGTGAAGACAGAGGAAAGTCATTGGTTGATATTTCTTTGAGATACTCTTGCATTCATGCAATAAATACCATCTACTGATCCTCTATCCTTCTTACTCAGAGTACGAGAGAAGAATGGGGTACAGGGTTTTGATATAAGACTATCTTTGAGGAAAAGGTTGACACAATTAGGGAAAATAATTTAACATTGATACAAATCTGTCGTTAAATAGACTCAACATCATTTCTTAAATTAATCACCAAAGCTACATTCAATGCGTGAAGTCCATATTCAAACATTTTTTGTTAATTAAAACAATCAAATTGTTTATAAAACTTAAGACATTGTGCATCTTCTAAATATTCCAACCCTATAATGAAATTGAAGTTGAGAATCGAGGAAAAGTCTGAAAGTGTGTTACAGTGTTTCACAAAAGGGCAAGAAATCTCCCAAGTGTTAAATGTTGATAAGGAATCAATACAGTGGTCTCCATAATCAAAGAAAGAATTACTTGGGGATCAATAAAATTCTCTTGTTGTTCCCCTTCATTGAGCTCCAAGTGATTGGTTGCAGACTGTGAAATTAAATTGATCAAAGTAGAATTCCTACAATAATATGATACAATAAAACAGGAGCTGCAATTAATTATACAAATGAGATTTTAAGAGATGAATAAATTACCAATCGGGACCAATTTGGAATGATCAATTTTGAATCAAACATGATAAACATTTAAGAACATTATATATAAACATGATAGAAACTGCAATAACAGAACATTTTCTTATTTCAGTGTACAGTATTAAGTCTACAGCATTTTGTCAAACAAAAACATAAGAGAACATTGTGATTGAAAATTGTTTTAACTGAACAAACATCAATCCATTCTCCTATACTTTGTGATCCAACAAACTGCAATTTTTCAAAACTTACAATTATACAAATATTTTGAATTATTTTAACACAAATCCTGTACAATTGATATCTAATATTGTTACTCTCATTTTTTGAAAAAGAAAATTGAAAAGAACACAAAGCAGCAAAGGAACATTGAAAATATGCAAGCAACATTTGAATGATAATATAAAAAAACAGAATTTGAACGAAACGGGTATCATTCAAAATCCCTGGAATTTACGGAAGCATTTTTTATAACCACTGTTCTACAGGTATATGTTAGGGACTATCACAACTTACTTTTGTAGTATAATATCATATAAGTCTTATCTCTTTTTGAGAAAAATCATATTAACTTGGAAATCAACCTTGATGAATTAATCATTAACATTTTGTTATTGGATTTATTCTCAATAGTTCTGTTCAAATGTTGACAGTTTCTCTTGAAAATCATAAAATTGGTTATAAATACATAGTGTGGCAGTTAATTATTAAATAACTAAATACATTCTACATTACATTGCACATAATTTGAAATTGTGAGTCTAATCTCAAGTAGAGTGAAAACGAAGAAAAACCTGTCAAAATAACTGCATTTGTATTTTGTTCACAGCACAGAACCGTATCAGCTAAGGTTTAAGAAATAGCTCCTGCAAGATCCCAGGGTTTCATAAAACATTGCTTTTCTGTCAAAACATCGCTATTCAGTATTCCCAACTGGAGAGTCCTTTTCATATTATATTCAAATTCAAAAGAGCTAATACTGTATATTTCATCCGATTTTGACTTTGAACTAATACCAATTGTTTCACATGGACGAAATTCTTCCGATATTACAATATAGATTAATATTCATATACAGTATTTCAGAAATAACAGATTATAGGATTTTTACGGCATTGAGAATCTATCTGAGCTATGGCGTTTATTTTGATAGGTTTTTCTGTTGTCGTAGTGAAAGAAAGCGAAGCATGGTTAAAGCTTCTATACATTAGAATGTTATCTCAGGAATAGGTACAGATATATTCCATATTATTATTCCAGATATGACTCAGAATTGCTAAATTCTGTCTAGTGTGATCTGTTGTGTTATAATCCTGTATTGTGGCAGTATACAGATATACAGTACATATATCCACTCAGTTGTAGCTTCATGCACTAAGAGCATGTCTTAGAATACTCATGTCTCTTAAACCCAAATATCACATAACTATTCCTATCCTTCTATCTCTCTATGGAAGTCCTTCCAGACTGGATATGACACAATCACTGCACTATTGGAGAAGGTCAATGGACTATTTGTAATCCGATTTTGACTGTTAGATCTTCAATGTAACATCCTGGTTCCAGTCAATGCATGTTATCCTCGTAACTGTCACCTATGAAACTGTCACTCCAGTCATCTCCATGATATATTCAGTTCACATTTTCTATGATGTGTCCTTCATGTTATACATCTACTACATCGGGACTTGATAAAGGATTAGCGAGGAGATAATTTGCAGCCTGCTCAACACTCCAGCTATGGCGCATGAGAGCGTCTTTACATACATTAGCATCACCAAGCTGAGTGCCGATGAGTTGTTTAAGTTTGATATATTTGATGGCACTGACAACGTCCCAGTCTGTCTCACTCAATGCCATCATACAGTCTTCGATAGAGGCAACCTGAAAACAGAATGTTCCTTGAAAAATTCCATTTATTTTGAATAAGTTAGATAAGGGTTGACCATTGTATTGAGGAGCTAATGACTTCGGAAAAAACTCTGGAGTCAAAAGAAGAGTTCTGTTTCTGATCATTAAGCTATATAATTCTGGGGTGCATGTTTTGTTGATAATCTTAACATAGAAGTTCTAAAGCCCAATGCTGAAACCATGGATATTATAACATCATAGTTAAAGAATAACAGGCTATGAACTCTTATAATAAGAATGCCTCTAGGAAATGGGTGCAAAACTTGGTTTAGGGTACAAGGTTAGTAGGTTCTCCCAAAGGTCTAATGGTCAACCCCTTCATATATTTCAATTCTTGTATCTTAAATGCCATACAAGTAAAATGGCAAAACTAATAACAAAATATAATGAGCCATAAACTGCTTCATGACAATACAAATTATCAGAATTAGATGATTAAAGAAAAGAAAATTAAACATTTAAAAGTTTATGGAGAAGCAAGAACTTGTGATAAACAGATTGACATGCATCAATGCTTAGACACAGTGGACACTGAATGTGATTCAACACGAGACAAACACTTAATCAAGAAACAGCAATCAATCCATGTTGATAAATTGACAACACATCATCGTACATCTGCATATTTCTCTTAAATGCCCATATGGGACATTAATTTGAATTTTAACTGAGATGGTCAAATTGTGACTATATTAAACAACTCAAGATTAACAGATGTTTTATCTGGTCATTTTCATGTTTCTGTAATAGCAATATAAAGATGAGTCATCGCTTTCTATTTTATCGTCAATCTTTTGAGCTGACCATTTCTTCTCCCATGACAATCACTTTCTCACCTAATTAAATTTCTCATGACTGTCCCTTTTTCTCCTAACTACAAGTCTATATATTTACTTTTAAAAGCACATTAAGTCAGTCAATCAAATAAGCAATGGGGAAATGAAAGTGTGTTTGTATGTACATGCAATATCAAAATTATACTGTAGCATGCTAAACCTAGTGAAATGAACGGTACAAGTGTAAAAAGCAACTGACGTGTGACCTAAGGGAACAAGACATAATCAGAGGATATCAAATCAAGATGCACTGACCAGACTACATCTGACTAATTAAATGTCTTTCTATCTAAGACTGATTTTAATCAAAATTAGCATTTTCTTTTGGGTTCAATTCTCATAAAAAAGTAGATACATTTATACAACTAAAAATAAAAAAATAATTGTTTCAAATTATCACTCTTAAATATATGTCATTCATTTAATCGTTATTGTAAAATAATAAAAAATAATAGGAATAAGTAAAAGCTGATGATGTGGGTAAACATGTAGTAAAATAACTCTACTGGAGCCAACCAATCACACACAATACAGAGACAATATACATGGGGACACACATTGCAATCCATGGGGTTCCATACCTTTGAAGGACTAATGCTGCATAAACAACAATGTAACAAAGTTAAACCATGATGATGTCACAACAGATAATCATATACAAGTCAATGGTACATCCTATAGACAAGGTCTCTGACAGAAACTGTGTAAAACAACATCCAGTGTCCAAAAGGATTTGTATATTTATATATAGAATTGTTCAGTGAAAAGGTAAAGAATTTTCGATAACAGTTAATATGTAAATGAAAAAAAAAAGAAGAGTTGCATTCATGAGAACTATTTCCATTCTTAAATATGTGACATATTCTTACATATTTAGGCATTCAAAGCTAAATTGTAAGCTAAATGTGTATGTAACTATTGTATGTTCAACATGATTGTAAAAACAGTTATATTTATATATTGCATAGAATTATTATGAACATGTATGTTGAAAAGACAAACACCAAGTGGCTGTGAAATCGCGAATGATGTGGCTGTGAATAAAAAATAAAATAATAGTAAATCATAAAATTAAAAATTAAATCCTATAAACAACCTGATAGAGTTACAATATGTCATATGACATAGTATAGTATCCTATACATCTACAGTATATTGATACCTCAGAGACCAATTTAATAGTAATATAATATAATACCAAAGAAAAGCTTTATACATGTACAAGAGATTTTTACAGAGCCATTTTGCATTCAATTGTTCAGTTTTATTATTAAATTATAACAAAACACACAATGATAGATTATAAAAAATTTATCGAATGATTCAAAAGTAATTTACCCAGCATGCCAAAAACCTAATCGAATCTTGGCACTAGTCTGCTACTGATTTTTAAGTTTAAAAGGTGAGCAGTTTTCCTGGAAATTTGATGACATAAGATTTATGTGGCGCCCACCCACCCAGACACAAACACGCCCATCAGCACAACAGGAGAACATTATAGCACCTTTAAAATGTGTGATAAGTTATAACAGAATTATAACTGAACCCCCAATGACCAACATTCACTTTCAGTAGGGGTCATGATAACTTACCTGACTACTGAATACTCTTTGCATTAACCTCACTTCATCACACATATCCCTGAAAATAACAAACATTTATACTATAACATTGATATAACATTGCAGGATCACAGTTAGTAATAATAATAGTCTATAAATCATTTTACACGGAAATTAAAATCCACTTGCACCCAGTCGAGAATTTAGTAATCCTTGCATTGGGATATTTTGATATAAAAATTTGAAATTTTTACCCAGGCTTGTAAATTGTAAATAAAAATATGAGCTAAAAAGAGCATTTGAAAAATAAATTGCAATTTATAATCTAGTTAATAAAATGTATAGTCTACCATAGGTAGTTCTACAAGACATCTTACTTTTTAGGTCCTTTGCCATCATCCAAGGCAAATTCCAATAAGTCTTCATAACTGACATTCTCATCTGAAGTCTTGTACTTAGGCTGAAGGGGGTCCAAAGCTATATTAGCCATATGTTTGTCATCACCAAAGTCTACAGGGTTATCCCAGAATGGATCTGACCCGTCAAATAATCCTAGTTGCTTAGGGTCAGCTTGCACATGTTTAAATGCAAACTTAGTTTTAGGTAGAGTATTAGAGCTAAAGACATCATCACCATCTGTTTGTTCATCCTCTGGGGGAGTAGGGGGTTGTGGTTTGCCACGACTGGTCCCATTTGTCTGGGATGTAGGGGGGTCTGTTGCTAAAGGGTATTTGCGTGTCCTTGGCCGTTGGTTTAGTTCAGATGGTCTGGATATAGATTTGGGAGGTAATGGCAGGGGGTTGCCCTCCACAGCAGTGTCAGTATCTGTTGGAGAGTGACCATTACTATTATTGGTATCAGTGTCTTTCTGACGTAATCTTGACAGACCCGCTATACCTGGGAGGGCGGGATTACGAATCTTGTCATTCAATCTCGATCTACGGGGTACAGGAGCTGGGGCACCAGACCCTGCCCCTTCACGTAATCGACGTAGAGGATTCACAGCGCCCCCTGTGTCAGTAGTGTCTATACTGGGCACACTTTTTCTTGGTATTCCTTGTGGATTTCTTATATTTAAGTTTCGTACAACACTGGATGAAGTTGGAGTTGTGACACTTCCTTGTCTTTCACTTGGTTTGGGATCTGTGGGGGTTACAGGTTCTACTCCAGGGGTAGGTACTGTCAGTTGATCATCTTCTTTATGTTTTGATACGTCAGTGTCACTCCCGGAATAACTAGCTCTCTGTTGATGCTCCATAGCTCGTTTCATTCTGCGTTCCCTTGTTGACACATGTTTACTCTCCTTGGGGGTCTCTTTGAAGGGCCCCTTCTGCACTAACATATCATAAACTTCCAGGGCTTCAGGTGTTACACTGCCCTCTATTGTTTTAGACTGGATTTCCTCAGTGTAACTCTTACGTTCAATTTTAGGGCTTGATTTCCCTGAGAATTTAAATGAGAATTTACCCTTTAGTCCAGCACTGCGAGGCGAAGATTCACCACCACTGTCAGTGTCTCTTAGCTTATCAAGCTGAAAAGTTAATAAAATTAGAATTACAAACATGAAGATATTTAAATGCAGACGACCATCTGTAAATGCATTAAATCATAAATTCATTCTCTTATTTACTGATTCATTCCAAAAGGGTGAAACACTGGAGCTTGGTGCAAGACCAAAACAAGGGATAATAAACATGCAAAATGCCACAACCTGCCATTTGTTACAGACACAGAACACCGCCCACAAAAAAGCTAAAGAAAATGGTGATGTGGTGACATAATACAATTTTGTATTTTATTGAGTAAAATTGAAGCTTGAATAATAGAATAGAATTTCTCTTGGCTCGATTGCTTCTCATTCTCAATGCTGATACCTTAGGAACTTGTGGTTCAGGGGTAGATATCATATTTTTCTGATTCTCTTTATGTGCCATCTCAGTTGCCATGGCAATGGCATCGTCTATCATCTTCTCATCTGATGCAGACATGGGTTTCACTTTGGCTTGCTTCTTCTCCTTGTGTCTTGGAGAGACTTCCTGGAGACAAAAGCATTGAGCAGAGGATTATCATTAGGATAGTAGGTAAAGTATGTGCAATTCAAAATGCAACTGGCTTATTAAAACTGGAGTTATACGAGGGTTGATCAATAAGTAACGGGCGCTTTTTTACACAGATGCTTTTTATAGACCAATCCCTTTGATTTTCTTACCAGTGATACATCATTCAATTACCTTTCTACTCTGAAGATACAATATACAAGTAGTAATTGTTTAATATGGATAAGTGACACTAGATTCAATATTACTGAAACCATACCATTTAATAAAAGAAAGTGTATTCCTAGTATGAAGATCAGATTACTTTTTATATTGCTTTTTTCTCATACACAGCATAATGTACCCTTAATCATATGCTATACAATTTCATTGTCATATTTTATTGATAAACATACTGAACTTACAATTCTCAATTTGGTTTTAGATTTCTTTTCTTCCTTGGTTCGAAAAACATCATCAGAGCTATCATTAAGGCTTGAGCCAAACACGCCAGGACTTCTTGGCGACACACTGATTGGTGTAGCAGGGGAGTGGCTGAGGGGGGTATCCCCAGGGTCATTATAATCCAGTGTCAATCCCCTATTTTCCAACCCCTGGCCATTAGTTTGTTCCTCATCATTGTTTTCCTCATCTCTTGGTGTAAGATGAACTTCATCTTCATATTTCTCTGGTTCTTTAAGAGCTTTCAGGACTTCTTCCATAAAATCTGGACCGAGATCTAGCGATGTCTATAAGGATGGATACATTTTTATTATGGTGTTTACTTTATTATTTTGATATATGGATAGTAGGAGAATGAGATTACATACTGTACTTCTACAACAATAATGCCGTTTATCAAATATTGCCCAAACACAAACAATTGAAACTTGTCTGAACAGAAAAACATTTTTTTATCTTTCAAGATCTGTTCATTGCATACTATATGTGCTTAATGTATTGTTTGAAAAATTACCGAGAATTCTGGCATTTTGAAGAAGTCTTCTTCATCATTTATTTCCTCATAGCTGTCTTTCTTTCCATCGGACTCATCAAAAGTGTTGGAACTCATATCTCCCAAATCACTACCCCATCTATAAGATAAAAAATAATCCGTACAATTATGAAATTCCTTCAAGGTTTAATTCAAACCAACCTCAGAAAGTATACATCTCCAAGGACAAATTTTTTATTGAAAGAAATTCAGTATATGAGGGGTAAACTGGCTACAGTTAACAGTATTAGATAAAATGAATAAAACATGGTACCCTTGCATCTAATCTTTTGTCTCCCACAAATAAAAGGCTATTCCCTCTCTATTCCCTCAGATTTCAGCAATCACTCAGAAAAATATTTTTCTTGGTTTGAAAACAATATTTTATCTTTCTGATGAAACAATATCCATTAATGCACCAATAACACTAGTAAAATATGCTATAAAAATGTAAGTATGAGCTTGGTTAACTTACCCACTGTCCCCCTTCTTGTCGCTGCTGGGTGATGGTGTAGACTGAGTGGACATGAGGGAACCATCAGAGAGACCTTTGATAATTACATGCGCAGAGTCATCAGATTTCGTCAAGGAGGGTGTTGAGCTGTTCAAATCATCTTGGGGCTTATCTTTAAAATAAAAATCATCCAATCAAATATCAATATACTTGTACTTTATGTTAATGGAGAGCTCATCAAAACAATAACTTCACTGAGAAAATGAAATAACTATAATGAAGATCAGCTAAAGGCACATTTCAATTTTTAAAAGATAATCCTAGCGCATCCAACTTTTCACATCTTCCTTCTAAAAAAAAATTTCTGAAGGGCGTTTTAGTTGTCAAGTCTAGTTATAGATTCTATTTCACAATTATAAACTCACAAGGAGGGACAACTTTAACTGGAAGCTTCATGTCATAGTTTGTCCCGATTATGCCAATATCTCCAGTGATGGCACCGTCATATCCTATATGACCTATGTGACGCAAATCATTCTGTGGAAGGCCTATCATATCAGCACGCAGTCTAGATTTTCTACTGTCTTTCTTCCCTTGCTTACGGACATCTACAATCATACATATATTGTATATACATGTATTCAAGTAAGTACATCAACCTTGAGTGTGTTTGATATTTAAAGGTTTTATTGATTGTGGGTTTCAAATTAAATATGGTAACCATTTTATATATTAGTATTAAGCTCACATGGAAAGTCTAAAGTATTGGCTCTGCTTTCTTTGGATTTCTAGGAGTTTTATCATTAATTATTTAAGAAAATTATTTACCACTTTTAGATCTTTGTATTTTACTGATTTTCACAGGGGAGACCTTTACTTCTACATAAGGAGTTGCATCAGCAGGATTGAAGAAGCCACACTTGCCACAGGGTAACACTCCCTTCCAATGTGTTGCATCAGGGGCATCAGTGGGACTGGAAATAATTTAGAATAGTTGAAATAAAATATGAAAACAGCACAATCTTAAAATATTTATCTGATTAAGCATTATTGGCACCCCTGGGTAATTATTATCTACTTGTGAAGCAGCCATAAAAGGATCTTCACACAAGAACAAATTTAAATTCAATAAAAGAATATTTCTCATAAAAGCATGCTTTTCATGAAATAAATTTTCCAGTAAATGAAACTAAGGCATTTTGACATGAAAACTAAATGTTTTTGTGACACTTACCTTCTGTCGAGTACAGTTATTATGTCCTGTGCCTTATATGGCAATGACGTAGGCTCCATCGGACTCGGACAATCTCGAATGGCAGCCATCTGATCAGGGCGTATCTAAACAAATATAATTTCAATTTAAAGTAATTGAAATACATGTGTATTATAACTCCAGTAATAATCCTACAGTGTATCTACATTATGTATATGTGATTTAACTTGAATTGACTTGAACTCAAAGAGCGATTCATTTGTAAACTAAATAACAACAAGAATATACTTGACAGTAATATGCACCTTTGAATTAACCATGTTGATCCTCCAAGGAATCTGCATTCAGTTGTATGTCAAAGTTCTAGAGTTCAAAGTTATGGAGTCACAAGTTCAACAGGTATTTATAGATGCGAGAATGATATCTTATGAAAACATTGGCTGTATAAATATTGTTCTTGGACACATCCTTTATTTGCCACATTGATTTTCATTATTTTGACAGGGTGTTATTGCCAATGCATGTTCATTTTACATTGACACCTGTGAATATGAACATGGCTCCAATGTTAACACTTTGAAGGACAGTTTTGTAGAAAGTAGTTTTTTGTATATGTCAGTGCAGAGAAAGTTGTGCCTCAAGACAAACCCAGGATTTGAAATTAGAACAAATAAATGGTCAAAATAACAATTTGGTCTAAAATTGAGTTCATTCCATTTATTACAGAAATTTGGTCTACATCAATGAAGAATGATACTGATAAGAGTAACTGTAAAGAAAAGTATTGCCTCTCACCTGAGGAAGAATTTTTAATATTTCAGTAAACTTTGGCCGTCTCAATGCATCATGTTCCCAGCACTTGGTTAGTATAGCATAGTACTCCTTGGAACAAGCATCAGGCTGGTCCAACCTCTGACTACATGGCTCATCTATGGTCTGTAGGATCTGTAACAAAGGCAACTTAAATAACATTGTACATGGCTCTTTTATGGCATGCAGAATCTGTAGCAAGGATTACTTCCTAAACAGTACGTAACATTATAAATAAACAACAGTTTCATGATTTTGAAATAGGATAGAGTATTCACTAAAACTGAAAAGGCATGTAGATTTTCGTTCAAAAGCACAAAGCTATTTTCTAGATAACTGATGTCTTCATTTGAAAAAAACTAAGAATTTGGCAAAATGCACTTTAAGATAAACCTAACAGTCTCCAAGCTCAGTAACCATATGATTATTGAAAAATGCAAGAAAATTACATTGAGCACAGTAGAGAAGGTGATGAAAGAAATGTGGGAAAGCATTTAGCTAATTTAATAGATATAGAACAGTATTAGAGCATATTAGAGCAATCTGTATTCATGTACTGTTGTGCACATTCATTATATTTGTATTCTAAAAGCTAGGTATGCATCATTACAGTCAGAAGCTGTGAAGAAGGTCACTTTTGATCTTGAAAGCAAGAAAGGGCAAAATAGACATTTACATTTTAGTTTATATTAGTTTTAAATAATACCAAATATAGCCATATATTTCTTTGCTCTGAAGTATGGAATAATATTTATATTAGCAGAATAATAAATCATGAAATGTAGATGGATTTAGGAAAGAAGCAGTCCATGGACCCCACCCTTTGTAGAATATGTAAGCTCCTTATATATGATATGATCATTTCAAACCATCAGCCACAGCCAGCTATATCTTTGTTACACTAATATTATACATGTACATACATTCTGCACATGTTCATATACTAACATACATGTACAATAATACAATTATATGATGCGCATGCACATGTACCATGCAATTGTACTATAAAATCAACAGACATGAGAACCATAAGCGTATCCTTCTAATCAAAAATGTGCAAATCCTTCAGCCTTAAATAATGTGCATGTATTGGTGTGAATAATTCATCCATTCTTGCTTGATTTGTAACACAAGATGACAACAAAGCAAGCCAAAATTGAGAAACATCCAACAAGATACATGCATTGTGGGTAGATACCTCTTGCGCTATCTCCATTACTTTGTCAGGATCATCAGCCTCCAGATCTGATTCCTATCAACCAGCAAATATCATTGGTTAGCAAACACTCACACGCACAAACAAAGACTCCGATAACCTTTGTGTAACAATGATCGAAATTGGTAATCGAAATTGTTTTGCAAAGGTTTCAGAAGTCGCTAGAAATCAAAGGAGGTATCCAGACCCAGGCTAATATGTGACAATGATATGCAGAGTTGCATTCTGGGTCTGCATATCTACTGATCTTGTATTAAGCTAGTAGCTACATATAGTATATATACAGAGGGAAAGTTTCCAAATGCATAGATAATCACCAAAGAAAGCATGAAAATCTTTAAAAAATTCTATATGCCTAATTGGTGAAGGCAAAGGGAAATTAGCAATACGGATATAACTCATATTCACCTAGATTCTTTTTATCCCAGTACCAAACCCCAAAAAATATTGGAAAACATTTCCTCCTTTGTGTGATAGATACAGACAGTGTACAGTACTTTGAACATAAACCTGATAACTATTACAACGAATGTATGGCCCAGGCTAATGTTGGTCTGTACTGTATATGTAGTTGAGTATGCAATGAACATGAGTTGCAGGGTCGTCATATTTGGCTATGAAAGAGATGAGTGGGCAGGAACAACAACAAAAGTGACTGTCATAGTGGCGAAACCAAAAACCCCATATGTATTTGCATTTGCCCGTGAATCAATGTACATAATACATAACAGACATAGAATCAATGTACATAATACTGCATAGACAGCAGAGTTTACCAAACCTATTGTAAAAACATATAAAATTCTTCTCTCATTTAACAACCAGTCAACAGATATTGAGTGAATATTGTGATTAGATTGAATTTGCGATAAAAGCGAGTACATTTCTCAATAATTATTGATCACCCTGTACATCATTGCTCATGATTCAGGCTCCACAATATGATCACTTAGTACAACACTTATAGGCAATAAAAGGAGGCTCCAAGTAGTCGTTGTGTACAAACATGTATAAGCATAGCAGGCTGGCTTAAAGTAAGACAATCAAATTTTGATCACATAGATTTGTATGTAAAAGCTGCAAGGTTCAATTTGGGAATAAACGAGAGAAAGCAGCCAAATATGAGCCTACAAACTCAAGCACAGTCATACTACATACATATATACATTGAAGATGTGTTAACATGATGCCATCAGGTGTGACATGTGACATACAAAAAAGTTGTAGTGTTATTTCATATCTTTTAGAGAAACAAAACTAACAGAATCATATAAGATAAGATTATAAACAAAATTAAAATAGTGCTCGATGAAAAAATTAAATAACAAAAAATTAAGATGAAATCATTTTGAAAATGTAAAAATGGCGTTACACATACCTGGTGTGAAGTCAAAGACGCCCAAGGTTGTGCTCCATATGAAAACATCTCCCATAAAGTGACACCGTATGACCAGACATCAGATGCTGTTGTAAACTTCAGGTAGTTGATACACTCAGGCGCACACCTACAATCAAGAATATTGTTTATGTGTACAATTATAATTATTCTATATATTGTATTCGAAAATGACTGTATTCACTCCTTCTATAAACTGTGAACAAAGTCAATGTTTCAACCGGGGCATATTCGAGATCAATGCCCCGGCTCTGTACTAAGTGTTTCGTTCAGTGCAAAAGCTCAACCGGAAGTAGAAATGAAAAAATGGAAATGAACATCGAAATTGACGATTTTGCAATATCCTGGTGAGTTTTCATGTTCGAATCGTAATATAGACCTCAGAGCAGGGCTACTATTTTCGAATACACCCCTTAGGGCTAGGCACAAAAACTTTCGAACCAGAAAACGTTTGTGCCAAGCCCTGCGGGGTGTATTCGAAAATAGTAGCGCTGCTCTTCGGTCTATATTTCTTAATTATATTCAGAAAACATGTCTTCATTGAACAATGTGAGGACATTGAGACAAGTTAATTTTCATATTTTAAGTTGCACCCTTTAGAGCTAGGTATTACATACACAGGTTTTACTGTTGTATCTTTATTCTCAAAATGTGATAAACTTCGATGTTCATTTTCGTGTAGAGGCAGAACTGAACCTGATCTCTGTACAGGTACATTAGATCTATATTAATGTATTAATGTCAATATATTAACAGTATGGAAATATAAAGCAAGAATTCATTATTCATCCTTCTTACCATGCTATTGGAAGTTTCAAGTTGACATTGAAGTTGGTTTGGTAGTAATCTTTCCCCACACCTAGTGCTCTTGACAATCCAAAGTCACTGATCTTAACCTGCAAAAGAAAGTCGATTTCCTTGAATCAATATTTTAGAAGTCTTTCTTAGCATTTGAATTGGAGGAATGAAAAAGATATTAGCATAATATGTTTTCAAGAGAGTTGTTGCAGAAAAATACTTGAAAGTTTAATACACATATACTGTACGTCTATGCCAAAATCATGTATTCCAATGTACTATACTTCTATTATTATTGGTTTCTGTTACTGTACCTATATTATTATTGTAAATTATTAAACTAAACATAAAATAAATAACATCTACAGTTAGTAACTTTTATCAGTGTGCTATAATAATTGTAAGTTAAAACTGAAGTTTACTTGGCACATATTTTTGACTATAGTGTAGTATATTAAGGCAGTCCTTGATATGTCAACATATTTACTTTTAACATTAATCCTAGAATATTTGCAAAGAAAACATTTATAGCACTTGCCAACTGGGGTCAAACTAGGTCAAAAAGTACAGATAAAAAAACAAAACTTCTCTTTTTTATTTTCTGGTCTTTACGTTATTATATATAAGTGATTTCATATGACAGAAAAGTTAAAAATCATTGGAATCTATTCTACCAACCTTATCTTTTGAAAAAACTAATATATTCCTAGCAGCTAAATCTCTATGTATAAATCGTTTATTTTCTAAGTATGCCATGCCATCAGCGATCTGTACTGCAAAGTCGCATAATGTTGTCACAGGAAAGTTTTGGCGAGATGATGTGTCTTTGAGACATTCTAGAAGGGACTTCATAGGAGCATATTCTGTGACCTACAAATATTTTTATTACAATTAAAAGTAATTTAATATTCAAAGTTGAGCAAGTTAAATTTATTCAAACTTTTGGCAATGTATCACTGAAAATGTTGAAACTGCATGACATTAGTCTCTTAAGTGCAATACCTGTTAGTTATAATAGATTCAGGAGACAAGTGTTGAAAGCTCCAACAACTATACCAAAAAGGTAATAATGATAATTTTGCAAAATGACCACCTACCAGCATAAGCGAGTTGTCACCATCAAGGACAACACCAAACAGACGGACAATACAATCGTGGCTAATGCCATGCATGATTGTGGCTTCTTTAAGGAACTCTGATGAGCCACTTTCCATACGCTCTTTGCATAGGATCTTTACTGCAACTTGTATCTTCAACAGAAAGATTATCAATCAAATTGTGACATATTGACATCACATGGACCAATCAAATGCTCGAAATGACACAATTATAGATTATTTTATATATCAGAGATTATTTTCTTTACATGCATCCTATCAGAATGCAAAGTCACAAAAAGCATGACACAAATTTTTCTGACTTTATTTGGATAAAATTTCATTGTACATTCAAACCTTCATGTCAATCACAACTGTCAGTTATCTGTCAGAGCTCGGGTAATGTTATTATCCAATGCAATATCTTAGATATTCCATCTTACCTTCTCCCCTTCATTGGTCCATACACCTTGTTGGACCTCACCAAACTCTCCCTTCCCAATTGTCCTTATTGTAGTGATGCTCTCAGAGGAGATTATATAACCAGTGCTAGGGTTGCTGGGATGGCTAATGCTCCCTGGACTTTTGGGACTTGGCGGGATCTCTCGAGGTGAACTTGGGATAATACGATGTTCTGGAGAGGGATGCTGGATTTTTCGTGTATTGTCATTGTGTTCAATGGTTGATTTCACAAACATACGCTGAAACGAGAAAACATATAATTTAACATGACACACAGTGATAAATATAGTGATCAAAATGGCCACCTTGAACATTACCAAGCAAGCCCAAAGACCAATCAGATCTTGGCTTACCAAAAGTCAGCTCTTGCATCTGTAAAAATTTCAACAGATGAATTGCATTCTCGGTATCTTGAATACAAGATTTCTTTTGCAACCTACCTACCCACGATAGAATAAAAGTTTAAAACTCACTATTTCATTACAAGACAATTTGCCTGTTTTAGTGCTTTTAATGAAAAGGACAGATGGACCAACGGACAGACCAACAGACGGACCAACGGACGGATGCCTGGTCGATCCCATAGGCTCCCCGCCAAATATTCAAAGTAGCAAAAGAAGATGTCATTGTCAGTAAACAAGAGTTTCAATCACAGCTTTAGGTTTTGGGAATTGGCAGCACTTCAGTATTCAGGTCCATGAACACGTTCTTTTTTCTTCTAGTGAGAAAACACAAAGGAGCAGGTCAGAGTCTAGTACAATAAGACCTGTATGCAAAAAACCTGGTATTATAGTAGCAGTAGTACATATCACCTCTATAAGATCATTTTGAGTCAATCAGAGTATTTTTCAACCAAGACTGGTTTAACTGTATCATCTAACAGGTCAGGGCGAACAGTATTTAAGCAAAACATGACCAAATAGCACAAGGAAAGTTATGTTAAACTTTTCATGTGAATATCATCTACTTTTAAACCAGTAAATAGAGAAGATACGTGAGGATTAACAGGTGGGATGACACAGTACAAATATGAAACTAAACGGAGATCATCTGATACTCAGATACATATTCCAGAATCTAGAAAGTCTATGAATTTCAAAGAGAAACTGAAGCATTCACAATTAGTTCCTGAGCTACTTACATTAGCAAATCAACTAACATTCACAGGACCTTTCCCTGAACCAGAAAATGATGATGGGTCTCAGTTGTACAAAGGGCCAACTCCTAAATCAAAAAGCTATGAACATTTATCAGATTTTGTGCAGTTTGCGTCATCAAAGGTTGACATCAGAAATACCTACACATTGACGATGCTTAATGAACATACATTTTACGTTGAAAACTTTGTACAAAATTTCTGCCTTTCTTTTGGAGAACTAGATGAATTATTCAAGTCTAAAAACATCATCAGATGTGGAAGTTCCTATGAACTTGCAAAGATTCTCGCCCCTGATGAATACGACTATATACCTGTCCTTATATGGTCTGATGATGTCACAGTTAGGGTTGAAAATGTGGGGAATGATTGTGAACTGACAGGTCAAGGTTATGGGGACATCTTCATTGAGAAAGGGGATCTACACGATGCATTACATTCTGATATCATGCCAGATAAGTCGGACATACTTGATCTTATTAAGAGTCAACGAGGCCCAAGCAAGTTAAACACATTCTTTGCTGTCACACTTCAGACGAGGATATACTCTTACCTAAACAAGATAGAGGACTATAAATTCTTCATAGGTGAACGGAACCATAAAGAAGACCCAGATTCTCCATACCCAATGGGATCATTGAGCATACATATCATAACACATGGAACCAGTATATGGTTGCGACTAGGTGCACCTCTTTGCACAGTCGATATAGACCTCTCGTTTGCAATTGAGAAGAGAGACCAAACACAGGGAAGATGTGTTATGGTGCGTGCAGATAACATTAGCGAACGGTGTGACAATTTCTCCCATTGGACTGAATCTCTTATTGATCAAGGGCTCAAAACAGAGCAAATTATACATGTATTATCAATACAGCATAGAAAGTTATTCTTACTATTCAAGTATATTCACCATCTTGTCAGTAAAGATCTTGAGTTCTTTACAGATGGTTCTTCATACTCATTTAAAATATTACTTTTGCACCATCAGGATACTTGCCAGAGAGATAACATGGGTCAATGCTTTGAGGATATCACTGAGGATTTCTTTTGTACAAAATCCAGAAAATACTGAAGACATACAGAACAAAACCTGTGTATATATTTCTTCAGATAAACGAGAGATTCAAGATATTCATTACCACAAAAGGATGGTACACTTTGACTTCAGAATTGACAGCGTTGTAATGGTATGGATTTTGGAACAGGTAAAACACTCTGATGGCAGATCTTGATGGGATATACTGGTGAGAACTGATCCAAACTTAACTGAACTAAATGCAGTTGAAAAACTCCATACACTGATTGATTCAGCACAACAACTGGAGACATTCATCAGTGATGAAGACATTGATGAGGGTTCAGTCCTTGACATTGAATGGATTCATGACGACAGTACAAGGACAGTGATGAGATATATAAAGCCAACTGAGACAGATTCAATTAAAGAAGCTTTTCAGAATTTGATTGAGAGAGATCCAGATTGGTAACGAAAAAATTATTAAGACAATGTTCATGTATGTGAAAACACTGATATTCTTATTCATTGTTTACAGGATTTCGATCTTTGGCAATAGCCAGAATAAAATCTGACGTCATATATTTGCCATAAATCATTGAATTAATGTCTGTTACAATTCTAATATGATTAATAATAACCAACCAGGAAAACAACTATTTGCATTTATGAAATTTAGCGGTCATTCACACTGGATACGGTTGATTATTTTCCTAGTACACATAAATCTGCAAATACCAGTCAAAATGACTGCTGATGTACACATGCATGGTCAGGTGATTTCGCAATTTGCTTATAGTTGTTTACGAATTTCGGATAGGCGGTAGGGTTTGATGGAAAGATCTATTGTTCTTGTGATGTCACATATCACATTAGAATTCATAATATACATGTACCATATTGGAAAATACAATACAATTACAGGTATGAGGTGTTAGAAAAATGCTTTCAGAGAAGGTAAAGTATTTTATATGTTATCTCTCACCTTTTTCAATTTGCTAAAGGTCCCTTGTGGACATTCTTTGTTGAAATATTTTTTGAAACGCCTCAGCTCTGGTTTTGTCATACCTGGAAATATATAATATGTGTGTACGAATAAATAACATATTAAATGGAGAATAATCGATAATAAAGTATATAAACTGTGGAACTGCAAGGAACTGTAATACTAACTTACATATTATGCAGTTTATTATCACATATGTTTAATTCATATTACAGCTTAGCAAATCTAATTTATCTAGGTTTGTATATTTTACAAAAAGTTATTTAATATAGAATTTACATTTGGTGACAAAATATTTGACAGTATTACTATGTATGATATTCAACTTTCGATCAAATATCTATACTGAAGCGGATTATATGAGCTACTATTCCTATGTTTTATGAGGCTAATATCTTAGACTTAACATTTGATTTATACTAGTATGATACAATTATTATATCATCACGGAAATGAAAAAGTAATTTCGAGGAATAAATCAAATTTATTGTAATTAGGCACAATATATTCAGTGGCATGGGGAATATATCATATCCATAATGTAATATTAGGCATGAACACATCTGAAAAATGTAACAATTGTCACAGATGCCTGTGCCAGTCGTCACAGATGCCTGTGCCAGTCACAAACAGTGACTATAAATGACATCATCTATTCTTGGTGGTGACAAAAATATGGCTGAAGAAGGCTGAGGTCTAATGCCTCAGTAACATTTGATCTACGGCAACTGCGCAGTGACTGAGCTTCCCAAAATTGAGAGAAATGCAGCATAAAATAAAGGGATAAGCAATACGATGTAGGCTTTCTATATCGATTTTGTAAAGCTACGCCCACCGTACGCCCGCCGTAGATCAAATGTGACTGAGGCTTAATACATATTGCTTTATGCTGCCATTCTCTGTTTGAAAGAACATCTAGGTTAGAGTGCCCTCTTATAATAATAATAATAATAATGTCCTATTATACTATTCTATGTCTCAACATACACAGGATATCATCCATCACTTTGGCCTTTAATTAAGCAACTATGGCATTTGCTCATATTTGTTATTTTCAATATTTTGTGAATACTCAGTTTGATATAAAGACTTTGACATTTATACTAATTTCATACATCTTTTTAATATGGCCAAAAGTCAAGTTGTCTAATGTAATATAATGGTCTAGTCTCGAAGGTGTCATCTCACTCATATGATAATCTAAAAAAACAAAAAGATTGAAGGGAAATATTGCCCAATATGAAAATATTAATCAAGCAGCAGCTCCTCATTGCACCATAGTCTCTGCACAAATTCATATTTTCTCTGGAGACAATAACTATTTTTGATAGGGACATTAATAAGAGACATATTAAAGATATTCTCCTATCATGGGATCAGTTATTACAAGCAAACCGCAATTCATTCCACATGATCAGCGAAATTGAAATTATTGACTAGGAATTGACAGTTCATGACCCTCATAAATTTACGGAGAATGACAAATAGCCAATAATAAAGGCTAAAAATAACAGAATGCTTCTAATACAGTAATGTCACAGTAGTCATAATTAGTATACTACAATTAAACCTGTTTAACGTGGATGCTACAGGAACTGGCTGAAATGTTCACAATGAGAGATAATTCATGAAGAGGTTCAGTTAAAGTAGGAGTCAATGATACATCCTAAACACAGAACCATTTAAAGTATTCATATTTCTGGGTGTTCACTTTGGAAAGGTGTTCACATAATCAGGTTTTACTGTATTCTCAAAGAGAATATTGATTGGAGGAGTAGAATTAACAAAGAATGAAAAGAGACGCTCGCTAGATTTCAGATTAGTATTAGTGTCAGCAATCGTTTTTCTCATGAAATATTCATGAAATATTTATTCTCATGAATTTTGATTTCAATATACATGTAGTTCTTGAGGCATCTCATACTTTGTATAAATACTAAACATGTATGTTTTTTTTACAGTTCATATTTGAAGTCATATTTTTGGACTACCTACTACTACATCAATATTCAATATTGAAGACTGGTCTTGAATTGATTTTTTATTTGGCCAGTTGATAATAGAATTGCATAAACAGTAAACAACTGCATAATATGTATTTATGATTCAGAAGGATGACCTTCCTCCATCTCAACAATTGATTTCTATAAATATCTAGGGTGGAAAACTCCTATTTTCATAGCTCTGCCAGCCCAAAGTTGGTCAAAAATGTCTCATTTTCATAAATTTTCTCATTTCCATGTGGGTGCAAATTGGTTTTTAATACAGATATGGGTGCAAGTACATTTTCAAAATCTCAAATGGGTGCAGAATCTACTGGCACAAGATGGCGTGATCAAAGAACATAATCACCTTCTTCTATAAATCTAGATTCTGGAGCAGCGATGATGAACATCTATAGCTAGCATTGACAAGAAAACTGAATCAAATACTTAACTAACTATTTTATTTTACTTCAAATTTACATGCAATTCCTTAACACAATTGACTCAATATAGAAGAGCTGATGAATTTTCATCGTCAACATGGAAGTATTACATTGAACTTCACTTTCCCATCTTGGATTATTTGATTACTACAACAAAATGTGCCAAGTGAAAAGAAAAATTGATATTGGAGATATAAGACTTGATGAATAACTGCATAAAATTAATGTTCCATGTTCACCATCAATGTCAATATCCAATCATATTTCTCAATTGAGGACATGAATCTAAAAGGCAATGTATGTACTGGTCTACCCAGGCCCGTAGCCAGGATTCGCCAAGGGGAGTTTACTTTTGACAACTTTGGCCAAAAAAATGGCCAAAATCATAAATCAGAATGGTGAAAAACTGCATGATTTTGAAAGAATGTTTCTGGGGATTCGAACCTGGCTACCTATCGCAAAGGTCTGATCTCTTCATAGTGTGGCTAGCCAATAGGGATCCAGATCAGGGCAGAACTCGACCAGCTTCATTTTGATAAATTTAGTGTTTAGATTTAACATATATATCTTCACAAATCATGGATATAAAAAATGAACATTTGACTATGTTTACCTTTAACAACCCCCAAATCATTTGTAAAGAGCCCCAACCAAAGAGGTAGGCATGACATCTCTCTTCTTTACTATGATCAACTGGCATTTCATCAAAACAGTTAATGAAAGAAAACATGTGTGTATATCTTAGTAAATTGTTATGCTTCACAGGGCACTTGGGGTCAGGAATGCAGTGCCTTTGTTTTAAAATAGATATGAAAGATCTACCTTGACCTTAGCTGATCAATTATAAACACATGTATAAAGTCATATGTTAAGATATGTGAGAATTAGGAAGTAAACATTTCAATATTTCTAGGCTTCTAGCATAAGCAGAGATCGGCAGAGAAATAGTTCAATTACTTTGACAGTCAGACTATAATCCATTCTATAAAAAACATTTATTTCAATTTGCCACAGTAAATGACATTACCAGGCTATTACCACATACGAGATTGAATCTTTAATATCTCTTTTGCCTTGTGTAAATGAAATTAGACTTTCCTGAAATCTTGGCCTTCAATGACTGCATCTGTTAACATCTTAGAGAATATTAATAAGCCAAGGTGACAGGGAGATTAACTTGTCATGAGGTCATGGTGCATCCATGATGGAAACATACTGTATAAGTGGTCATTTTGCCTAATCATTTAATTTGCCTATTTCCTAATTTTTACCAGGTTCGGAAAATTAAATGTCGGAAATATTGTCTTTATAATGTTATCCAATGGGAGGTTTCTTGTCATTAGGAAAATTAAAATTAGGAAAATGATGAAATTTGACCATTCGGAAAATTAACCACTCGGATTAAATACCACTTATACAGTATTGTAGATGTACCAGTACATTGTGGAGTATAGCCTGTTGGTTTCATCTTCACCTTCTCACTCTTCACTATACTCCAAAGGGAGCCGAGTGTATGACTTAAGGTTTGAAAAAATATTCTTACTTTGATGAACCCTTTAAAATGTATTTTAGAACAATAAATAATTATGTATCAATTATCTATGCAAGATGTGTCCATCCCATTTCTCCTTTAAAAATGTTCTCACAACCTTGGTACAAAGAAAAAAAAAAAAAAACATACTTGCCAACTGATATTCAATAGTACATGTAAATACAATGTACATTTGATAATCATAGACCCTGAGTATCGCCATATTTGTACAACTGTTAGACACTGATACATTCAGACTTAAATGTCAATCAGCAAAAAAACAGATCCATCCACAATCCCAAAATTATGCAGGCATCATTGCATTTGGACAAATCAACCCGTAAATCCAGTGATTATCTACAATATTGAACATACCAGACATGACATACACCATTATTATAAAATATCATACTAGTTCATCATTAAATCAAATCAAAACATCCAAACCAAAAGTGATTTTATTCACTGAACCAAAATCAATCAGTCAACAAAAACATTATGTATACCAGGTAAACATTCTCACTGAAGTTGTGTCCCTTCATGATTATGACAATAGTTCATGTTTTATTCAGGGCATAAAGTGAATTACATGGAGTAAATTTCTCATGGGAGTCCACATGGGTACCTTGTACTGAAAGGTTAGGCCTCGGACAAACCACTGCTCCTGCATGCCTATGTTAAGCACTGATGCTGGGTCCATACTGCACCCACATTGTAATTGTCTTTCTGTACTGGATAAAGCATAAGAATGAGATTTTATAAGAAATAATACACCGAAGGCCGAAGGCCTGAGGTTATTATTTCTTATCAAATCGAATTCGAATGCTTTATCTTACTTAAATCACACACATTCTTATTACAGGTAAATGGTATATTGCAGGTAAATGGTCAATGATCTAATCTGGAAAATTTTATTTCTTTTGTGTTGACTGTTCATGTAGGGGTAAGTGGTTTGATACATGTAAGTGAGTGAGTTCTTTTGAGTTGACTGTTCATGTAGTTATATAGCCAATTAATTGTAACAACAAAAAGAGTTGGTCGCATTGACCTCATGAGTGTGAGTTGATGTAAGTGACTGAGTGGGCTATAATTAGTCTAGCTTC